TTATAAAACTGCGATATCTACCATCTAAAATCACAAAACTAACAAGTTAATGCATCCTCTTTATGATAAAAGAGATTCGTCAAAATCGTAGGTCAGGAACCAATTTACAGGCCAAATTGAGTGCGCAGAGCCTGGCCGAAGCGAGAGATAGCCTCGTCAATCCTGTCCGACGAAGCAGCTGCGAAGGTCGCGCGGAAGAACATCTTCTCCTCGGCAGTGTCGTGGTCGGGTTTGAACCAGCTGCCGCGGGAAAGAAGGACGCCGTCGTTCACAGCGGACAAGAAGATCTCTTCTTCGATTTCGGCGTGAGTCTTGCCAGCGGCAACGCCGGGGTGCTTGCGCCAGTCGATTTCCATCCAGTGCTGGTAGATATTAGTATTCATTGCTGAATGACATGTGAGTGGAATAGACAGGGAATACTTACGAACATGCCAGCCGCAGGGGCTTCCCAGTGAGCGATTTCGCGGGGCAGGTGCTTCTCGCAGGCGTGAACGAGCGAGTCGCGACGAGCAGTGTACGACATGCGCAGGTTGATCAGCCAATCCAAAAAGCCGGAGTGGCCCCAGTGCTCATCGAGAAGTTTGAAGAGCGCGATCTGGGAAATACCGCTAGGGTTCTGCGAGGAAACCTCGAAGTTACGGAGGAAGCGCTCGATGATCTGCTCAGAGGCGACGATCCAGCCAACTCGGGAACCAGGCGAGATAACCTTCGAGAAAGACTCGAGGCGAACGACACGGCCATCAGTGTCCATGCTCAGGAACGAGGGGACAAGTGACTTGATGAATTCCTCGTGGGTGGAGGGGGGAGGCACTGGAGTGGCATCCCCGCTGGTATAGGGCTGCATCTGCAGGAAGTAGTAGGGTTCGTCCTCGACGATGATGAGATCGTGCTTCTGAGCGACCTTGTACACGCCGCGGCGGCGTTCTGCAGACTGAGTGGCACCAGTCGGGTTCTGGCCTGTTGGGATGGTGTATAGCACGTGAGGCTTGCGTGCACCTCGGGCGGCGACATCCCAGTTGCTGAGGATTTTGTCCATTTCCTCCGGGATGAGGCCTTGCCCGTCCATTGGGATGCCCACGGCCTTGATACCAAGGGGGAAGGCAGTCTCGGCGGCACTGGCGAAAGTATATTCCTCCATGATGATATAGTCTCCGCGCTCACAGAACAAGCGAAGAGCAGTGTCCCAGGCGTAGGTGCTGCCAGCAGTCAGGGTGCATTGCCAGTCAGAGTAGGGAGGGCTGTGGATGATCTAATTTAATTAGTATCTGCTGACAGACGACAGATATGGTGTTTTATACTCACTTCGGTGTGCTCCGTGACAAAACGAAGCAATGGCGCAGCTCCGGTAGCTTGTCCATAGTTAAGGGCAATCTCCAAGTCTAAGGAATTGGATCAGTCATGGCCATTTCTAATGCACATAAAGAACGGGGACTCACCGTAAAGGCTAGTTCCATCTTTAATGTCCTGCTTTCCAGCACGAAGAACCGTGCCTGACTCCCGAGTAGCCTCCGGAGAGAATCCGGGGACAGTCGGGACCTTAATATCCAAATGTTCAATGGGGAAGTATTCGGGCGAGGGCAGTCCACCACCGAGCGAAATAAGGCCTTGAACACAGAATTAATCAATGAACCGAAAGAGAAGTATCCGGGAGTATTACCTGGGTTGTTCAGGTAACGAGCAGCAGTCTTCAAAGTAGACGCCTAAGGTGTGGAAGGATTAGCAAGTGTGGACTTCGCATTGCGCGATTGGGTGCGAACCTTGCGAGACTTGGCTTCGGTCGAAAAACAGTCTGCAAACGAATGATTAGTATCAGGGGAATAATTGCGAAAACCACACGCAAAGGGCAAAGGTAGACATACGCTCAAACCGCTTGGCCTTAGGCTTTGTGTAGCAAATCTAATGCCTCAGACACATATCAGCATTCTGTATCCTGCAATTGATTGCCTTCCTTGGTCATATCTCCATGAGGCCTATGCACAATCTAGAGTTATCATACCGGACTCTTGAACATGTCACTGTTGGATGGCGCGGCCACGCCGGTGGGGACCTTGGCCATCTTCTGTCGCCATGCTGACACGCCATTGATGGTTAAGGGATCTGGGACAGGGACAGCCGAGGTATCGGTGACGCCCACCAGGTCGACATCAAGAGGTGCCGGTGGACTCATTGTGATTGAGCAATTGAGTTGGTGGCGGTGTGAATGCGAAATGCGGAATTCGGAGGGGTATGCGCGGGGTTATACGGAGGGGTGTTTGGTATATCGGGGTATATTGTATATCGAATTCGTAGGACGTAATAGTATTGGCCTGATTGTGTGAAAGGACAGTGGACTATTTAAGAAGAAAAACGAAACAGGAGCAATCGAAGGTGCTGCGAAGGGCGACTCGGCGAAAGCGGAGTGGAAATCTATCTCTCCAGCGTTCTCCGAACCAGATGACTCATTTACGGTGCAACGGAGTACAGCCCACTTTTGATAAGCTTCCTATTTGACGTTGGGGTCAATAGCTTGGACAGATAGTGTATTTCTATCAATTGGAGGCACTAGCATGTCGAAGGGCGTGGGGTACCGATGCTTTTTTCACGAGGTATCTTTTGCATGTGTTTTGCATACAAAATATACATCTCTTGAAATCTCGCTTTTTTTACTCCATGAATTGTAACTCTCATTGAACAGTCTATGGACCGCTAGTACTCTAAAAGTACCTCATGCCCTCCAAATTCCATTTCTCACGAGCTTTCTACATATTTTCCTGCGGTCCCGTCAAGCTGTGCTTCCAGCACCGCTGCCTTTCCGTTTAGAACACTCTGGATAGCTTCTGGGAGCTTCCGGGCGAGCTCAGCAACAGTCGAGGCACGCCCAGCCCACAAGTCACCGCCTGCAGCGGCCTTGGCTATACCGGCGTAATCCGGCGTTGGCACAAAGGAGATATTGAGGTCTTCGTTCGTAGCACGAGAGCCGTCCCCTTCAGGATGAACGAGCAGCATGCTTCGCCGGGGGGCATTCCAGCCCTTATTGTTTAGCACAATTGTCAAAACGGGGATTCCATAGCGGCGGGCGATCCAGTACACAGATCCAGGCACCGAGAAGAGGAATGTTCCATCACCAACAACCTGACAGACAAACTTTCCCTTTCCACGTCCTCCCTGCTGTATGTCACTAGCAAGCTTGATACCAAGCGCACCACCGCCGGACCAGCCGAGACCGCCACCTCCACAGTTGATCCACGACTTAGGTTGGGTAGCTGAGACCTGATCAGCAACAAAGTGGGTCATGGTCACGGACTCAATAGCCCAGATGGTATCAATCGGAACGCCCTCGCGGACCTGCGCCATGAGGTAGTGGATATTCAAGGAAGCCCCGTCGCCGCCCTCCGGGATAACAGCCAGATCGGAGATCTCTTGTCGACGCCTTGAATACTCCTCGTCTCGGCGCTGGCCCATAGTAATATTATCTTTGGAGCTAATGAATTGTTGCAGAGATTCCCGAGAAGCAACGTAATCGTTGATTTGCTTGAGTGCGGTGGAAGCGTCGGCGCGGAATGTAGCCATCGAGTGAATGTAGAAAACTGGAATCTGTTGCTTCAGAGGGTCGACATCAATGTGTATAATCTTGGCCGACGCAGACGGCTTGAACTGGGTAGGCACCCAGGGGACATCGCAGTCTACCACCAGGATTAGATCAGATGTTCCCACTGCCTCATGGCCTGGATATCTCAATCCCAACCATGCAGGGTGGTTAGCAGGGAAGCACATGTCGCTACCACCAGTGTCCAGCACACGGATTCCCTTGAAGCTATCTGCCAATGCGACCAGCTCAGTCACAGCTTGGGCTTTCCTTCCGGAATATCCAGTAATGATAAGAGGGCGCTTGGCAGCTGCAAGCTCAGCTGCGATTAACTCAACGCCGGAGGTTGGTAGGGCGGCCGGTGACACAGGACCCCAGACAGCCTGGTTCAGCTGGTATGGCTCGATATCCTCCTCCATAACCTCCCGCGCCCCGGCAAGATACACAGGCCCCTGTGGATCACTAGTTGCGAATTGCAAAGCCCGGTTGACAATCTGCTTAACATTCTTGCCCGACTTGATCTCACCCGTGTACCGACAGTACTGGGCGACAATTTGCTTCTGGTCTGGCACATCTTGGATCCAGTGGATATATTCAGTGCGTGAACCTCGCATCTCGCCCTCGATCGTGTAAGGCGATAGACCGGCAAATATCAAAACCGGGGCGCGCCCGCATGAGGCGTTGTGAACTGCTGCTCCGAGTCCCTGCGTACCGACATCGACATGGACGATTACTGCTTGCGGCTCTCCGGTCAATCGTGCGTAGCCGTCGGCCATGGACAGTGCCACCATCTAAACAGCATATCGTCAGCGGGGCTCACATTCATACCGACTCTAACCGAAGTGCTGCCGTTAGGCTTGGTGGGTCCCATGATGCAATTGCTAACGTACCTCATTGGGACAGGTGATTATAGTAGGGAATTGGCCTTTCTTTTCCTTCTGGCCTTTCACCATCGCCTCGAGGATGGAGGGGTGGTCTGATCCCAAATTGACAAAGACATGGCTGACGCCACCCTAAGGTTGTAGAGGTTAGAATGGACGCTTTGGTGTATAAAGATGCTATTGTACATATACATACCTCCCAGAGGGCTTCGAAGAAAGCAAACGATGCTGTATAAGCCCTTGTAGTATGTGAGTAAAAAGAACATTTGAATGTTTGTGTGGGGCAACTCCATACATAGCTGAGTTCTCTGATATTATAAAATGTTGACTAGTAAAAAGGATGTTTTCCCGGTATCTGATCGAACAGAGAAGAGGGGCAGCACGTTGCTAATAAAGCTGAAGATCCGGGGAAGCCTTGGATTTGGATCTCGGCCACAACTCCGAGCGCGGGGGGCCAAAGAAACACCGACTGCCTCTGAAGAATTCAATATACATATTTCTCGGTTATTCCTTATTCTATAAGGGTCATCTCCGAATTTTCTGAGAAGTTCTCCATGTTTGGCCCGATAACCGCGGTGGATGAGAGGGCTTCTGCCGGGAACCAGTCTCCGAACTGCATAGATCTTATATTCGGTCTATGCTACATAAGTAGACAAACATTTACCTGGAGATAACCTATCTCTAAGTATGAAATGCTGTGATTGAAGAATGCTTAGCTAATAGAGCGAGAATGGCGCGTTTGATCGAAGAACTATGAAATTTACTTGAAATAACCGACTTTGGGAAGATCATTCAAATTCCAGCTTGAATAATAAATCGTTGACCGAGAGATTTATTACCAGCAAGGTCTGCCGTGCCACCCTGCTAGTCGATCAAAAAGATAGGACTTGGATTGGTCAGGTAAAGTTTACCTTCTTGACGAACATCCCTCTCCACCATAACAGCCGATTTCGCTGATACACTGCCCCGCCCCTAGAGGGATCTTCGATGCAAAAAAGCGCCTTTTCGTACAAGTATGTGAATTTCAACCCGATCCTGTCTGAAAGCAGATTGGCATCAAAGACGACGCAAAAAAACCAGACGCATGCATTCGAAGAGCTGACTATTCAAAGGAGCCCTCCCCACCTCGACGTGATAAATCCTTTACGGAATTCGGTAAATGTTCGAGCTCTTTCAGAAGCGCATCTTGGTCGCCACACTTTCGTGCCGAGTCAAAATCGATTAAAACAGCCTGCGAATCACGAATAAGAAAGTTGAATTGGTTTGTATCTCCATGGTGGATCCCTAGGCGATGTAATCGAGACAATGCCTTCTGACAGGTCTCGAGGTCCCGAGGGCCAGCATGTCTAGCATCCTTGATGCGTTCCATCAAGAATCCGAAGCACGCGGCCATCTTCCGTCAAATGGCCAAGGAATCGTGGGCCGATATCATAGCCCTCAATTCATTGGTAAGCCGTGGTCTCACTCTCTAGATATTGGATCTCCTAGTTAAAGCGGGCGAATTTAGCCACAACCACGTCGAACAAATTGCATCTGACTTCACAAACGCCCGTTCGTAACTTTTCTCCGACCCGGATCTCCGTATGATCAACAAAAGTTTCTTCCAGGTGTTTTCAACGACAGGGAAAAGGGACCGAATAGCACGGGCAAAGTGGGGTTGGCCATTTGCTTCGTTTTTGGTCACCAGTCCATCGTTCCAATCTCCAGCGGGTGGGTAGAAGTGAAACCAGCGAGGGGCCGAAATACACATCGTCAACACTATAGAGACCAGGGTCTATAGTGACATATTTTATGTTCCGATCGTTGACCAGGAGACGAAAGAAACTCTGATCGTTTTCGTCGACTTCTGCTTGAAGCAATTCGATTCTCATTTTATTTCGCGTCATATTGTCAAGCCTTGGACAGAGAAAGCGGGATATGAACGTGACAGGTTAATCCTAGCCAAATCGCTTTCGAGATCTCATACCATCCAGAGGTTAATACCATCATTCTTACCAAAATAAGATAAGATCAAAGGATGTCACGACGCGTTCTCCATCGCGTGTTCGTCCTCGCCGTCTTCACCCCATGAATGGCGGAGCCTCTGGCCGTTCGCATCACGAAACATTCATCTATTACAGCTAGTTATTCAATTGCTTGTGCCTGGTGAGTCATCACGCCCTATGCCGCGCGAGAAAATGCGCGGTGCGCTACAGCGTAGCTTCCTCGAAAGCGGCAACTGGAGGTTGCAACGAGCTGGGTACAACATGAATGGTGACTTTGCATTGATGAAAACAAGTGTGTGATCTCGTCAGTAAGAGATGATCACGAAGCTAATTATCGCCTCGTCTCAAGTGCACGCCCTGTAAAATTTACGAATAAGTAAGCTATAACATCTCCAACTGGCTCAAGCCTTGCTGACTCGGATCGTACAACGGGCTGCCCCTCGTATTCCTGTCACTCGAGTCGAATGCGAAGCGGGCAAATGTCTTGTATGCTCTAGCTTCCCTGTACCGATGCGATCGCATGCTGTCTATTACTTCGACAGACTACTGGTGGCATCGATGATGAGTCAATATACGATTCACATCGTCTACCTTGGCCCTTCTCTCAGTCGACTCTGTGCATCAGGTCTTGTGTTTATGTGGCTACCCGAACACATACGCATGCGGGTTCGGCCCTATTGTGGCAGGTCTCATCGCAGATTCTGGCGCACCGCGCATTATCACCAATACCGACATAAGGCATACTAGTTTCACTTTCATCGCTGGATTAGTAAACAGACTGGGGATATGTTGCTAATTGCGAAGGATAATGAGCTTATGCAGCTTATTTCTTCGGATAGCATTGACAACGCCTGCTAAGTTCTGTCTTGTCATTTCTCCTAACACTCCGCTGCTCAAACTCTACACTGCATTCACCATAGGTCAGGCTATGGGACGCACAACAGCGCCTCGATCTTGTCTCTTTGCCAGAACCTCTTCCCTATACAGCCACATCAATCCTAGCATCGTCCCATTCCCACCCGCAATTATCAGACCCAGAGCCGAGAATGATATTTTGAGCCAACCAGCATGAATCAAGCCAGCGGCACGAAGATCAGCAAACAATAGTATAATCCAAAACAAATTCGGAATAGCGAAGAATACTTGATCCCATTTCAAGAACTCGGCAAAGAGCTGTTCAAAAGTTTGGCCCTGCACACTACTACGGATGGGTATGAAGATGTTTCCAAGCGAGTCCTCGCTGCACCAGACTGTATACTGCCAAACTGCAGTCGAAACGGCACAAAGCCCGAGAATGGTTGTTCGGATAGTCGGTAGATCGCGTGTAACATTATTGAGTCGATCTTGCTTCAGCGTGCTCGGTTGGAGGAATTTTCGAGCAAGGCCCGCCTGTGCAAGAGAGAGCCAGACAGGGAATAGCTCCCACAAGAAGCCAGCAGCCTGACGGTGGGACCGCACCGGAGAAAGATAAGCGTCCATAAAAGTGGCATAGTGGGTAGCCAAAAGCACTGGCAGGATAGTCTTTGTATAGGAAAGATTTGTTAGACGCCTGTCGGATGCGTCAAAGGTGGAAATTGGCGTGAGGATGTAGTAAGCAAAGTAATAAATGGGAACGAAAATGGCGATTCCCCACATATTGAGCATTCCCCAGAGAAGAGCACTGGTGAAATAGTATGTTAGAAGGTCTCATCCAGAGTGTTGGTCACTCTGTCGCAAACTTACAAACTTAGGACGTTGAGTCGGTTAGCTCTCCTTGCAGACTCAACCAACATGATACCATACCAAACACCATAGTCGGCAAAAAAGGAGAAAGGCTGATAAAAGAAGTGCGCTTCACTGACTATGAAGCGCAGGACTCCCGACCTGGAGAAATCATCGAGCAAACCAGAGTGGTAGAATTTGTCTCGGAGTTCCACTTCGCGGTAGCGACGACGAGCAAGGAAGTCGTATGCATCTTCAAATGGCGCCACGGAGAACATAGTCAACAACCCAGCAACTGCCATCCCAAGTAGTGGCAAGGCCCACAACACGCGTGGCCATATGCTTTCATGCATACCGATACCACGATTGGGATTAAAAGGCATCAAACCCGTCATAGAGCGCGCTGGAACTGGCATGTATTCAATATGCTCTGCGCCAATGGCATCATCGCAAAATTGATCGGCACGAATATCACCAGCGTAAGGTAAAAGGAAACGAACAACAAGCCGATCCGCAAGACTCTGTAAAGTCTGCATGCGAGCAGACGCTCCGGTAGACTTTATTTTAGCGGAGGTGCGACGGTGTCGTCTTTTTTCATCGTATTGACTCAGGGCCATTCCGATTTGAGATGTTGTGAGCGGTAATTTGTTTCCCTGGGCCACCAACCGGCATATTATGTTGGCCAACACTGCTGCATGTTCGAGAGCAAGCATGCCTCCGGTCCCAGTATGGGGTGTCATTTTGTGAGCACTGTCGCCCAAGCAAACAATGCGACCAGCTGTCCAATGCGCGAAGTCTGCCTCCTCGAGAGGGACTAGTGTTGCCGTCTCGCGCCGCTCCCACAGATCAGAAAACTTAATGTTGCTCGCACCGGACTGGACAGGGAAATCAAAATATTGCTCTGCAAATTTTAACGCATCCGCGCTATCGAATCGCGGAATCTCATGGCTTTGGTATACTTGTGGCATACGTTTGAACAAAAACCAAAAAATCTTGCCGTCCTTGCCACTAGCCACTACCATAGACACGTCTCTTGCAAGCGTGTCGTCGGTCATACCAGCGTCCAACCCCGGAATGGGGCTAGAGATACCAAACATGCACTGATATTCAGCCATCATGGCTGTTATCCCTGTTAGTACATCCGTACAAATTGATGGGTGATAAATCGACGATTCAGGGCCACTTACCTCGACGTTCCTGCTGCACATCAAAATCATCACAGATATTTTGCTCAACCGCCCTCCACATCTCCGAGCGCGTTTTACTGTGAACTCCATCGGCTCCCACGACCAGATCGCCTTCATAGAAAGAGCCATCGGTGCAGATGACCTTGATAGGCTTCTCTTGCTCACGGGAGTGTTCGATCCGATCCATCCTCTTGCTCGTCAACACACTTTTCTTGTGACAGATGTGCTTAAACAGCACTTGCAAGACACTTCGACGCTCGACCCATCCCAACGGATATGACATGCGCGCAGTGACGAGCAATGCGGTGTCACTCCGCTCGGGCAATAACGACTTTCCCTGTCCATCACACACACCGCTGCTTTGCACCGGATGAACCAGCTGTTCCAAATCGTCATACACACCCAATTGGTCGAGAATTCGACACCCGCTTGGGGCAAGAGCAATACCAGCTCCGACCTGTGGTGCAATGGTGTCTCGAGCTTCCAGAATTACGTATTCGATCGGGACAGGGGCTTTTTCAAAGGCATTCGCCAAAGATAGACCAGCAATCCCACCTCCTATAATGATGACTTTGAGGGGGCGAAGCCCATCAGCAAAGGGAGGAGGAGAGTGCAACATGGCGAATATGTGCGGAGGGCAAGGTATTGGCAAGAAGGGCCCGAACTGGCTGTTCAAGAGTTGGAAAACTTTTACAGGGCAAGTTTTGCCAGACCAATACTCTATCTAGGACTAGCATCAAGGTAAGAGTATAATGATTTGAATTGTCACGAGATTCTCCTCTCAATTCGGGAACCCGGTGATTACTACACGAAGGCATCGGGCACTCGGCAATTGGCCCTAACGATTGCTTTCCGAATAACTTTGTGGAGTGCTTGGATTTGAATAGCTCTGAACTTTTGAAGGATCTCAAAGCAATTTGTTCGAATCTCGAGTGGGAAAATCCCATGGAAAACTGACGCCCAGGTCATTGAGTCCCACGTTACTGCTTCATCACTTTCACTTTGTATATTTTCCGAAATTTTTGGTTACATCAATAGAATTTTACACACAGTTTGGATATTCACGGCCGTTTCATGATTCATTACTACCGAACATAAACTGCTCATCTCGCGAAAAGGGCAACGGAGGTGGCGAATTCTCCATCCTCTCACCTGAGAGGTACTGGTATAGTTTAACGAGAGGTATCATTTGCTCGAGGAATGACACAGAAACACAATATCAGAGAGAGTAAAGGGGTTTTCATTCTGTAAAAGACAAAGTCCGAAAAGTATCTCGAGATCTGCGTGTAAACGAGCGGCGGTTTGTAGATGACCTGAGTAACCAGGCAGCCCCACACACCTATCTCAACAAATTCCTGCCAACATCTCATAAATATATTGCTAGTCTCGTCACTCCCAATCCCCATAACAGTTCAATCTACCAGCCGAACTCGACCAGCGTGTTCTCGTCGTCCACAAGCTTTCCAAATAGTTCTTTTGGCGAACCCTCTGTAGCAGCCCGTACAATAGGCCGAGCCCCCTCCTCTGCTGATTTGACGCCCTGACCACCTCCAAAGTTGGTACGACAGAAGCCTGGGGCAGCTAGAATAACGAGAATGTTCTCTTTCTCGAGACTGACAGCATCGACAGCACTAATCATATTGATCGCAGACTTGCTACTGCGGTAGATAGGCAGTTCCCATATCTTAGCACTGTATTCTGAAGTTGGCGAGTACGCGATGCCAATTTGACCAAGGCCGCTTGTCACATTGACAATACGTCGGTCATGGTACTTCGATGCGCGTAGGAGTGGTAGGAAAGTTGCTGTCATCACCGCCACACCGAAAACATTTGTTTCAAACACAGCTCGGTAGCTCTCGCGCAGAGTAGCATTTGGGTCGGACGATCTATTGATACCAGCGTTGTTGATGAGGATATCCAGCGATCCGAAACGCTCTTCAACGAACTTGGCTGCCGCAGTGATAGATTCGTCTTGGTCAAGATCGATAACAATAGGCGTCAAAGAGCTATTGGTGCTAGACTCCAGTTGCTTGACTGCGCCTTCGGCTTTTTCCTGGGAGCGGGCGGCAACAAGAAGATTATATTGGCCAGTGCTAGCAAGCTGTTGTGCTGTCGCGAATCCCAGGCCCTGGTTTGCACCGGTGATCAGAACCAAGGGTTTAGTGACGGCGGCCATTGTAGGAAAGTTTGTATTTGAAGGGATGAAAGATGTTGTAATGTCGATGTTGGTGGGAAGACAATGGATGGTCAATTAATTGCGGAGCGAAACGAAGCAATTATACTATATCATAAGGAAAGAAATGGTCTTAACGGAGTTTAGGATGTATCCCACTTCGGACTTAATCGGATTTACAATTTCCAAGTCATGATCCCTGCAAGCTGGCAAGTTAGTGCCCGAAGTCGTCCACGGCTACGGGTGGTAACCCCGGTTATATATACCCGACGAGTTGAGGGCTAGATTCCCGATTTCCCGAAAAATTGCCTAGGTGGTTCGCTGCTGTGGTTTTCGATGTACCAATCTACCTCGTTGCAGCCAGGGCGAGGTCCATGAAGCCCGAAAGGATAACAACATATCTCCACGATGGATATATTTGGAATACATCCCTTCTCATTAAACTCCATAATTACTACTTTGCTAATCTCATCAATCATTGAATTGGCATTTGTTTGAATCGAATCATGGCTGAAGTGACAAGACCACCCACCAAGGCATGGGCAACTCTATCACCATGGCTGCCCTCACGAGGGCCTGATGCAGATTATTGGTGGAGACTGACAGGCCAGCATCTGTCTAACATGGTCGAGGCTGCTGGATACTCAACAGACCAGCAATATGTGGCACTTCTCTTCCACTATCATTGGATCGTGCGCATCCCTGTTCCTTTTCCCCCACTCTTCCTCTCCATGTTTCACTAGAAACGCAGCAACACTAACGGAGTGGCTAGCATAGGTTCCCTACATGGGCCCCGCACCTGGACCAGACGGCAACCTCAAATGGAAATCTTTGCTGGGAGTTGAAGGGTCTCCGATTGAATATTCTTGGAAATGGAATACTGCGGCAGGCAAGCCCGATGTCCGCTACACCACAGAGGCAATTGGCTCCTTCACAGGAACCCTTTTGGATCCTCTGAACCAGCAAGCCACACTTGAGATGCTGCATCGCATAGCAGATTTCGTGCCAACTGTGGACCTTACCTGGACCAACCATTTCTTCGCCACCCTCTACGATCATGACCGCTCCAAATATGCCAAGGAAGCGGCGGCAGGTGCGCACTTCACCACTACGGTGGTAGTCGCCGCGGAGTGGCTCAAGAATGGTCTGAATCTCAAAACGTATTTTGTTCCCCGTCGTCTGGGTCAATCGGATGGGAAGTTGCCCATCGCTCTGTGGGAAGAATCACTCAAGCAGCTTGATCCGAACAGTGAATCTCGAGCCGCAATGCACGAATTCCTCAACAATGACCCGGAAGGAAAATTGCTGAGCCCCTTGTGAGCCTTTATCTTTGCATCTCAATAATAGATGCTTCCTCGTTTGGAATATTGCTAACGAGAATTCTTAGCATGCTGGCTGTTGATAATGTCGTCCCTGAAAAATCGAGGCTCAAGTTCTACTTCCAATCTCCCCATACCAGCTTTGCCTCTGTGCGGCAGGTCATGACAATGGGAGGGCGCATCCCCGTCCCTGAATCGCAGCTCCAGGAGCTCCGCAGTCTCATTGCAGCTGTTACAGGCCTAGACTCGGACTTCCCTGAGGATTCTGAGGTCCCTTGCATATCAGAGTACAACCCAGCCGCTAAAGATAACTTCGTTGAGATTGATCTTTTGCTTTCTGGGTATTTATACTATTTCGATATTGCTCCTGGAGCAACAGTGCCGGATATCAAATTTTATACTCCTGTTCGTCGCTATGGACCGGACGATGGTGCTCTTGCAAAAGGCATCGCTGACTGGATGACATCTCGCGGAAGGGGTGAATATAGCCAGAGATACCTGGACATGCTTGCAGATCTCACCGAGCATCGCAAACTAGAAGATGGAAAGGGTATGCAGACATACGTTAGTTGTCTGTTCAAGAAGAGCCACTTGGACGTTACGTCCTATATTGGCCCGGAGGCATTTGATCCCGCCCGCTTTCTGAAGCATAAAGTACACACCACCCGGTCCACCCGAAGACGGAGCGATAGTCATTGATAGGCAGAGCAGACGAAGAATCATTAGTTCTATGTTAATATGGTCATAATTGATTTCCTATCATTTCTCAACTACCCCTGAGTGCTGAAGGGTCTTCCTCATCATACTGTGGCACAATTAAGTATCTTACTAATTATATAGGTTAGCTTCGATGAATTTTTTTTTTTCCAAGAGATATACTCGACGCAGTAGATCATAGAAAGATGTAACGATATACGTGGAGAGTGCAGAAGAAATGTAAACCAGGGAGGTCGTCACAATATGTGATGTTTGCTAGTTGTTTGCCTTGTTTGCATCATTACGAACTGTAGCATCATATTGTTTGCTAAGGATCTGATTGGCTGATTGTTTCTAGAGGTGGGGCTTGGGCGTCTCTATCTCTCTTCCCTCCTTCTTCTTCTCTCTTTAGCTTTAGTTTCTGGTTGATCTGCGTAGAGTCCTGGCTCGCATCATAGTTTCAATGGCTATAGCCCTTGATGACTGCATCGGTAGAGCGACTGGTTGATGAAAGTTCGCCAGTTGGTCTTGTCAGTCTTGCCAGCATTTTTACGATACCTCAAGGCCAATCTCTTTGTTTCATTTATGTCTAGAACTGTTGAACTAAATAGTAGAACAATATTTATTGCCTTCTAATTTCGCGACGACGGCAGCGCTATGAGAAAGAGCTTATCTGAAATGATTAAAACAAGATAAAACATTGTATTGAGAACGAGAGAAAGGGAAAAATCTCAGCCCCCCCCCTGATTTGTATCAATATAACAGATCAAAGGCTGGATGGAGACAAATTTGCACTGTGCGCGTGTCATCCACGAACAGTTGGTTTATCAGACGATTGGGTTGTAGTAGGAAAATCGGCCCTCAGGATCATACTTGGCCTTGAGTTTCCGAAGCCTCTCCAAACGCCAAGGTTCATATCCATACATGGCTTCTAATGATTCTCTGCCAGATGCGTAATTGACGTACGCAGTGGGCTTTCGTGTTGGCTGGCCCTCGTTCCAAAACTTTTGGTTCTCGGTAACCCAATCTATGGCAACATTATCGAGTGTCGAATTTGGGGAATAGGAGACGGTAGTTTGCCTATAGAAGCAAAGAACTATTAGTATATTTCCTTTCGCTTGCAATTGTCAAACCACCCGGACAAAGGCTGAGACTTACATGAGCAAGTAATCATCTCGCATAGGATAGGCGGATGAATCCGAGTCCACTTTTCGAACCGCCTCCACAGAGTAGCCCTCCATCACAACAGCTGAAGCGGCGAGTTCTGGGTAGGACTTGATGTTTTTGTTGAAAAGATCGTAGATCTGGCGTTGCGCTGTGGCGTTATACACCTGAAGCCCAGCGGGACCGACTATCCGTTCAAGACCCTTATCACAAGTGGCATTGTTGATCCCAGTCCCCTGGACGTTGGGAACTTCAGGGAATGGAACATTTCCGTCAGTAGAACTGAGTGGATTGAGGTCATCAAACGGCGTCAGGTACTGTTGTGCCTCGCTTTGCGAGCCGGCGTAGCCAAAAGTCCACCAGATGATTGCCTGTTTGTTTTGTGATTAAATTATCAGCAAAACTTCACTCGGATATCTATCGGAAAAGACTAACCTCGGTGGCACTGACAGTAGAGTCCATCATGTAAATGCCATATTGAGCGGCCATCTTCACTGGCTGGGTTCCATTGCCCTGCAATACATTTAGCTGTTCGAAGAGGTCCTCTAATTTGTCCTGCGTGAAGACATAATTCTTGTAATACCATGAATGAACTTCGGTTGGGTAGATGCTCATTTCAAAGCTTGTCACCACTCCAAAATTATGGCCCGCACCCTTCATTGCCCAGAAGAGATCCGTATGAGAGGTGTTAGAAACAGTCGCAGTTGTTCCATCAGCCAACACAACATTGAGCTTGAGAATGTTGTCGCTAATCAAGCCATGGAAGCCTTGCTGACGTCCATGTCCGCCACCTAGAGCTGGGCCAAGCATTCCCACGCAACCGCAACTACCAGTAGCTGAGTTCCAGATTCAATGTTAGGTATTCCCTTGGTTGATTTGAGTAGGGGTGTTTTTTGTTCGAGTTTTACTTACTTGTAACGTAGCCTTCCTCCCATAGCGTGTTCATGACTTGTTGATCGTACGTTCCTCCTTGGAAAAGAGCGGACTTTCCGTTAGACTGTATGGTAATTCCAGTAAGAAGTTGCATATCGATCTCCAAGCCACTGAATTTGGCCTGGGAAATAGGAAGACCATGGCCCCGATTAACTGCGTAGAATGGAAGACTGTTGCGATTGGCATATTTGATCTTCTCGGGCGTTAGATTTGGATTTGAGGGTCCGGAAAAGGAGACGTACAATGACTGAAACGTCAGATTCGCGAGCAACCTGCACCACCACTGTAAATTTGGGCGCGGCATACTGTTGATATCTCGCCGTGGCATTTGCCCAACGTGAATCGCTAGGTCCGAAGATACTTGAGGCGTTGGAAATCAGCGGACCAAGTTCTTGACTGACTTCTAGTGGACTGAGATTGACCCGTGTTCTCAGGCAGAGTCCGTCTGGACAGTCTTTTGGTGCAGCAGCTGCCAGAGACGCCATAATGGCGAGACCAAAGCCCCAAACATTCGATATTTGCACCATCCTGTTGAGTATACAGTGAGATGGGTGATATGGAAGAACCTGGACTTGTTCAAGTGAACTATTATCAACCTTTATATAAAATTCCAGATGTTATTTTTTGCCCTGTAAGTTACCGACGGAGATCGGGAACATGGGAAATTCATTTCCACATCGACAGAACGAGGCTCAGACTGGTAGATTGGCCCCCAAATCCAACAAAATGTACTGTGATTCAGCCTTAGAGGTACGTACAACAGGAGATGTAAGCCGCGCTAGCGCACTGCCCCCTGGTGTAGAGTAAGTGAATGGCGCTGAAGTACATTCCATACCAAGAGGAAGCAAAGGAAGAGGAAACTTGTGATTCAGAGATCGACCAAATGGTTGCCTGTTCCTAAAATTCTCTGCTGGCTAACTTGGCTTTTACGCAATATGCACTTAGATCTCTTGGTATTCTTAGGCTATGAACTATGCAGTCAGAAAGACGATCTTACTGCATTAAAAAGGGGGCGCCCCGAAAGCTGAAAGGTGAGTGGCAAGGCACACATCAAGGTTCTGTAAAATTCATATCGGAGAGTGAGAATGGGACCTATATGAAACTGGGATCCATAGTGATTTCCCCATCTACGAATATCTGGAGATCATTACACGCTCAGCTGAAAACCGCCCAAAAAAATTGCTCATAGACTACTTCTGCGATGAAAACTAGATATAATTTTCGACCGTTCTACAAGCCTGCTTGATACGTAGTATAAATAAATCTTGGATTATGCAAAATGTTGCGAAGTCTGCCAAAGAGCCCGTTTCATTCAATGCGTAGTTCTTGGCCCCATTGCTGGTCACGCTCGTTCCGCCAGCAACAACTACCGATCGGACATACGAAAGCGAAACTGATGTTTAATTCCACCGGACTTAATGCAGGGGCATCCGTGATCGGGAAACTTCTGTGATCTAATCCAAATCTCATCTCGGGGATGTCGGGAACGTCGGGGACGTCGGCGATTCAATCGATCCACGCAGAGCGATCGCCAAGGTTGACAATCAGTGTTCCTTGTACACTTTATTACTTTGTCGATGAAGAACAATAATAAAACAAGAGATTCATCCATGTTCCAGGCGTCAAGGTATTCATTCACTCGAGCCGTTTTCAAAGTTTGATCGCAGCGAAATAAACATGGCCCTACAACTCAATGGGGTTGCAGTGGTGACTGGTGCTGGTAGGATGCTGTTCGGAGGCTTTCGTAGTACCGGTTCTGACGTGTCTAGGCAGTGGTATCGGTAAAGCAGTCGCCCTCGCCTATGCCGCCGAAGGCGCCCGGGGTGTGGTTATAGCCGATTTGAACCTCGAGGCTGCACTCCAGACGGCACGAGAGAGTGAATCAATAGCTACTAGCCCCACCTACCGGGCACTTCCCGTGGCTGTTGATGTGACCGACGAGAAAAGTGTCGACCATATGGTCACGGCAGCAGTTCAGGCATTTGACCGCATTGATTATAGTGTGAACAGCGCTGGGATCGGGGTCAAACATCACAAGCCCGTCGATAAGGCGGAGGTTTCTGAGATGAACGCCTTCTGGCAGGTCAACGTGTTGGGAACACTCAACTGTATCAAGTCCGTGACCAAGGTTATGAAATCACAGAGTGTCAGCACCTTGAACAAACAGGGGAAATCACGCCAAGTTGGCCGAGGCGTCATTTTGAACGTGGGATCATGCAATTCGTATATCGCGACGCCAGATATTGTCCCATATACGACGACGAAGCATGCTGTTATGGGGTTGACCAAGAGTGCCGGTATGTCGGAATTCGAATAAACTCCAAAATCCAGGCTTATATTTTCTTGCTTTGCAGCCCTCGATCTAGCACCGCATGAGATACGTGTCAATGCGATTTGCCCAGGCTGGGTCAATACACCTATGGTGACTGCAGCCATTAATGGAAACCCGGATCTCCCTGAGATGATGCGAACAATTATTCCCATGTCACGTATTGCCGAGCCGGAAGAGATTGCAGACGTGGTCTTATTTATGACTAGCCCCAGATCGAGCTATGTAACTGGTGTCGGTTGGGTTGTAGACGGTGGAACAACGCTGCAAGTGCAAACTTGTTGAAATGATCATGTATCTCTCTGAGCCGGGTACATTACTAGCAATTCCACATCTTTAGGTTGATAAAATGCTGTTCTCAACGGTATATCGTTAGTCTCAGAGTTTTATAGAAGCTATACAACGAAGGTGCATCGCGGCCGGGGCAGTTCACCCAACCGGTGGCCCACCCAAATCACGTGAGATATCCACCGTTTGGGTGAGCTTATCAGTGATTATTTAATGGTCTTGAGATTACGCACATTAATTAAATCATTACTAGTTAGTTACTGGAGGCCTAGTTGACTACTTACATCAAGGTCTTATTGAGGTGTTATCCCTCCCTGATTCGCCTCAAGTGGTTGATGAGAGGTATTGATGAGAAATGATTGGTGGAAAGCTGGTATTGTTAAGGTATTGGTGAGGTTTAAAAACCAAATTACAGAAGTTGACCCAACCAGTGAAGATAAGATAGGCTACCAGTCACGTGATTTGGGTGGGCCACCGGTTGGGTAAAAAAAAAATGGCATGTAGGGTGGGTGAACTGTCGTCTCCTTCAAATTCGTGGTTTAACTAGTTTAAGACTATTCATAGGCGCCGAGAACATCATTTTCTGCATTTGCCGCGGCGACCATGATCATCTCTTGTCTCCCCAGTCGGGGCTTGATGTCAATATCGAAAGGCAGACACTGATTTAAGAACCCATCGCGGTATGCTGTGGCCGGGTTGACATCAACAGGAATAGGATTGCCGGAACCATCCAACTTCTGTTGAACAGTAAATCCCCATAGAAGCTTAGCCATAGCTATGAAAAGCGCGCGTTCAGCCAAATGAATGCCAGGACAGATCCGTCGACCTGCTCCATAGCCAAAATGATCACGCTTTTGTGCATCACCAGCATTGGCATAAACTGAAGCGAGTCGGGTTTGCTCGGCAAATCGAGACGGTTCGAAAGTCTCGGGGCTTGGGTAGCGGGACTCATCATTGTGAATACCCCAGACGTTGAGCACCACGGATGTCCCCTTGAGGAATTTCATCCCTTCAAATTCGTCATCTATATCAACATATGAGCGTATTGCTCTGTTTCATTCTCGATCATAGGGTAAGTTTCAGCATACCTTGAGCTAGAGTATGGGGGAATGATCCTGGAGCTGGAGGTCGCCAACGCAAGACTTCCTTGACAATCATCGCCACATAGGGTAGCCGATCATAGTCACTCCAGGATGGACACTCTCCATCGGTGAGAACACTATCGATCTGCTTTTGAGCTCTGGCCTGAACTTCAGGGTACGTGACCATGGCTTGAAAGAAGGTGAGTATTGTCGTAGCCATGGTGTCTGTCCCACCTTCGAGTAAGTTGCCACACATGATATCTATTTCTTCTCTGGTGAGTTGCAGCTTCTCCTGCCGATCAAGAACTCCATCAAGGAAAGTCGCAGCAGTACCAATATTCTTGCGGCGTTCCAGTACCCGATCCACAAGAGGGGAATGGAGGTTCAGGACTCGTTGACGAAGTCGAGCGGCTCGTGTCTTCCAATCACCCCAGAGTCGCTCCGGGAGATATTTGAGAAACGGCAGCCAATCTACCGGTGGGCTGGCACCAATCTCGCCCAAATTGCTCAATTCTGTTACTATGCGTTGCAGCTCAATGCAGTGGGGGCTAGAGTAGTGAGGTGTGCGAATGCCAAACACTAACATCATCCGAAATTAGCAGCTGATCTTGTTCCATGAGAATTACACTTACCCAAACTCATGATAATGCTGTTGCTGTATCTAGCAGGATGCTGCATAAACGAATCCGGCTCGAGGCACAAGTCGCGTAGCAAATGTGTGGCTTCTGCCTCGACGAGACGTATATGCTCCGTGTTACACCGCGCCTCATTCATTAGCTGAAAGTAAAGCTTTCGTCTGAGTTTCCACCGCTCGTTCGCATCCATAAACATAGGATGGTCACCAGCAAAGACCAGGTCGCCCAGCACAAAGGATGGCGGCCGATTGCTCGAGTTGGCTGAGCGCTTATCTAGGAGATGTGTTGCATGGTACGCAGAAGTCAAAACCACCATGAGACCATGCGAACCAATCCTGAGTGGAAAGACGGGACCATATTGCTTCGCCCAGTCGGTGAATCTGTGGGAGTTCTCATTAGCGACAATGCAAGAAAGTGAGGGTTGAGCAGTCCTAAGTACCGCAAGTGGATACCCGCCCTGGGAAATTGGTGAATATTTCCAATGAAAGGGAGTGTCTGAGGTCCTGCAAGATGATCTTAATGAAGAGTTCAAAGTATAGGTTGAGCCCAAATTTTCTCCTACCGGGAGGCAAGCGCTGTTTTGGCGAAAAGACCCAGCTCGATAGCCATACGGCTAGGATGAGAACTAAAGGTCCCAAGAATAAAATTGCTGCCATGTTTACACTTGATGGCTAAAACATGCGAAAGCAGCAGTGATATCACTCATTATAGCTGTGTAGATTCTACTGCACCATGTGGTGGGCCCCTCCAAACGCGGCTTCAAATCACAAATTACAGAAGGATATGGGCACATTGACAGACCAGAACGGGAATAGATCCAAGTTTTCCCTTCTCTCTTGCGTCTCGGCAAATGCGTAATGACCGACCTGTTAGGATCACTCGGGGAAGCGGGGATCTCTATGTTTATGCCACTGGGATTACAACCCTGTCGACTAATTTCCCCGATGACTTGGGTAAATCACCTTCTACGCTGCCAGAAATCTCCACCGCAAGTATGTCGGCGCTTTCGTTCCTCTACTCTCAGCTCTTCGTCGAGCCGCCAGTTCCCACGCATGACTTCCAAGGCCAAACTGTTATCATCACTGGATCTAACAGGGGCATCGGTTTTGAGGCTGCCCGTCATTTGTTGAGATTGAATGTGAGTCGACTCATATTAGCTGCACGGTCAGCTGAGAAAGGCCAGATAGCCGCGGATACACTCGAACAGTTGACGGGGCGATCTGGAGTCATCCAAGTCGAGGAACTGGATATGGCCAATCAAGAGTCAGTGCAGGAATTTGCTACCCGAATGGAAATGTGTCGAATAGACGCCGTTCTGCTAAATGCAGGTATCTACACCCATGACTTTGTTTGGGCCGACAATCATGAAAGCACGTTGACCGTGAACGTGATTAATACGTTTTTGCTGGCTATACTGCTTCTTCCAGCACTCAGACGCTCATCCAAAACATGGGTGATTCAGCCCTGCATCAGTTTCGTGGCATCCGACAGGCACGTAATGTATGATCTCCCAGAGTGGAAAACACAAAACACCTTCCAAGTTTTGAATGATCGACAGCAAGCCAGGATGCATGAAAGGTGAGTTCAATCTATTGTCTTTTACACATTGCAAACAAGGCCGAAAAGAACTGATGTAACATTCTCAGGTATCCCATCTCCAAATTGTTGGAGATACTACTTGCGAGGGCGATGGCAAAACAACTTGATTCAAACCCTCCTAACGGCACCAGCAATATAATTGTCAATTCATTCACACCTGGCTACTGCACTTCTGGTCTCATCGAGAATGTGCACGGGATCACAGGGTTCGCGCTCTGGCTTCTGAGCAAGGCCACCGCTCGGACGACAGAAGTTGGAGGTCGCACATTGGTCGCAGCTATTGCGCAAGGGGACAAAAGTCATGGAAAGTACCTAAATGACGGCCATATTGATGAGTATGAACCCTTCCGAGAATATCTCTCTTCATACAATTTTCAAGCCGTGGCTGACCCATGCCTTTTATCATCAGATCAGCATTGTCTCCATTCGTAAGAAGTCAAGAAGGCATATTGGCGATGGAGAAGCTATGGGAAGAACTGATGGAAATTTTAGAGCAGAAGCGACCTGGAATTGGTCTACTCCTCAGTCCTGTACCATAATGTAATGTACTTGATCCAGATTTTTAACTTGAAGTCCTTTTTTTAGTATATGATGATGATGAACCCCTCCTAATCATGTATATCCTGGAATTACTAGATTGCTTGATTCTGTAGGTTGGCATTCGGTATATTTTTTCAAAATGCCACACCTTCTGAATTCCCGATCTCGCACCTAGGTATTCCCGAAGCTCCTGCTAATGATGACTCGGAAAGGGCCAATTCATCACGGGGTTTGATAACTTGCCCGAGTTTTCCGATATCTGCGCTAGTAATAGACTTCCTATATTGATAATTACCGGTGATTTGAAGACAGGAGGGCGTATGGTATTCGATATACGTCGGTGTTCCGACAATTCCCATGAGCAGAGACGCTCTCAGGTTTGTTATACATAGAGAAGATATTTCTTTTTCGTGGCAATTATCTCCAGCCTTTCATAACGAAAGACAAGATATCTTACTACTTTACTTTGGGAAAATTGCCATGTCCGCTCCTAAGGGACCTATTACCAAGTTTCCGGCCGAAGGCCTTCGCCATGCGCGCAGGTTCATTACAACCCACAACAAGGAAGGCAAAGGCGTATTTGCTGTTGACGATGATGGAGACCACCACCGGATCATGGTGGATGGGCTGGCGGTCGCAAACATCATTTACAGCACCTCTGGGAATCCAGTGGACATGAATGATGATAATGACCTGGTTTATGCACGCGACAATGAGGTACGAAGGTTTGCTGGGCAAATCAACCTATTTGTCTGATTATGGATCGCGTCTGCTAACACTTGGCTTTGTCCCTCTTAGCCCCCCATTCATGTCTCAAACGGAAGTGTTGTTCGTTTGATTGACTTTGGCCCAGGCGTGGAATCGCCCATTCACCGTGCCTTATCAATTGATTACGGCATCGTGGTGGAGGGAGCTTTTGAGCTCACACTTGACAGTGGCGAGAAGAAGTTGATGTTGCCTGGTGATATGAGTAAGTCTTTGCTTACGCTTTCGATAAATTCCAATAGTATTTTGTGGCTGACCCAATTAGGTGTGAACCGAGGCTGTATGCATATGTGGAAGAACTTAGACGAAAACCGACCGGGACGCATGTTATTTGTCCTGCTCGATGTGACTCCGACGAAGGTGAATGGGGAAGAGATTACTGAGCACTTGGGGATTTTGGAAAAGGACTACGCGGATGTGAAGCAGTGATCACCGCAAGTGAAGCCATCTTTCTGCAGCAGTCATGTAAAATCCATACTTGCTAGAGCGAAGGGAAATCATTTTATAGTCCTATATCGGCTTACCTTTTCAGTACACAGAAGAACAATATATCGTTCAATAACCTTTCTAATGACCTTTTCATTTCTCAAATACATATTCTTTACCACTTTCATAAGTTCCCTTAAATACCTCTAATAAAGCGTTACATATGCCAAATTACCTAGCTGGATGAAAGCAATGGTCTGCAAGACTGGATATATCATAAAACCGGTATGTCACGAGCAACAAGCTCGTGGTGTTTATTTTGTTTGCATTGACGATGGTTTTTGTTGATATGATTGGTCAATCTAGATTATAATGCCATCTAGGTATCATTCCATTTCTTTCTTCTTCCTTTCTATCTTTAGTTTCCTAGTTAAATCATATCTCTCATCACAGGTTTTTTATCCTCGTGACACTTATGATAACTTCAAAATTTGGGTATCACATGGATCTGCACTGATTGAGATGCTAGTGACGATATGAACGTGAGATAATTGCCAAATGAGGAAATACCAAGGCATGAGTTAAGTAAATGTCTAGCCTTATCGCTGTTCTTTTTGAATCAAATTTCCGAATGTGGAACGGTTCATTCAGCAATCAAATTTATACAACTAGACTATTACCAGTGTGATGGGATGAATCTTTTCTAGGTGAATTTCGTAGATCTCGAAAGATTTCTATGAAGCTAGTTTAAGTGTGCGCTTTCTATGATGTAGTCACTTGGCTCAATTCTCACATTCGGAGCTTGTTCAAGTTGAATTGTCGAGTGAATATCCAGTCCTAGAGACAGGATGTTAGCCATTGTACCGCTGGTGTTCAGCCAAACGGAATTATAGAGAGTTTACCCAAAGCGTACGAGGAAAGAACTGCTCGCCAAATCTTACAATCCCCGAGCTGGCTCCTGTCCAGAACCAAGCAGTCGAGTGTTGCTTCATCACTTCAATGACGACGGACCGGGAATACTCCGCCGGTGTAGTCGTGCCTGTATCAAGCGTTAGTACTATGCAATTCACTCACAAAGCTAAATAGATAAATGCTCACGAGGTGTTCTTGTGACATGATTCATGAACTCTTTCTCGAGCGGGCGGTAAAACGAGTCCTCTGGTAGTTTGCGATTGTGATCCCGTTTCAAAATGTTCGTGCCCACTTCTCCGGAGATAACATTGACCACTTCAACACTTCATTTATTGAAGTCAGCGCGGGTGACTATCTTCTAGTAGAGAGGCTTACCCGAGCGGCTTCATCTCGACTCTTAAGGTGTTGCCCCAGTGGTGGAGAGCGGCCTTTGTTGCATTGTAGCTAGCTTCAAAGTCGGTCAGCTCCTATCTCGAGCACAGTTCAGGCGATCAAAAGTCAACTTGCATCCATAAACATAAGGAACAATACCGCCCACGCTGCCAATGTTGACAATCTTCCCCCTGGCTTTGATAAGTAGAGGGTGGAAGATGTGGACCATTCGCATCGGTCCGAAAACATTGACACCAAACATCTTCTCTACCTCTTTCACATCTGTATCGATTGCGGTCATCGTATAGCCTGCTTGGTTTAGCCCATTTATCACCTCTTTTGGCTCTTCGTCACTCACATATCCCTCTATCCAAGTTTGAAGCCATCGTTAGATCAGCCAACGAAAAATAGACATATATTACTTACGCATTATTAACAAGCACACTCAGACTGCCTTCTGTCAAGCTTGAAATGGCCTCCTTCAACTGCTCAATGTCACTGTCCTTCGTAACATCCGCAGTGAACGAGTGTATTCCGAGATCGGTCAAATGGTCCCGTGGCTCATGGGCGAGAAGAGTGGTGAAGACCACGTATCCTAAACATTGAACGATCAGAACTTGTTAATACAAATTTTCTATGTAACATACCTTGATTCTTGAAGTCAAGTGCCAAAGCATGTCCGATTCCCCCCTCGCCGCAACTACCTCCATCATGAGCATTTCAACCTGTAAACAGGATCCAGTCTGCTTTTACCCAGTTATCAGGACCGAAGGACGAGTATGTGCCTTGGTAATCATATCTGAAGAATAAAATCCTATTCTAGTGGCTGGAAAGGTCGCTAGTTCTGATGCACTGTCAAGATCACGGGAATAGAAATCTCTCAACAAGCAGAGTAACTGGCCCCTTGTTATCTAGAATCTATAGCCAGAGCAAAATTTCCCCAAGAAAATGCGATTGGGCTACTCCGGAGATTGAATGTCCGGCGTAGAGACTCGTCGGTGACTGCATGTGCCCGAGCCGCGAAGCCCGTTCTTCGATTCCCAGATGGCCGAAAACTTCATATTTCTCGGCAAAATACACGGTAACCCCAAGTTTACCGGGCTCATCATGCAATTCCAGAGAATTCCGATATCTGTAAATGCAGGTGTTTTGTCGGCGATCGCTTTCAATGAGCACAATGAGACCAGATATGGCGGGTCTTAGCCTCAAGGTAAACATATACATATGTATATGATCAAGAGACGCTCAATAAGTTCCAAATAGGAACTATTACTTCTTTTTCGAAACAATATTGGCTGCTCAAATTTATTTGCCCCGCGTGAACCTCATCATGTCGCCTATTTTACTAGATTCATCACCTGCGGATGAAGGCCTTGGTGAGGCCATTGCCATCTGCGGAATTGGTAAGGCATGCTTCTTGATTGTCTTTGTGAATTGTAATAATATTTATCTCCCATCAGCCTGTCGCCTACCAGGGGAAGTTTCAAGCCCTCGTGAATTTTGGGATCTGATTTCCAATGGTAGATCGGCCCAATGCAAGGTCCCCAAATCGCGTTTCAATGTCGACGGCTTCTATCACCCCCAGGGCATGGATCGCCCCGGAAGTATGATCACAGAAGGCGGTTATTTTCTTGATGATGACGTGCGAGAGTTTGAGAACAGTTTCTTTGGGATCAACAACCTCGAAGCGAAGTATATGGACCCTCAACAACGAAAGATGCTTGAAGTTGTATACGAATGCATGGAAAATGCAGGAATACCTCTGGATCAAGCATCTGGGTCAAATACAGGATGTTATGTGGGAAATTTCACTGTTGACTACATGGTGATGCAGCTGAAAGACCCTGACTAGTAAGTACATATTGTCCTTTTCATGGGTCCGTTGTTAGGTCTCATAGCTAACTAGTGTAGTCTGAGCCGTTACTCTGGAACGGGTCTAGGCACTACAATCTTGGCAAACCGCATCAGCCATGTCTTCAATCTTCTAGGACCTAGGTAAGTCGTAAATTGCAACATATCCACTGGAATTTATGATTTCTCACCTTTGGTCGCTTCTGTTCAGTCTTCTTCTTGACACAGCCTGCTCCTCATCACTCTACTGTCTTCACATGGCATGTACAGCCCTGCAGAATCGCGAATGTGACGCCGCCATTGTTGCCGGCGCGAACCTGATTCAGTCCGCCGAGCAACATATTGCTACAATGAAAGCTGGGGTCCTCTCCGGAACATCAGCGTGCCACACATTTGACACTTCTGCCGACGGCTATGGTCGTGCGGATGGCATTGGGGCCTTGTATGTCAAGAGGCTCGAAGATGCCCTGCGAGATGGTGACCCAATCCGGAGTCTGATACGTGGGTCAGCGGTCAACGCGTAAGTGAAGCTTTTTTTTTCTCCCCAACTCCTGGCTTTGTGCTGAAATGCGATTGTATCCAGGAATGGCAAGACATCTGGAATCAGTTTACCCAGCGCCGATGGTCAGGAGGCGGTAATCCAAAAGGCCATGGCCAAGGGTGGAATCGTTCCGGACGACATTACGTTTGTCGAGTGTCATGGCACCGGGACCAAAGTCGGCGATGCCATCGAGGTTGAGGCATTATCGCGGGTGTTTCAACGCACGCCAAATAACCCCCTCATGATCGGGTCGGTGAAAAGTAATGTCGGACATTCTGAAGCAGCGAGCGGAATTTCAAGCGTGATCAAGTCTACCCTTGCCCTTGAACGCGGCCAAATTCCACCCACTCATGGCTTAAAAAACATCAATCCAAAGTTGAAGGTTGAGGACAGGAATATCAAAATTCCAACTGAGTTGACGAATTGGCCAAACCACTCGTCTCGAGTGCGGCGTGTTGGTTAGTACGGCGTGTTCGACAGACAAGAAGACCAATCAGCTAATTCATCACTCAAGGTATTAACTCTTTTGGTTACGGCGGTGCGAACTGTCATGTTATCCTAGAGCAGCCTACCAAGACTTTGAGTTCATCTCGGCAGCTCAGACAACTGCCCATCACCCAGTCCACAGTGATCCTACCTCTATCCGCTGCCTCAACCGCCTCCCTCGAAGCCCGCGTAGCGGACTTTGCACGATATGAATTTGGTGACACAGATATTGCAGACCTTGCGTATACATTGGGCTCCAGGCGAACTCACTTTGCCGAGAGAGGGTTTTTACTTGCTCCGCGGTCACAGGAAAGCTCTCATAGTTTCCAGACACGCACCTGGGTAACATCAGCCAGCCCAGTCACAGGTGTTGCATCTACTCCATTTGCGTTTGTTTTCACCGGACAGGGGTCTCAGTGGCCCGGCATGTGTCGTGAGCTCCTCTCGGAATTTTCTCTTTTCCGGGATACCATCACGGAGATGGACTCAGTCCTCAAGAGCCTCCCAGGGCCCCCCAGTTGGTCACTGATGGAGGCGATCTTGGATGTTGATAACCCAAGCCTCATCCATCTACCACAGCGATCTCAACCATGCTGTACTGCGATACAAGTTGCCCTCATTCGACTTCTGTCTTCTTGGGAAATTGCCCCTACGATGACAGTCGGCCACTCTTCGGGTGAAATCGCAGCTGCCTTCGCCGCAGGTCATGTCTCTGCAGCCGAGGCAATCGTAATTGCCTACTATCGTGGATACTGCGTCTCAAAATCTACTCGTGTCGGTGCTATGATGGCTATCGGCTTGTCTGAAAGCTCCACCACGGACGAAATTGCGAAAGCAGGACTGGATGACCAGATCCGAGTGGCTTGCGTCAACTCTCCGGAGGGGGTCACCGTCTCAGGCGATGAGAATGCATTGGACATCTTCTTGGCGACTTTGCAACAGAGGAATATTTTCGCGCGCAAGCTGAAGACAGGCGGGCAGGCGTATCACTCCCACCACATGGTATCCATTGGAGAAGAGTACCAGGCCCTGTTGGAACGGGCCCTCCCTAGTTTGGGTCCCTCGATTCGACAGCCCCAGGGTGCCTCTGTGATGTCTTCGGTGACTGGTGAGCTCAAGTCATCTGGATTCACAGCAAGTTACTGGAGAAGCAACCTAGAAAGCCAGGTGCGGTTTGCTCATGCGATTGAACGCATTCATGAACTCACGGAGCACTGTTTTATCGAGCTTGGCCCTCACTCTTCACTGGAACTGCCGATCAAGCAAACCTTGGCAAAAGCCGGCGCAGAACTCAAATATGCTGCCCCAATCAAGCGTAATGTGGACTCGATGGAAAGCATCCTGAGCTTTGCTGGAAACCTGTGGCTCAAAGGGTATGAGATCAATTGGTCAAAGGTCAATGGCCTCCAGACAGGGTTGAAGTCTGTGCGCTCTATGTACCGCGTGGTCACAGATCTTCCACCGTATCGCTTCAACTACGAGAACATCCTCTGGAACGAATGCCGCGCCAGTGTTGAATACAGGCAGCGCAAGTATCCGCATCATGAACTCCTGGGTAGCCTACTCACCGGTGGAAATGCCCGCGACAAGATCTTCCGCAATATCCTCAAGGTGGATGATGTCTCCTGGCTTAAGGACCATAAGCTTGGTGATACGGTCGTTTTCCCTGGTGCAGGGTATTTGGCGATGGCGATGGAGGCTGTTATGCAGGCCACCGACGCGGCGCGCACGGACCCTACATTTCAATTCTCCAACGTCAACATCACGAACGCGTTGACCTTGAACACAGAATTCTCGACCAGCGCGGAGATCTTCACTTCTCTGCACAAGTCTGTCATTACCAATGCAGCCACATCAGCCACCTGGTGGGACTTTGCTATATCAAGCTACCACAATGGATCTGCGGTACAGCATGCATCTGGATCGATCGCTATTCACCCACGCAACGCGGCTCTGCAGTCAAAATATAAGCCACCAAGCGGAGCGCTTGAATCCACAGCCAAGCGGACTTGGTACGAAAAATTCATCAGGCAGGGGTTGAACTATGGCCCAACCTTCCAAACCATCTCCGAATTTTATACCCCGCGTATGAAATCGGAGTCGTTCGCTAGTGCTACAGCGCCTCTATTGAAGACAAGTGGCGATTCCATTTCGGTATATCCAGTGCACCCAATCGCTTTGGACGGCATGATCCAACTAGCTGTGGTTGCAGCCACCAATGGCAAACCTAAGGAGTTACGTGCCCAGATACCCACGAGGCTGCCATCGGCAATCGTCCACACTTCTACTTCCTCCAATCAGACTTGCCAAATGCATGCAGTCGTCAAACGGATTGGATTCGGATACACTCATGCTGGTATAGAAATGATTGACAGCGATGGACAAATTGTGGCTCAATTCGATGATATTCGACTCTCCCCGTACCAATCCACCAGTCAAGCAGACATAGAAGATAAGCGCCATCCAGTTCTTCGGGTACTTTGGAAGCCTGACATTTATGGACTGGGGCTCATGGCCATGGATGATGCGCAGCACCATGTCCAGAAGTTTGCTGATGAGGCCCATTCACCGGTGTCCGGCCCGCTCCTCAAGATGGGCGCTATGCTGGACCTTTTGGCGCACAAAAATCCCCGCCTCCGTATTTTGGAAATTGGAAATGATGTGCAAGACATCACCCTGGCTGTATTGGGACTTCTATCCGCACAGGGGAGCTTCAAGCGCCTGTCCGCATATAGCACAGCATCAGTTTCTGATGATGGCACTATCTTGGGAGGTCTCTTAAACCTTGAGACTGGAGAGCGCTGCTCCAGTCCCACTGAACTGGACCATGAGTATGACCTCATCCTACTTCCGGCGATGAACGAACATATCGACCGGGCCGTGGATACCTTTGGCGGCTTGATGGCCGACGACGCATCCATTTTGGCCTTATGCCCCGGATTGACAAGCAATTCATTTGCCTCGCGTGGTCTCGATTGTCTTCCCGTCCGCCTTTCCGAGGATGGTACAACACTTATCGTTGCGCGCAAGCCGCAGGAATTGCAACAAGTTTCACTGCAAAGGCACAAATTCCTCATCGTTGAGCGTGAGAAAACTGCGCTCGGATCTGCACTGGCGGATACCCTGAAACCCATCCAAGGACAATGGGTGATGCGCGTCCGGCTAAATGAGCTCACACCCGCACATGTCTCGAGCGGGACAACAATTTTCAACCTCTGTGAGATAAAGTCTCCTCTTCTATCCGTCATCTCTGACGATGAGATGGCCCGCGTCAAGGTCATGACAGACAACGCAACATTATTGGTGTGGGTTACCAATGGTAATATTATGCATGGTGACAGGCCGGACTTTGCTCTTGTATCTGGCCTGGCCCGAGCATTGATGCTAGAACAACCCTCGCTTAAGCTCTACACCTATGATATTGACGAGCCTGAAACTCAAATCCATATGACTGCGAAGCGTCTGGTATCTCTTCTCACCCAGCCTGGTAAGAAGCCAGACCTAGAATTTGCGCAGCGCAAGGGGGTGGTCCACGTCTCGCGGTTCACACCCGATGACAGCATTAATACCCTCTTCCGCAACAAGCAGGGACTTGAGACGACCGAGTCTAGCTTACACGATGCCAAAGACGTGAGACTCGCCATCGAGCAAGCTGGGCAGCTGGACACTATTTATTTCCAGCAGCTGAAAGCTCCACAAACGATTGGCCCGACCGATTTGCGCATCCGGGTCGCGTCGGTCGGTCTCAATGCGAAAGACTATTATGTCTTGGTTGGACGAGTCGACACGCCCGACGCCACCTGTCAGTTGGAATGCGCTGGCACAGTCGAACAAGTAGGGTCTCTTGTGACAGATTTCGCTCCCGGAGATCGTGTCGTTGCCATGGCACCAAGCCATTTCCAAACATATCAAACCCTTCCTCAGTGGGCATGCCACAAGCTTACCGATGCGGAGAGCTTTGACATTAGCGCTACGTTACCTATAGTCTACGCCACCGCCATCTATGCCTTGCACTACCGGGCCCATATCCAGGCTGGGGAGACGGTCTTGATTCATTCCGGAGCCGGCGGAGTTGGCATCGCGGCAATCCAATTAGCTCTACATGCAGGAGCGGAGGTAAGTCGAATTGAAACCGTTCAATTTATGGAATGCATGCTAACAAAACCATTGTGAAGGTGTTCACCACTGTCTCTTCAGATGAGAAGAAAAAGTTCTTGGTGGATAAACTTGGCGTCAAAGCATCCAACATCTTCAGCTCTCGCGATACTTCTTTCCTCGAGGGTATCTTCAGTGCTACGTCTGGGCGCGGCGTAGACGTCATTCTCAACTCTCTGACAGGCGATCAGCTACACGCGACGTGGAGGTGCTGTGCAGCGTTTGGTCGTTTTGTGGAGATTGGCAAGATGGACCTTACCACCGCTGGCCGTCTAGAAATGGACCAATTCCTACAAAGTACCACTTTCACAGCCTTCGATCTCAGCCATCTCTACCACACCGATAGTGAGCAGCTTCACTCTCTATGGAATGACCTTCTTTCCCAGGCCATGAAACTCTACCGGCAGGGAACCATCACCGCGTTCGAGCCGCTGAATATTTTTGATATCGGTGAGACTGAGCAGGCATTCCGTTACTTCTCATCGCGCAGCAGAATCGGCAAGGTGGCCATTAATCTTGAACGGGCTGAGTCCACCATCCCAATCCAACCCCTGAGGCACACCACGCAATTTGACAGTGAGAAGAGCTATGTGATGGTAGGCTGCTTGGGCGGTCTGGGGCGCACTCTTTCGCGTTGGATGGTCAACCGAGGTGCCCGGAAATTTACCTTCCTAGGTCGATCCGGTATTGACAAGGCAGCTGCACGCCACCTGGTCCAAGACCTCGAAGCATCAGGTGCCAGATGCGAGGTAGTCAGAGGTGACGTTTGCGAGGCGTCTGATGTCGAAGCCGTTATCACTGCGGCTGCCGCCATGGGTGAGATTGGCGGAGTTGTGCAGGCGGCCATGGGTCTGAATGAAGCAATTTTCTCTGTCATGCCCAACGAATACTGGCATACTGGCATCGACCCCAAAGTACAAGGATCTTGGAATTTGTACAACAGCCTGCAGATGCACGGACGGGGCTCTCATCTTGATTTCTTCCTGATGACTTCCTCCGTCTCTGGCAGCGTCGGTACTGCGACCGAGTCTAACTACTGTGCCGCAAACCATTTCCTTGACCAGTTCTCTCGCTTCCTGCGCAACCAAGGATATCCGGCCGTTGCGGTTGGCTTGGGTATGATCTCAGAAGTCGGCTATCTACATGATAATCCCGAAATTGAGGCCCTCCTTTTACGCAAAGGGATTCAGGCCATTGATGCCGACGAGCTCCTCCAGCTCATTGATCTTGCCTTGTCATCCAGCGCTACAATGGGAATATCGCACGCACACGATGAATTAGCCGCTTCCCATCTTCTGACGGGTCTAGAAGCCTTCGGACTAAAGGAATTGCGCAAGAGAGGCTTCGAAGGGTCCCATCCAGCTTTGGACGATCCACGCGCCAATCTTTTAGCCAGCGCCTTGGACGGTGGCTCGGATGAGTCATCGCAAGCGCAGAACGGAAGCCTACCTGCTGAGGTTACGACCCTGATGCAATCAGGTCACACCCTCGACGAGGCTGTGCTGGATCACATCCGCCGGCGATTTGGCAACCTCGTCCTTTTGAAGTACGAGGTTGTGGATGTCAAGAAGCCTTTGCTGCAATACGGCATGGACAGTATGATTGGGGCTGAATTCCGAACATGGTTCTACCAGAGCTTGACAACCGATGTGCCGTTGGTCATGTTGCTCGGCTCGTCCTGCACGCTCGAGTCACTTAGGGACCTGGCGATGACCAGCTTGGAAGTGGGAAAATAATGAGAGCATACGCAGGGGCATGGGGGCTAGGGTTACTTTCGGATTTGAAAGAGTAGTCAGTTAGATTTTCACGCATGCCATACATCATAACAACACAAATTGATTCTATACCGAGGATCTATCCATGAGCCATCAATGCACCATAGAAGCCCCTGCTTTATACTAAACCTGCCCGCAAGAAAATCGCCATCTTCATGTACGCGTCTATAGTCATTTTATGTGAATCCTCTAATATGAACATAGGTCCAGTCTCTTGTGTCCATCTGACTACCAGGCTTCTTCCCTTCATCTCACTTTCTCCGGCTCTATCGCGCTGCCTGATTGACAGTATCTAACCTATCAAGTTGCCCCTCACACTTTTCTTGGGCCTTATACTGATGATTCACGTTATCCATCTTTTGTGCCAACCACATATGTATGCACTGGTAGGCTTTAACCTGAGCAGAATCACCAAAGCCATAAGTACCTCCCAATCGGCCGATATATGTATTGAACTGGTTTAAAACCGGTCGAAATTTCTTGAACTGTAGCAGCCACATATGCTGCTTCAGCTCGTCTTCTTCGTCTGCCTCGATCTGAAGCGTCCCCCACGACAGTGTAGGTGCGTGCCCGGGCCTGCCCGGGCCGCTCGACGCGTTCAAAGTTTCTGTATTTGCCATGGGCTGAATTATTGACAGGGTTTTCTCGAATCCTTGAATGACTCGCCCGATAAGAATGCTGATCATCACTAGAAAGGTATAGACCGATTTGTCAGTATGGTGCTTTGTAAGAGTTCCGGTCTATTGTTCTCTGCTATGAACAACGTCGTGACGATGTGACTTGGGTGGAACGTGTTGGGATCTTACACATCGCCATATCATCATGCAAGGTGCAACTGCAACCCATACAGGCTTTTGCCACGTTGACTGCTAGTTTCAGTTCTGAGAGCTGCACATCAAATGATAAGGTTGCCTGATTCTCAAAAGCAAGCGGTAAAGATACCAATTGTTTCATCAGATGGGATGTGCAGCTACACTTATGATGGCTAGGACTCTCAGTGGTTGAGTGGTGATGATTGTTCCTTTGGGAACTTGTAGCTTCTAGTTCGGTGTTTGGATCCTCATTTGCTGTATGCCCGGGTGCAGGTAGGCTGAGGCATTGGTCGAGGAAGTCGTAGCCATCCAGCATGTCTTCCACTTGGTGGAATCCCGTATGTAGATCCAATGTGTTGTCGATCGCGTCGAATACTTGTGGATTATACAGTCCCATATTTGGTCGGAAGGAAGACAGGCTGTCAGCCATCATATCAAAGGTGTCCTTGTTGCATATTCCATCAGACGTCTCGGAGGTAGATTGTGTTGCGTTGTCTATTGCCCGGCAAGGAGAAGGGGGACACACGGCTGATTGCGAGGACGCATCGCCGGTCGATTCGGAGGATTCTGGTACTGTCGTAGGTTGAGTTCCAATTCGTGGGGCATCTTTGTGACTGCGGCGGGATAATCCATATGCGCAAGTGATGTTCTGCTTCTCGCAGCGGGCGCAAGTTGGCTTGGCTTGACTGCATCGGACTTTGGATTCGTTGCAAGCATCACAGGATGCTCGCAGCCGGGCTACTTTGCCATCCGGTCTGGTGAGTTTACTGGCTTTCATACTTGGGTGTCAATTCAATAGCAGAACAAACGATGAGCCTCTAGTTTATATGACATTTGCGACACGCCCCAATTAAACATCCTCGGATTCTCAATCAAGTACCGCCCCTTCTTGCTCCTCCATGGAAACGGATTATGTGCATTAGCATATTTCCTTCTTACATGGATCGTCGCAAGTGCTTATGGTACTCCAGTGTTTTTTTCCGCGCCAATATTCCCGTCACGGCCCCCATCACTGGAAAAGGCCATCTGCCCAATCACAACTTTGCGACAGGGATTATCGCAAGTTTCTATACGATGTACATCACTGTGAAGGATTCTTTACGCGAGCATAGCCTCAGGATGGTGCTTCTGATGCCTACCTGTCAGGCCCCCTACTTTCTATATTGAAAATTATTTTTCTGTCTTCGTACGGAGTACTCCGTATAGACCACAGCTAATATTGAGAAAGATTTCTGCCGGTTTTGTCACGTCACAGTTGGATTTGCTTCACTGTTCTCTTATCAATGCTCTATGCTTCTTCCCCTCTTTGTGAATCGATTTCCACTAGACTATGGGAATGGCCTGAAGTGGTCTCACAAGACTCTATAGATGCTTCCGAGCTAAGTACGGACAATCTTATGGTAATATAATTAGCGGCGATCTTGCCACGATAAGGTAGATCGGCTTTTTTGATGCCGATACCGAGCAAGTGCTTACATGGAGTTTTGGGAAAGCTTGATGCATTTCGAACGTGTCCAGTACCCTAGTGGGGCACTAAGAATGCAATGAAGATCTCATCAGTCACACAAGTGATAGCGATATATGTACAACTGAAGATTTCGGGCGCTAGTCTGCCCCAGGCCCTCGCAATCTTTGCCTGCGATGGCTACATCGCTGGAGATCTCTGAATTTCTAATTTCAGGAGACTGCACCACTGATGACTGATTGACAAGCTTTTTCTAGTTGTAAATATGTTGTATATGTAAACTATACCATGCGGAATCAAAGTTGGCAGTGGAGACTGCGGAATTATATTCAATCAACACCTCATCCAAAGCGCAGGTCCGTGCATTTCATAACACTCTCATACCCCCAGGTCTCCGACAAGAAATTATTTCGACCTAGGACTGTATACAACGAATAACGTGACGGGATTGTACGAGTGATCTTGCCCGGGAAGAGTCCCTCCTACCTCCCCACCTGTCCTCCGATGGCTCATCGATCCGAAATGACGAGGACCACGCTCTTCTGATTCTAACTTCTAATGCTGCGCAAAGCCCTCTTGTTGGCTTATTGGCTTCACAGCGACCCCTCGGCTAGATCAACTCCCTGCTTTTGTCATATTCAGCTCCCCTGGAAAAAAAAACCTTGCCACGTGACACGTACCCCTAGCCCCACACACCTTGTGTTCTGCCGGTCCAATCCTCCATAATATGGCGGTGTAAACTGTATAGGAAGGCGGTATATATATGGGGCTTTAGGGGGTGTTAAAACTTATGAACAGTCACTGTACAGAGTAAGATCTTCTGATTTATACTTGCTTCGCTTCGCTCCGCAATAACTAGGTTTTACTGTAGTCCCCCGTACGGGTGACTCGAACCCTGCTGACGGTGGCGCTGGAGTTCGTATAGTAGCGGGGGGCTTCATGCAGGTAGAGAAAACAGATAATCAAAGCGACCTCGAGATGAAACCTAGCCATGCGAAAAAACCAATCAAAACATAGACAAGGGTGAAAACGAAAACTATATAGACGGTGTCATTGCCACCTTCTAAGCTTAATCCTCTTTATACCAGATTAGACTCCGTTTTACATACACAATGCCTCCATCCTCCGAGATTCATGAGCCAGCATGCACAGCCCAACAAAGGAGGGATTCAAAGACTCACCCCATGCGCAAGCGCATCATCATCTGCTGCGACGGAACATGGCAGTCCGCCGTCTCAGGCAAGAAAAACGTCCCATCTAATGTGACGCGTCTCTGCCGCGCCCTGAACAGTGTCGGAACCGACGAACACGGGAATCAATGGCAGCAAATAGTCTGGTATGACTCCGGAATCGGCACGACCTCAGGTCCTTTGGGACAAAGGATCGAAGGCGCCATTGGCCAGGGCTTAGAAGGGAATGTCGTCGAAGCGTATAACTTCTGTGTCCTGAACTACAGACCCGGAGATCAGATTATGTGTTTTGGTTTCTCGAGGGGCGCGTTCACGGCCCGGGCTATTGCGGGCTTAATCTCGGATATTGGTATTTGCTGTAAGAGGGATTTGAATCGGTTTCCCGATCTCTGGGAGGTCTATAAGAAAAATACACCCGGCGAGCGCTTCTATTGCAGTGACCTCTGGTTTGAGTGGATTGATGGAAAGGCTGATGAGAATCAGGGCGCTCGGGGTGAGACTTTCGTGTTTGAGAAGCGTCCCGAGGGTGACTGGGCTCAGGAGGGATCAAGGGACGTGGAAATTGTTGGCGTCTATGATACGGTCGGCGCTATTGGAATTCCGGAGGTACTGGGGATGACATTGCCATCGTGGCTGTTGTGGTGGTCGGATAAGAATGGATGGGAAAATGTTGGACTTTCACCTAGTAAGTATATTAAGATCTGTCTTTCCTTCTTGCCTCAAGGTGGTTTGTAGGGGCACGATAGTGACAGACGGTTCCAGATATCAAACATGCATTTCAGGCCTTGGCGCTCGATGAACACCGCAATGCCTTCTCGCCCACTCTGTGGTATCTCCATAAACTTGGAAACGTCACTTCAGATCAGATACAAACTCAGAAGAGAATAGTCGATCAGAAAGCTAAAAAATGGAACGATCTCTTGCAAGACGCAATCCGGATCAAGAGCAGCGGCAGGGCTAGTGACGAGGATGTCAACAACGCAGCCCGAAAGCTAAATGAGATGGCCACAGCCTTGAATCAGGAGACCCGCGTGCTCCTAAAGTTGGAAGATGACCACAAGCACCAGCTCCACCCCCGAACATTGACACAGGTGTGGTTCCCCGGTTATCACATCAACATCGGCGGGGGTTCGAGTGAAACCCTCAAAGACGAGGGCGACATGGAAGAAATGTCTAATATTACCTTCTCCTGGATGCTGGACCGGATCAAACCCCACCTGTCGCTCAATGAGGAGACTATCTCCGAGGAAAGAGAAGAGAGGGAACGCCACATTTCAACGCTTGTCGAAAATCCAGCCCCCGAGTCTTTGGAAGGCTGGACCCAACGCAAGGTTGCAGCAATAGCTTCAGCTTTCAAACTCAAGCATCCCTCCACGTCTCCCGTCCGGTCTGTGAACAAGCGACGCAGCTATGGCTGGGGAACAGGCCCGCTAGAAGACAGCTTTACGCTATTTTACTACGCCAACGGGTCTGAGAGGCGCCGGCCTGGAAACTATGATTCTTTTGACAAAGAGGGAAACCTACTAGGAGAGACATTTGAGTTTGTTCATCCAGTAGTGGGATTTAGGACGGAGCAGATCAAGGACTACACGCCGATTGGGCATGACGTCAAGTTTTCCCGTCGGAAGGTGATTGACGAGAAGGGCCGCCCTGGTTATGTGTATGACCTGGGAGATTGCCGCAAGCCCTTACCCGAGTGGCGCTTAGGCGGACTTGACTCTTATGAGAGGCTCGCCATTACTGGCAAGGCTGCATATGATTATGTCGATGAACTAGATCTATATTTGCAGACTGGGATCAAGACACCCCGTCGCTCTGTTTGGGGAGTGCGAGATATTGACCTTGGGATTGAAGTGCCTGAAGCCGCGGGCTTGCAACAGGGAGAGTTTAGAGCGGAGATATCTCGAACTAAGGAGATGCACTAGAAAAGCTTAGGGGTTTCATGTTTCATATATATCGGAGAGCCACCGGTATGATTTTTCTCCCACGTCTTTTGGAAATGGCTTTATGTATATTTTTTAATCTCCTCAAGAATAAATACAAATTCTACTGGCTTGGTCAATAATATTCCAGCATATAGAAATATCGTAGAAATACCGGGGCTGTCAAGATCCCCTCGGTACTTTTGTGGGGTATACAGCACAGACGTCATAGGGCTGAACGGTCCTTCCAAGTTTGGAAAGAAGGACATGGAGCTAAGAGAAAATATTCTAGGCATCACCGTTGTTCGACTCCATTCGCATCGAAGTCCCCGACGCGTGTCTCTACAAAGAAGAAACCCCGAAGGAAAGAACAGGGCTAACCCTACGTCAGCCCAGTCATGGATGGTATTTTCCACCCGTGGAACTTGACTGGAACACTCTTGAACTGCGTCGAATTTCTCAAGCTAGCTGCTGCGACCGTATCCTTTTCTACCGTCGGCATTATTTTATTCATTCGACAACCTCCGAGCCCCAATCGAGTTCGGTGCAAGATGGTACCACGCAAGGTGTACAATATGTGTCAAGAGCCGACAGTAACGTGGGAGTTGGCTCTTGACTCGTCGCAATCGCCGCAAGATGTCTTTTACAATCTGTACGAGAGCCGTGACGCGTCGGATATACTCGATCGCGCGGAACAATCAGACGTCGAAAATGAGTTAGAATGGGAAGCGTTGGATGAGCTGCAGAAAGCTCGCACTTGCGGGAACTTTGGGTCTGTGGAAACGAGTGATCTATTTTTAAAGGTGAACAAATTTCCTCTACCATTACGTGAAGAATCAATCTGACATATTTCGAGGTTTATCATGACGCCTTATGCTGTTTAGAAAATAACCCAATGTCAGGGGTCGTATCGCCCCGGCTGCTGGGGAGCACAGGAGTTCTACCACTGACCATTGTCGCCCCGCTACCCGATCTCTGTCGCCATTTAGCGAATTGCATTGCGCGCGCTGAACATGAAGTCTTTCTGGGTACCAATTTCTGGATCCACTCGGATGCATCGACATTGGTGACGAATGCCATCCGGGAACTCTCCAAACGAGCAGGAGAACGGGGACAGAAAGTGATTATGAAGTTGATGTATGATCGCGGAGATCCTCGTCAGGTGAGTACTCTTACTTTTGATATATATATCGCACACGACCTAGATATGATTCTAATAAACCACTAGGCATGGGAGAATAGACTGAGTGTCCACGAGGATCAATATGTCGGTGGAAAAGTGAAGCTACCTGCCGCGAGCGAGATCCCCAATGTCGATCTCCAAGTCATCAACTACCACCGGCCTGTCGTTGGAACGTTCCATGCAAAGTTTACCGTGATTGACCGGCGCATGGCTCTCATACAGAGCAGTAACATACAAGACAACGACAACCTTGAGATGCTATCTCATATCGAGGGCCCGATTGTTGATTCTTTCTATGATGCTGCTTTGCTGTCGTGGGGAAAGGCTCTCGACCCCCCCTTTCCACTTCTGAACTCCCCAGCCAAAGATGCTCCGATACCATGCCATGTAGGAAGGTACGACGGTATTTCTACAGAGCGTGGCGATACAGTTCTTCCTGAGCATACTACCGACTCTCCACATTATGATAATGACTTTGAACAAGAGGCCCGGAGAGTCAATGATTCTGTCTACCCACAAGGTGACGAAACGCGCACCCAGGCTGTTAGCCGTCATCTCAGTATGTGGTACCTGTGCACTATCTATGATAATATCTAACAACTCAACAGATACAACTATCCAGCTTGACACAACAGGCGATGCACCAGAAGTTGACCAGGATGATATGTTCAACCCTTATATGGTCATACCACGACACGAGCCCTTCGCAATGGCATTGGTAAACAGGGAACCATATGGATGTAAGTCAAACCCACAAAGATAAGCTCCCTCAGACAGCCGGGTATGACCCTAACTTTCAATTTCTTCAAGCTCCAAATCACAGCAGCGTCCACACTCCGCAAAACGCGGCGTGGCTGTCCGCGATCAACAACGCCCAGCGCTCAATCCTCATTCAGACACCAAATATGAATGCCGAACCTCTACTGGAACCCATCCTGGACGCCGTTCGCCGGGGTGTCGTGGTATCCTGCTATCTATGCCTTGGCTATAACGACGCAGGCGAGCTACTTCCATTTCAAAATGGGACCAACGAGATGATTTCAAACAGGCTGTACAACTCCCTCGAAACCGACGAAGAGAAGTCTCGTCTACGGATATGCTACTATGTCGGCAAGGACCAGACTCGTCCGATTCATAATAGCTTCAAGAAGCGCAGCTGTCATATCAAGTTGATGATTGTCGATGAGCAGATTGCGATTCAAGGTAAGTCCCAGATCCCATTACGACAATTTAATTTATTTAATCATCTTTCTAGGCAATGGAAACCTCGACACCCAGTCATTCTTCCACAGCCAGGAAGTCAATGTGCTTATTGATTCTGAGCTCGTTTGTCGTGCTTGGACGGAGTTGATAAATCGTAACCAGAATACTGCCAAATACGGCGCTGCAAGTACCAAGGATGGCTGCTGGCATGACCCGAAGACCGACGAGACTCCGCCGGGCTCAATGGGGCCTGAAAAGCGGAGGTTCAGTTGGGCTAGGGGAGCCATTGGCGCTGTACAGCGAGTGAGAGGTGTTGGTGGATTCTAAAGGTTATTTGTTTATGTAGAGCCGCATAGCTACTAAATAAATATTATTGGAGTTTCGGAATATCTCTTGTTATGCTTCCATATATCCTATACAAAATTATACATTAGTAAGTAGCTCCTCTTCTCAGTCACGTAGACTGTATACTTGCATCAGTTTTAACTTGTCCCCCCCCCCAAATACAGCGACATCTTACTGGGGGGCAGTGACTTCGCCCCCAGCTTATACTCCTATCTCGATGGCCTCCTTCCTTTTGCTGGTCCAAAATTTCCTTGCTGCATGATGAGGCTGTGTGCGCCCCAGATAACTCCACAGACACCGTAAGTCCAGTGGGGATCTGCAGTTTTATGTTCTGCAGACGGTTGGCCTAAAATTTTATTGATACTGTGTGCTTCTCCAGTGCTTTCCCGGCTTATAATCTATGACATCCAGGTTCCAAGGCACGCATTGGATACAGGCGATGGCCAGCCAGGCCGCTGCAAAGAGGAGCCCGGAGATTCCGACGCCCAGAATAAAGGTGAAGATTTGCTGAACAAGGAGCAGTACCATTGTGAGATTGAGAATTCTGATTATGGGCTAGTACTTTATTAGTATTGTGTGCTTCTCCTGGGACGATCTGAGGGTAGGGACACTGAACGTACCGCGGCCATATGCACTTTCCACTTATGGAGGAAGTCGCTCTTCCTAGAACATAAGCTAGAATCACCATTTGCGTGGTTTGCTGAAAGAGCTCGCCTAAACCTAGGGAGCGGAACTCGTAGATAGTTTTCTTCTCCCTATTCTTTTCCCTTTCTGTACTTAGCATTCTGATGAAAATGCACTCAATTCTTTTGAATCGAACGGGCACCTAACACTCCGGTGGTTTCCCGGCTTAGTGTTTGTGACATATTGATCTGCACTTCCTTGCAAGAAGCAGGGCAACCGAGGATGCAAGCAGTAAGTCTCAAGACCAACTGTGTGTGTCAAAGGTAAGCACCGTACAATTTGCCTTAGAGCTTGGGATAGCAGGTCTCACTCACGGAGAAAGAGACCAGATATGATAAAAAAGAAAAAATCACTCAGCTGCACCCAAGTAACTGGACGGACACAAGCGTTGATGAGCCAGTCCGCGAAAAGGAGCGCGGAAATGTCGAGGCCTAGAATGAAATGAAAATCTGATGTACAAGGAACAATGCCATTGTGAGAGTAATCTGATCGTAATGTGATTTTGCAAAATCAAGTTCACAGAAGGTAAAGAAAGGCTGAGGTTATCGGTTATATTCTAAAAGACCCTAAAAAAGATCGATAGAAAGATGATAATAAAGTGATGTTATAGTAGTAGAATGCCTATGGGAAGGAAGGCCTCGGAGTGAAACTAGGCAAGAGCGAGGGAAGTAGATTCAGGCAAGCACGCTGTCTTTTAAATTCTTTTGGACATTGTCTTTTCAATCTGTTAGTAGATGTCTTCAGCCTCTATTTGCCCACTCGAACTAGAGGTCACTTTAATAGGTCTATTTTGCTAACATTGTAAACAACCAACATTCTCGTTTAGCCATAATAATGTACGATGGCAATAATAAGACAGGTTAAAAGGAAGCAAGCAGACAAATAACCACATGAGCATATGATAGCGAGGTGGGTTCGTCCGTATTTCCAATGACTTCCCCAAAAGTCATTACTTGGTAGATACCATATGCTTTTGTGCCAATGCAGTAGGCTCATAACCTTCTTGTATCGCTGGCCCTTCAGATAGGAAAGGTTGCATGACCGTAAGGCCTCTAACGACTGAGGCGACACATTTTCAAACAAGACCCGTGGACTATCTTTCAGATCATTTGGATCGAGAGTCACTTCAGAAGCATCCGGCGAATTACAATAGATCTTCCATCGAGGGTCATCTGGGGTTAGAACAGGCCCAAGATTAATCCACGTTGTAAGGACTAGAGCCAAATCAGATCCATATTCACAAACTTCAATCAAGCAAACTGTATTGCATGTTTCACACGTAAAAGTGTAACTAGGGGCTTTCTCTCCAGTAAGATAAGCGTTCACCACTAGGTCAAGTAGTTCAGCACGCCTTAGACGCGAAACATGCGTGCAAATATAAATAATCTCAGAAGGATCTTTCGCATCGGTAATTTTCGGTCGAGAAAGTAGTAGCTTTGGTTTGCTGGAGTGAACAAATACCATATGTTGTGTTCTTATACAAAGCCCCAGTATCTCTGGATGCATATGCGCGTCGGTCGAAAAGAGAGAGGTGAATTCTGGTTCATCGGAGTAAGTTCGAACTTGGGTGTAAGATAACGCTTCAGTGCTGATTCCATACTTTTCTCCATAGCAGCATCTCTTCATAGCAAGCTGAATATGCAGAAAAAATACCCTATGATACACATGGAACCCGATCGGTCCTGGTTCACTCAATCTAAATTCTAACCTAGCAGGCCCTTCTTTCCATTTCTTAATACATGGAAGAGGACAATACACTAGGTCGTAAACTGAGCCAGATAGACCGAAGCATTCGGAGCCATCATAGTCATCATACTTATGAAGAATATGGCAAATGTGGCAAGTAAAGTAATTCGGTGGTAGATCTCGTTCCAGTCGGAGTAGAACAGGCAGTTTGTCAACTCCTAACAAGGGGGCGGAATTGATTCGATGGTTGAATATGGCGAAGAGTCGGCGATTGCAGAGTGAAATGCAAACCCAACCATCTAGAGGGAGGAAGTCGGTTATTGATAACAATAGCTCGACAGGAAGACCGGCTAGCGTATTCAGCTTAGGGAACTCTGAGGGTGGAAGACGCCTTCCCCATAATCGAGATACCGCTAGAGAGCAGATATCGAGGCCCGACTGCATGTTGTAGATGCTTAGCTCACGCAGATCGAGGTGAGGTGATAGCGGTAGTAGAATGAACGAAAGCGATGATAGATGGTTCTCTCAGAATCTTTGAAACCATGGAACTAGCTTCTTACTTTGCCTAATCGGGTCCATCCCGCCGTAATGCTTAGGTAGTTTGTCTAGTTTGTCTTCAATCTGTCATGTATAGGACTATTCAACTACTAGGGTTGGTTTTTGGTACTGGCAGTTGGAAAAAGGCAATTTAGAGATTTTTAATTACACTACTTATTAGCAATTGTGTGTTCCCTTCCATTCTATAGGTTGCTGACAAGTGTGGACCGCGACGGCACCTAGTAGAGCCAATAGCTACGCCGTGATAAACCAAGTCACATACGTTTGAGTAACCCTAAGACAAATAAACATTCGATATTGGCATTGAACAAGGCCGACGTGTACGACCGGATCATTCTAGGAAATCCACCGAGGACTTCTACAAGTGCCCTACACGAAATATAATATTGCCAATGCCAATAAATGTCAATCGTAACAAATTAGATCACCGCTAAAATACGCATCCATCCATAAATGTCTCGCCCGTACGACCAACCGATAGTCGACATAGTGAACTATGTCTACCATTACTCCCTCAACCAAGACGACGAAGCGATTTGGAAATGTGCACGGACAGCCCTGCTAGACGCAATGGGCTGCGCCATCGAGACGGCAGCGACGAGCACCGAATGCCGAAAGCTTCTCGGTCCCGTGATCGAGGGCACAGTCGTGCCGGATGGATTCAGGGTTCCAGGAACGGAGTTGCAGGTCGATCCGGACAAGGGGGCTTTCGATCTGGGTGTCCTGATTCGGTACTTGGATCATAATGATGCGCTTGGAGGTGCGGAGTGGGGACATCCTTCAGGTATGGCTTGTTGAAGACATGGGGCTGGAAATTGTGCTCGTGAGACTAAGATATGGATTGAATTGTAGATAATATCGGAGCTATACTCTCAGTCATGGACTGGCTGTCGCGTGCAAGCTTGTCTGGTCGACGGGTTCATCATGGTCCGCCGTTGACGATGCAGACGCTGCTCGTCGCGCTGGTCAAGGCATACGAGATACAGGGATGTTATCAAATGCGGAATGCGTTCAATGTCTATGGAATCGACCATGTGGTGCTGGTCAAATTGGCTTCTGCCACTGTTGTTTGTTGGTTGCTCGGGATGACAGATGAACAAGCCATGGCGACTATTTCTCACGTTTGGATGGATGGCCATCCAAACCGGGTGTACCGATCCGGCGAAAATACTATCCCGAGGAAAGGATGGGCAGCAGGCGATGCGGCGAGAAGAGCTGTGCAGTTGGCTCTACTGGTCCAGAACGACCAGCCTGGTTCGCCGGGAGCGTTGAGCGCGAAACCATGGGGGTTTTGGGAACGGACTTTTGGCGAGGCGGGGTTTATCCTTCCACGACCATTTGGATCGTGGACGGTACAGAATGTGCTGTTCAAAAGTATGCCGGTAGAAGGGCATGCTATCTCGGCCGTGGAGGCAGCCATTTTGCAAGCGCGTCGATTTCGACAAGAGGGGCTGTCCGATCCTCTGAAACAGATCCAGCGAATAGATCTGCGAACGACTGCTGCTGCTTTTTTGATCATTAATAAACATGGGCCGCTGCACAACGCTGCTGATCGTGACCATTGCATTCAGTATGTGGTCACCTTGGCTTTCTTGAAGGGTAGCCCACCAGAGGCTGCTGACTATTTAGACGAAAGCTCATGGGCGAAGAGCGAGGAGCTTGAAGCCCTGCGAGAGAGAATCATGGTGCAGCCCGACCCTAGGCTCACGGAGGACTACTTGGATCTGGACAAGAAGAGTATTGGTGCAGGAATGACGGTCCATCTCAAAGATGGGTCCTCGTTGCCTCAAATACTGATTGAGTATCCCGTAGGACATGCGCGAAATCCCAAAACACCAGCCGCGATACAAGATAAGTTTTTCCAAAACATGGGACTTATGTTCTCTGCAACAGAGATCGGTCGGATATTGGGTGCTGTTCAACGTCCAGATACTTTAATCTCGGATTTCATAGATATGTTTATCCAGCCATCCGTCAAGGCAAGGATGTAGAAGGCAATGCTATATGCAGGTATCAGGAGTTGGTTGTACTAGCCAAAAATAATGATCTTGTTCAGGGTATTTAGTACTGTCGTTCAGTTTCTTTTCTCAGTCGATTCTCCCAACTCCCCGCAACGTCAGATAAACATCTGTCCCCCATCCCCACAAACTTTGCACTGCAATGCTGCCACCGAAGTACTCAGCGTAGGCTCGGCTGAGAGGCAGCCCATAACCAAGACCTGCAATACTGCTGAGATGGCCACCGCTCGCAGAGATGGTATTCAAGGCATCCATGTTGCCGTTCTCCGAGCCCTGGGAGTCCATATCGGAGAAAGTCGTAAAACTGTACGACCAGATATGGGGCAGAACCTCGGCGGGAATACCACCACCACGGTCACGGATACGGATTGTGATACTCTGAGACGATGGGGCCGAGTACCCAATGATTTCATTCACATTGGCGCTGGCAAGCTTCGAATCAAGCTCAAAGCCAGCATCGATATCATTCGGGACCGACGGGTGATTTCCTGGCACATCTGGAGCAGCAGCTATTGTCACCTCGATGGGCTCACGCTCATTTCCATTTTCAATAGTAGCCCGGAATGCGTTCTTCAACAGCTCCGTGATAATGTACTCCACGTGTACAGGGATGTGAGCAAATGAAGCCTCGGGCTCACCTCCAATCTTTAAATGCGGTCGTACCCCGTACTTGAGCTCACAGATCTCCCCAACAAAATCCTCGCATATCCGGATGATGCGTGCCGGCTGCAAAGCTGTGTCAATGACGCCTATATAGTTTGATGGAATCGAGTTCTCGGGCGCAGGTGCATCAGCACCATCGACTGGGTTATCGTTGATGGGCATAGATGCATAATGAAGAGCCAGATGCTGCTCCGCGATCAAGCGCGTACCGATACGCGCACGTAGATGCGTGTCCAAAAAGCTCGTCACATCGGCCGGGCTGACATATTTCCTGCACTCCAAAAACCCGCGAGCAAGGACCGGGATTGTGTTTGTATGGGTATGTACGAGGTCTGCCAATACATCCCCGAACTGTTTCTCTTCTTCGAGAGTCGTGATGCGGCGCTGTTGATATGGTAAGAGGGTCGAGAGCGAATGGAGGTAATTGTGGTAGATTTTGGAGACATGAGGGTTTGACACGACGATGAAAGGGAGATTTCGTAATGCGTGGATCCGAGAAGCTAGTCGGGCGGGTAGGAGGGAGAGAGTGAAGTTGGCAGAGGCTAGTAGAGCCTCTTTGTTCAATGGTGGGCGGCCGTGTCTGAGGGATGGACATGAATTTAGCACATTTTGATTCGGCTTTGGTGTAAGTTATCTATATCAGACTGACTTTAGTAGGTCCGCAAGTGTCAACGGCCGACGGGGACTCGCAGCCAGCTGCGCAACATTGTCTTTGGCGACATCAAATGGGCGACCAGCCCAGTTTTGACTCTGCGTGGACGATTGGCGACAAATATGAGGTCGCCCAATTGGAAGAGCCCGGCGACTAGGCCGAAAAGGCATATTTCTAGCTATTGAGGTTGTCATTGTGAATTGTAGATCATAGGGAGCAAGATAAGTGGAAGTCAGAGCCCGGGACGGAAGATCTGCACCGGCGGTGCGGATATCATCGGTCCAATTGCTGCAGATCAGCACGAACCTCCAAAGTCGCTATCTCACCGGTGAGAGGTGTATTTACGTGAATTTATACTTCGGGTGTTATACAGGGCTTTTTCAAGTTTAAATTCATACGCAATGTGCACATCTTCAATCTGATAGTTGGATTCAGGAAGATTGATCATCTGTATGAATACCTGGAAAAGATAGATAATCATGAGAAGTACATTGCATGGCGGATGAAAGAAGGTCGCATAATTGGTATCAAGCCATCTTGTCAAAAAAGAACAAGAAGAAAGAAAAAGAAAATAACCCCCGGATATCAAGCATGTCGTGTTTCCATTCAATCATAAAGCGGACCACCCACAAGGACTGCAGTCCTCGGTCCTAGTCATGTTGACTAGGGACATCTAGTGAGGGCTCACTGCACCGTCTTGCTCAATGTGGACATGTTCAGTAGACTTGAGGGTCTGAACGGTGTCATCGGGGAACTCAACACTAGTATTGATCCATATATCAGCATGCACCTCGATAGTATAGATCAAACCAGCACACTTACGTGAAGCCTTTGATGATGCTGTACTCATGTCTGATGACACCACCCTTCTCCCTGGCGAAGGCCTTGGCCCTGGAAACATTTGTTAGTATCAAGGCATTTGAGATAATTGGTAATGGACACACTTTTCCAGCTCCTCAACGGGGGCGTTGGTCTTCAGAGTGATCTAGGGAGATGTTAGTCCGGATACTTTTGAAGATCAAGCTAAGCTCACATTGTAGAGAGGCATGATTTCAAATAGCAAGATATGTGTCAAGATGGAGAACGTGGAGAAAGGGAAGAGGAAAAGTAGAAAGAAAAATAGAATTTATAGAAGAGAGGGGCCCGAGGGGAAGGCTACGCATTTTTTTAGGGGAAGGTGCGTTGAAACAGGTACCCTCCAATCATTTATTCTCATTCTCATTCTCTCCTTCACCTTACCTTTCTTCGCGTTGTATAGTATGTATCCTGTATACTTCGGTACTTCCGTGCTACTTGAAAATGTCGTGATTGGTCATACATGCCTGTCTGACATGGGATGGTGGCTTCTACAAACTCAATTTCTGAAAGCCAGATTCTCATTAAATCCCTTGCTTGAATGGCTTTATAATTTCCTAAATACTAATCCTAGTCCGGCCTACAAGGGATGTTGTAAAGGGGGGAATTGACGTTGATGTAACGGTGTGAGGCAATGACATCATATCTAAAGAATCGCGGGGCAATATGTGTAGCGACAAGAACCCTTCAATAGACGACTCTATAATTTATTTTGATATTCTTACCCTAGTGTCCAACATAGCCATCCTCTTCGCGGGGAGGCATCTGCATCCCATGCATTCCCTTGTACTTAGGGCTTTCTGGGGCCTTCCACCCTTCCAGGACCTTGTCATCTGCCAGTTGGTATACCGCTACACCCAGCGGACGACAAGTTGATCCCATATCACTTTCTTTATCATCCCAACCCCAATTGGACAAATCACCTGAGCATATAATTAGTATTGAAATGAGACATTCGTATAGGATGGTGCCATACCGCCAGGGCACGCAGATAGTGCGCAGAGAACATCCACTTCTGCAAAGAACTCGAAGTACTCACCCGCCTTTGCAGGGGAGGTCTCCATGAAGTATTTTCCTTCCTCATCCAACCCTGTCACCTGAAACACATTCAAGACATCATGGACATCTAGCTCCGTCAATCCATACGGGACAACGGAACGAGTCAGGTTCGAATGACAGTGGAAGTCAAAGGTCTCTCCGCCCATGAGCAAGTTCACATAAGGATCGCATCGAGTGCCCATCAAGTCATGCACCCGCCCACCAAACTGCGTAGTTCCGAACACGACATCCGGGTTCCGCTTTCCATCCGGTCCAAGAACATCATGCAGCTGCCCGCCACCCAACGAGTCACCCGTGATCGTCACGAGAGGCCGCAGGTACGGCAAGTTCGACCACAGGCGATCACCCACTGAGACGTGGGTGGCGTGGATCTGCCGGGTACGCGCAGCCCACATCCGCTCTCGTGGGTTATTTGCGTTCCAGATGTTTAAGTCGCCCACCTGTGGTCCCTTCGGAGTGGTCAGGCGGCAGATGTGGCCGGCAGGGACAACCCATGCTTGAGCAGAACACGGTCTGATAGTGAATGATTCCTTCGGGATCCGTGCAGAGGGGCTAGATGCAGTTTCGGAGATTGAACGGTACAACTGGGAAGTTGCATGAACCCCCGAATCAGGTGGTGCTGTGTAAGCTGGGGGTGGCCGGCGTGCAGACATTATATGCAGTTGGCGGGGTAGTTTAGAGATTGGATGTTACACAAAGATTTATTAGATACGGAGAAACATTGAACTCATAGGGCCCGCGGGCAGGATACATGGTGAATTTATAGGTATGGGAAATCGGGGGTTTTCCGATGTCGAAGCTTGGTCAGCCCTTGTACTTTAGATTAGGTCCACGGGTACAACGACTTCTGCCCCGCATGATAGGCGCGGAAGGAAATTACATCCTCTGGTTTTTAAGAGATGTTAGATAGCGTTATCGCACGGAGTCTAACACTAGTAATCCACACTAAAGGAAAGCTCAAGCAGCGGAGTCTTTGAGGTAGGGCATGGCTCGGAGTGGAGCCACCGGGCCGGTACATGTGATCACGGGCCGGTAAATGATAAGGGTAACTGATAATGATTTATGCCTTAGGCCAGAGGGATAAGTGTTGATGCCTTAGGTTACACAGCTCCAGATCCCCTGACTAAGGTTTATCTACTCCGCTTTGGCAAAAAAATAATTACTGCTAATTTTTTGACCGTCGTTGGGAACAAGTCGTCTACCTGGATTGCGCTTGCCTTTCTTTCTTTTTCTAATAAAAGGAGTGGATCTGTTGAGGTATTATACCTCTTGACAGATAGCATGGAGCAGCAGGCAAACAGGGCGCATCGCCCTGCCAAAGAGAAGAAGAAATTTGAGGGTACGGCGAGATCGTTCTAATAAAACTGCAATTTTGCTGTCGAGCCCATGCTAACAATGTTTTTTTCTTTACAGGTGCTAATCCAAAAGCATTCGTCACTTCCAGGCCTGGAAAGCTCAATAAGCAGGCTGCGCGATCGCATGATGTATGTATATGGAATTTTTCTACCGGTCAATTGATGCTAACCCGGACTTCTCCTCTAGGTCAGAGAAAAGAGACTTCATGTCCCCCTCGTGGATCGTATGCCCGAGGAGGCTCCGCCAGTCGTTGTCGCCATCGTTGGACCGCCGGGAGTTGGTAAGACAACTCTGCTCAAATCTCTGATCCGCCGCTACACCAAGCAAACCCTCAGCTCGCCGCAAGGCCCGTTGACCGTTGTTACGACCAAGCGCAAGCGTCTCACCTTCATCGAATGCCCTTCCGATTCTCTTGCGGCCGCGATCGATGTTTCCAAGATCGCAGATATTGTGCTTCTCATGATTGACGGAAATTTTGGATTCGAGATGGAGACCATGGAGTTTTTGAACGCCTTATCGACGGCCGGTATGCCGGGTAACGTCTTCGGTATTCTTACTCACCTTGATCAATTCAAGAAGCACAGCACTTTGAAGGACGCGAAGAAGCGCCTGAAGCACCGTTTCTGGAGTGAGCTATACGCGGGCGCAAAGCTCTTTTACTTGTCTGGTGTTATAAACGGCCGTTACCCCGATCGTGAAGTGCACAACCTTTCGCGATTCTTGTCCGTTATGAAAAACCCTCGTCCGCTCGTGTGGCGCAACTCGCACCCTTACGCGCTTGCAGATCGCTTCTTGGACATCACGCCGCCTACCCAGATCGAGGAAAACCCGAAGTGTGATCGCACAGTCGCGCTCTACGGCTACCTGCGCGGCACCAACTTCCCCTCTCATGGCGCCCGAGTCCATGTTCCTGGTGTTGGTGATCTGACTGTTGCCAATATTGAGGGCTTGCCCGATCCATGCCCAACTCCCTTCATGAACCAGCAGATCGCCAAGGCAACGGGAAAGTCGAACAGGCGCAAGCTTGGCGAGCACCAGAAGCTGCTTTTCGCTCCCATGTCTGATGTGGGCGGTGTCCTGGTAGACAAGGATGCAGTTTACATCGATATCAAGACCAATACCTTTGACCGGGACTCGGACGAGGATGAGGAGGATGAGGAACGCCGGGGTCTTGGCGAGCACCTTGTTGTTGGCCTTCAGGGCGAGCGCAAGATGCTGGGTGAGGCCGATCAGGGTGTTCGTCTCTTCCGTGGTGGTGAGGCCCTCGATAAAGCAGACGACGACGAGACGGGCCGAAAAGATCGACGCCGTGCCCGCGTAGCCGTACCCGACCAAGATGACATAGATATCCCCGAAGGATCCGATAGCGAAGAAGAGGCCGATGAAGATATGGACGAAAAAGATGTGACAGACGATGAAGGCGAACTCGACATGTCCGCACCTGCAGACTTCGAAGCCCGCTTTAAGGCCAAACAGAACGGAAATGCCGGTGGAGAGGAAGAAGATATGGCATTCGCTGACAGCGACTCTGACCTGGGCTCTATCTCTTCGGTCTCGGATCAGGAAGTCGAGAGCGGCGATGAAGACGAGGATGAAGACGAAGACGAAGACGAGGATGAAGATGATGAGGAGGGTAATGTTCGATGGAAGGAGAACATGCTCGCTAATGCCAAGTCTCTCCATGGAAAGCGCCCTCCTTTCCGAGTCACCGACCTGTCAAGAATGATGTACGACGAGTCGATCACTCCACTTGATGTCGTGAAAACATGGCGCGGTGAAGATTCCGATGATGAGGAGGAGGACGAGGAAGACAAAACCGCTGACGACGAAGGCGAGACCTTCTTCAAGAAGACAAACAACGAGAAAGAAGACCAAGCCGACTTCCGCGCCGTTCCAGAGTACGACTACGATGAGCTGGAGCGGAAGTGGCGGGACGAGGAGTTGCTTGAATCAATTAAACTCCGCTTCATCACTGGCAAACTGTCTGGCGGTGCCTCGGATGACGAGGATGGTGATATGGACGAAGATGACGAGGATGAAGATGAGGGCGACGGTGATTACGAAGACTTGGAATCTGGCGAGGTTTTCAACGGTATCAAGGAAGACGGTGATGAAGATGAGGAAGAAGAAGGTGATGAGCCCGGAAAGGCTGCTGACCTCGAAGCTGAGCGTGAGCGAAATGCCAAAAAGAAGGAAGAACTGAAGCTGCGTTTCGAGGAAGAGGACCGTGAAGGTTTCGGAAAAGTTCAGGACGGAACGCATGATGGTATTGATGGCGAGTTCGGCGAGGACGATTGGTACGATCTGCAAAAGGCCAAGCTGCAAAAGCAGGCCGATATCAACCGCGCCGAATTCGATACACTCGACCCTGCTTCGCGCGCCCGGGCTGAAGGTTACAAAGCCGGCACCTACGCACGTATCGTCCTTGAAAACGTACCCTACGAGTTTGTCTCTAAGTTTAACCCTCGCTTCCCTGTCATCGTTGGTGGTCTCTCACCTACTGAAGACCGATTCGGCTACGTGCAGATCCGGATTAAGAAACATCGCTGGCACAAGAAGATTCTCAAGAGCAACGATCCATTGATCTTCTCGCTTGGTTGGCGTCGCTTCCAGACCATGCCTATCTACAGCACCTCCGACAGTCGGACGCGAAACCGTATGCTTAAGTACACACCTGAACATATGCACTGCTTCGCTACCTTCTACGGTCCCCTTGTCGCTCCCAACACCGGTTTCTGCTGTGTGAACTCATTCTCAAACAAGAATCCTGGTTTCCGCATTGCCGCCACTGGTGTTGTTCAGAGCGTGGATGAGCATACAGAAATTGTCAAGAAGCTTAAACTCACTGGTCATCCTTACAAAATCTTCAAGAACACCGCCTTCATCAAGGACATGTTCACCTCTGCGCTCGAAATTGCCAAGTTCGAAGGTGCATCCATCAAGACTGTCTCTGGTATTCGCGGTCAAATCAAGCGTGCGCTATCCAAACCTGATGGCTGTTACCGTGCTACGTTCGAGGACAAGATTTTGATGAGTGACATTGTCTTCCTGCGTGCTTGGTACCCCATCAAGCCCCATCGCTACTACAATCCTGTGACCAACTTGTTAGACCAAGTCGATGGCGAAAAGGGTGATAATGGATGGCAGGGCATGCGCTTGACTGGTGAAGTCCGTCACTCTCAGGGCATCCCCACCCCTCAAATTAAAGACTCGGCCTACAAGCCCATTGAAAGACAAGCCCGTCACTTCAACCCGCTCCGCGTGCCAAGACAATTAGCCGCCGAGCTTCCCTTCAAGTCGCAGATCACCAAAATGAGGGGCCACAAGGAGCCGACCTACATGCAGAAGCGTGCCGTTGTCCTCGGAGGCGAGGAAAAGAAAGCCCGTGACCTCATGCAGAAGCTCACTACCCTGCGCAACGAGAAGCAGGCCAAGCGATCCATCAAGCAGGAGGAGCGCCGCAAGGTCTACCGCGCTAAGGTGGCTGATGGTCTGGAGAAGAAGGCCGAGCGCGAGAAGAGAGAGCGCAATGATTACTGGCGCAAGGAGGGCAAGAAGCGCAAGAACCCCGATGAAGACTCTGGTGGCCGTGGACGCGGCAAGAAGCGCAAGTGATCTATTTGTTCTTGGGCATGTCTTAATCTACTTGGGTCTTTTGCATAGATGGCGTTTGGACCCAAAACCTGTACCTACATTATGTTGGATGTTTATTATATCAAAACTATTTCATGAATGCACTACTGTTTGCCCAGGCTTTATTCTCGTTACCTCCTCCCATGCTGTCTACATTCGCTACGGAATAACAATGACCGAACTGCTTCTCGCCGTCGGTTGGCCCCCGATGCCAGGAGTAGAATGCCTGACTCACATCAAAGTTACCTACCCAGAGCGTTCCCGAAGCAGGAAAGTCCTAAACAAACCCAGGATTTGAAGGTTCATCCTACTTAATGTGGTTTAGTAGGTGAGGTATTACCATCGTCCCGACACCGCATCGGGTAACGGAAACCATCTCAAAGCTTCATACTCCGTCCATAATGAGTTCCGAAACAAGCTTAGTAGCACTCGCAGCTGGGCTATATTATCCTCGTGAATTCCCCCTATCTTCACTTTCCAACTCTCCAACTACATCCATCTTTCATAAGCTCCATCAAAGCTTAGACTTCATTACATCTTTCCCAAACATCAAACAACAATTAGAAAGACATGGCTCCTATCTCAGGCCTTGTCAACGACAACATGCTCTCTCCTCGGGCTGAAAAATACGAGGTTGACACGGGGAAGGAAGTCATCCTCACCAAGCTTCTCCTGGGGCTCATCGTGGTCGCCTTCGGTGTGTTCATGGGGTGCACAATGTAAGTACACCATCAGTCCAATGGATCCAAAAAGAAATACTCATAGCTCTATTAGCTGGGTTAAGTTGAAGCCCAGGTATGAGGCGGAGTGGAAGCCGAAGCTTAAGCCCAAGCTTCAGGACTGCAGGGAGAAGTATGAGGGCTGGAAGGAGAAGATGGGGGCCTGGCATGGCCCCAACGAACCAAGTAAGTTGATCCCATCAACAAAATGTACTTGTTCTTGATGCTAATGTTCCTTACAGAGGCGCCAGCGCCTGCTCATGTGGCTCGCCACATTTCTCAGACTCCGGATATCGACCGGATCACTTGTGATCTGACTCCGAAGTACCTGAGAAAGTCGACGGCCATCGTCTAGGGGACTTGGTGTTGGCTCAGTGCTGGTAGAGGTATCAAAGGCCTGCCAGACTGATGCCTGGATTGATATGGAGTACGGAGGAATGGGTTTCTTTTGTCTTTTCTTTCTTTTCTTTTGTCTTTCTTTCTTCTTGCTTTTCTTTAGGGCTTAGATCCCTCTCGGCTTATTTTTACTTTCCGTTGAGTTGTTGTTGACATGTCTGTCGTCATTGGAGTTGAGTCATTGTTCGGAGCATATTTCCCATGACTCCATGATGTTGTATATTTTATCATTAATTGAAGCTCCAAATTTGATTTCTAAGGGTTTTCCTTACTTGTGTGTTATAGGTAGTCTCATAGATGTTGGAGTCGTAGCATAGTCCGAAGTATAGCCCTTTGTAAACCCACTTACAACCATCTCTGGCCATCTTTACATCGGAATGACCATATAGTGATGATTTGAGAATATTCTCTTCCTAAATAAACTTATTGAATCAGATGAAATTGGTCTAGTACCATCCACGTGACCGCGCCTCACACGCGTTGTTCTAAGACCAGCCTTCCCTACCAACTACTCAACGGGATTGCTTTTGCTACTAGCATATTGTGGCGTATCTATATACAAAAATAGTTCTTACTGCTCGCATTCTTTTTTCCAAACCCCCGTCGAGCCCTTCATCCGGGGTCAGAATCACGGTGGAGAACCCCATTTACCGCCTCGTGCTGTCGCAACCCTTGCGCGCGTACTGGTCGATCGCCACTCGATCGGGCAGACGCTTCTGGTTCCCACAGTACTCCCACGCGTCTTGTTGAGATCTCGACTGTTAGTTGCATCTAATTAACTTGGTATCGGACCTTCCCGGCCCAACTCTCAATGTGGTGACTTGGCGAGACAGGACATGCATGTTGAGTGTTGAGATCGTGCCGCGTAAACTCGCGATTAAAGCTAGATCGCGCGTATTTGCCGATTGTCGCTATCCCAGCTTCTTTTAATCTTCCACGCCCCACCCTTGATCATGAATGACGGTCGCAATGCTGTGTCTAATCGTGGGGTGCTCCATGCGGAGGCCAGTGCGAACACCTACTCTGTGAACAACGCGACGCCTCCCGTACCTCACAAACCAACGACTCCAGCCAAGACGCGAACCACACAATCGCCGAAACCGAAACCATTGTCACTACAAATAGATGGCTTGAACGTCGTTATCCCCGCTCCCGGCGAGGGTAACTCGAACCCAGCCTATATCGAATCCTCGGAGCGCGGCAGCGATACATCGGGCGATGGCCGACGACTAGACCTTTCCGCTAGCACCGTCACAGACTCTCTTTCCAGCTTTCCTTCCTCGGCCAATGGTAATAGCCAGTCGACAGAGTTCGGTAACTCTCATACATTGAATGGACATACATCGATACCGTGGGTGGATCCGGAGTTATTGGAATCCCAACTCGCCCCGCACATACAGCCGGTCAATGGAGGCGCCTCAGTAGATCGATGGCAACCCTCGTTATCGCCGATCAAAGCCGGCAATGTTTCTATATCACCGCCACCATCGCCAAAGCATTCGCGCACAAGGTCGAACTTTGATGCTCGCTTGGCCCCAGGCCAGAAACGAACAGCCGCCGGCGACTTCAAATCCACTTTAGATCCCCCCACAGCTCACAGCGCCGACGCGAATGGAGCTGCACGACAACGTTCAAAGAGTACGGGCTCGTCAGCTCATGGGAGTAGGATTGCACAGGTAACGCGCCCACTCGCTCATTCAGGAATTATAGCTCATTTATATTTCCCAGTTGTCGGTCCATATCCGTACACGTCTATCATACGCGGCTGCCAAAGTAGAGCAGGCCCGACAGTCGCGTGAAGCCACCCCTCAAACCGCACTGCGCACACGCAACATGCCATTGAGCCCGAGTGACAAAGCATCATTACCGGCAGGAAACTCCACGCATTTTTTACAAGATTCCCAAACATCATCCAACGGAAATTCCCGTTATTTCCCGAGCCATAACCGCTCGCGATCAGCATACTCATCTAATCAATTCCTTCCAATCCCCAAGCTAGCACCGCCTGTGGATATCATTGCATCAAATGGTCATAACCAGCGCCGTCGTCCCAGCCCTAACGCAATCTCCAACCCTTCCAACCGCAGCCCTATCTCCCACCATCGACGTCACCATTCGCACCAAGAGAACGGACTCACCCCACCACTCAACGGCCAAGCGGTCCTAGGGCCAGGAACGCCCTCGCTCTCATCATCCCACACACACGCACCACCCACACCGAACGCGTTCTACAGACTCCGCACCCAATCCCAAAACACACTCATGGAACAAGACGCAATTGAAACCCTGATGTTCATGTCCAGTCCCGAGAACTCGGGTTATCGTTTCAGCCCTCGCCCGCTGCAACCAACGAGCACGCAAAGCAGCCAGAACGAATCGGTCCACGCTTCCAGCAACGGAGCTCACCCCGATGGAAGTCAGGGCTCCCAAAGTTCCGAATCTCACAATGGTCGTGGGCTAGAAAGGAAACCGGGACTGGAAGCTCATGCTGGAGATGATATTGATCGCCTTTTGGATCAGATGGATAGTGATAGCGATGATGAAGATCGGTATGCATCGTATCGCTCTGGGATAAATGGTGCACATCCATTTAGAGGGCATCAACGCCCGAGGTAGTTACATTGTTTTGGTCTAAGATTTCGGGATTTTGCATGGAACACATGGTGGATCATATCATGTACATTGTTTTAGCATTGTGGGGATTTTTGAATTGCTGAGCGTAGCCATGCTCCGATTATAGGAAGCGTACGTTGATACGACAATTTATTTGTTGTAATGAGAATTCAGACCGGTCTATCTACCTAGGTAGGCCTGGATAGTTGATAATATGCATGTATGATGTCGTTGGCTCTAATCCTCCACCCTAAAATGCTGTGATTAAATTACTCTTTGTCTTGTTCGGGGTTGGTATGCGTTGTAGATCATTTAATGTGCGAGTTCCTATGATTCCATTAGTCTCAAACAGTGTGTATGAATGAAAGGCATCACCTACACTTGCGAGCTTGCTCCTAGCTCGAATCTTGGGTCCGTAGAAGATCAGCACCCAGGGAACCAGAGTCAAAGCAGCACCCTATTTCGATCCAGTCAGTCGATTTCTTCTCTTGGTGTTAATTGCCACAACTTACAAGTCCTCCTAGCAGACTCGATGCCTCTGGATAACCAAGGTTGGTGAACATGGCATTCGTAACCAGTGGAAAGATACCACCGAGCAAATTCCGACCTAGTGAGTAAGACGTTAGCAAAATATCATCACATACAAATCAACGACCCATGGAAAAGCTTACAACAAGACTGCGCCGCAATCGCCGAACTCGCATACCGGTGATATGTATCAGCGAGGTAATTAAACGTAGCGAGGTAAATGGAAAAGATGCCCATGGTAGCACATCCAATCGCCAAAGCAGGCACGATCCAGTGAACAGATGGGAAAGAACTCCAACCGAACCAGAACAGGCCAATGGGCAGAAGCACGGACTCGATGCAGACGAAGTGCAGTCTGGCCTCGGGAGAAGTGGAGTTTTTACCGAAGCGCATGGCGATGCGATCTTGATAGATACTGATGATAGTGATGAGGATGGTGCCAACACACATTGAGGTGAAGACGGCGCCGGTTTGCTCGATTGTGAAGTTGTAGTTTGTGCGGAAGACGAGTGGTATGGAGCTGAATTGGAGGTAGAGGACTGCCCAGCTGAAGGAGACCCATAGGGAGAAGAAGAAGACCACGGGTTCGGTGAAGAGCATGTCTAGATTAGGATGTTAGTTTTTCTTTCATTCATTAGGGGATGGTGGACTGAAGGTTAGCGTAGACTTACGGAATGGTCTGTACAGCGAGATCTGGATCATGGTTACGATCGATTCTCGTTGCTCGTCGCTCTTGACTTTCCACCTGATTCGACGAACGCATTTTTCTTCAGACGCTTCTTCGCCCGGCAGTATTACACCGTGATGGCCTGCTTCTTCGAGTCGCTCGTAGTACTTGTTCAACGTTGCGGCCTTGCGGCTTAGCAGGACACTGCCGCGCGTTTCTCTGAAGAAGAAGTAGATGATAATGACAAAAGCAGCGGACACAATTGCGTGCGAGTAGAACACCCAGCGCCATGTGGTGCGGGAGATGATTGCGCCGGAGATCATCGGTGCCAGGCCAGTACCGAACAATGCAGATGCCGAGAAGAGCGCCATGGGCGTGTTCCGATCTTGAGCATGATAGATATCGCTGATCACGCCGCCGACCATAGTGGAGAATGTTGCTGTGAGGCTTCAAGTCAGTATCAATTGAATGCGACCATTCGGAGCAGGCTATACATACATCCACCCACACCCAGGAAGAAACGAGCTATAAGCAATCCAGCAAAGGACGGCGTGCCTCCACAGCCGATTAAACAGGCTGTTAACATAGAAAGTCAGCATATGCCGAGTAAAACAGCGGAGTAATACATACCAACGAAGAGAATCCCACTGGCGATAAAGATCGGCCTCCGTCCATTAATCTCAGAAAAGGGAGCCAGCGCCATCGGCGCCAGGGCAAACCCACAACAGAAAATCGTGATGCTCAAATTGTAAACGACGGTACTGACCCCCCATAATTTAGTTAGTTCCTCTGATGCAGGACTGACCTCGCCCGCAGCATAACCTGCTAGCGCAGTGACCCCGCAAGCGATATAAGTCATCATGGACTTGCGCCATTTTGGCCACAGAAAGGGAGAGATGAATTTCTCTAGACTGGGCGCTTCTGGTGGTGGTGACTGAGCGGGGCCGGGTGGTAAAGTAATGCATGGGGTCGGTAAGGGTGTCTCTAGCTCTAGATAGCGGAATTCGATATCTTGAGATCCGCATAGAGACTTGGTAGTCTCCTCGTTTCTTGCCATGGCTGTTGTTGATTGCGGTTTAAGTGAGTCAGGCGTTGTAGATGCCATGTAGTAAATCAGAATGATCGTTGGCAAGAGTTTTCTAAGCTAAGCTTCTAGGGCGTGGAGTCCAGCTAAGACAAAACCGGAGAAAGGACCAAACCCCGAAATATTATCATCTCTCCAATTTGATATTATCATCCGAACCACATTGCTTGTGGACTAATGTGGATCCTGTTGATCATGTATACGACTCTTTGCAGGTTAATACTAGGTCCGACCATGTACGGAGTACATTGAGACAAAGTTGGGCTGTTGGTGGAACTGATAATGCTCCATCCGGAAGACGTGGGGCCCGTGCCTTGGCGTCGTAGTCATAGGCATATCGACTACTGAACAAGGCCTAGCTCTTTCTCCTTTTTTGACGGTGTTTCACGTCATCTCGATGATTTGAAGAGAATAAGACTTGCTGATTTCAGAATTAGAAGAGTAAAATAAAGAAACCAGTATTAAATGACGGTTCCAGCGTCGCATCGCGAGTTCATAGATGCGAATACGGGGTATACTCCGCAGAGGCAATTAACCATTGGCGGTCACGTGCATGAAATTTCTCCAATTCGGAGACCTCGGGATTTGCACCGATTCGGTACAGCCCATTAATCATCGTGGGAATCGGCAGACTAGGCCAATAAGTGCTTGGCGATGCAAGACCAGTACAAGGTTCATGATATTCTGCTCGATTCGACCTAGTCCGTGGTAGTATTTGTGGAGGTACTTGTGAACCGGGCACACCAGGGAATAATGTCCCTGTCAGACTCACCGGAGTTGTGCACCAAATCCCCGAGACCATCCAACCCTCCACGTCATGTTCACCCCCAATGTTGAATAGCAAACCCTATCAGTGTCAGCGATGCCCGAGGGCATTTGCCCGGCTAGAGCATCTTCAAAGACACGATCGCTCACGTATGTCTTCTGGACCTCGGACCGAATACTCCGTCTAATATCCCCCCAGATACCAAGGAGAAACCGTTTGTTTGCGTTCAATGTCCCAAGGCCTTTACACGCAAGTACGATATATAATTTCAGTATATCTATTAGTTCCATGTACTCACCATTCTAGGGATCTGCTGGCTCGTCATGAGCGTCTCTCTCACAACCCTGATGCCAGTCCAGCCAGCAATAACACACACACGACCTCCCCCGCAAATCCTTCTCCCTTGGACGGATTAAACTCCTTGGCATCTGTAGTCAACCACGCACAATCTAATCCTAGCGCTCTACAAGGGCCTGTCGACCATTTCACATCATTGTCGCCAGCCGTACACCGCCCGGTGCTGGGTACTCAGTTGGCCAGCATAGACACTCCTTCTGAAAGACCCACCACCCCATCCCCTGGCCCGGATTTTGGCTATGCTCTAAGTGGCTTTGGGCCGGCATCATATCAAGCTCATGACTTCACCTCGTTTTTGGATAGCGTCCCCTTGCCAAATCATCCGTTCTCTCCGGCTTACCAGCCACTCCCGCTATTCCCACCGTTGCACTTCTCCCCGGTGCCGGAATATGATCAATCTTCTGATCGAGGGGCGCTGACCGAAAATACTCCTTCCACTCCTTCCAGCTCTGTACTTCCCCGAAATGACACTCAGCTGCCCTCCCTCCAGCCGGAGGGATATCATCACATCTCCCCCGCGGCGCGCCAGCCCACGGGATTCGTACCAGTCACGGCGGAATGCCGGGAGAAGTTCATGAATATGTTAGCCGACTACGCCAATGTGGTCCCAGATCCATCGATGCCATCTCGACATGCGCTGTCCCGATGTTTGACCGGGTATGTAACCGGTTTTCACGAGCACTACCCAATCGTGCATATCCCGACCTTCGATGTAGATTCCATGACCTTACCGTATTTCCTAGCGATGGCGGCATTGGGTGCACGGTATTGCCGTGAGCCAGACACTGCATTTCGTCTCTATCAGATTGCCAAACCAGTGACTATGGAACATGTTCGCCGGGTCTTCCAGTCGGGCAAGCTGCCCCCGCCCGGCCTCAACGCGGCCGACGACATTGGTACCCTGCAAACTGTGCAAGCTTTATTGTATATGACCTCGGTGTCGTTATGGTTTATCAACAACCCCCCATACCACGAGGCGCTGTCGCTTCGCAGTCTAATGGAAATAGTCGTCCGACAAGGAGGACTCAACCGGCTACCGGAGCAGGACGGAACATGGAGTAGCTGGATACGACGGGAATGCGTGAAGCGCACGAAACTAATTGTGTTCTGTTTCTTCAATATCCACACTATCGTGTTCGACGTCCCACCCATGATTCTCACTGAAGATTTCACACTCGAACTACCCAGCACCGAAAAAGAATGGCAAGCCCCGCGCTCAGATCTCTGGCAGATAGAGCGCATGAAGAGTCCTGGCGAGCCAAAGTTCCAGGATGCCCTTTCCGCCTTGTTTAAACCAACCAGCAATGTAGAGCGGTTTTCTTCGCTCGGCGGCTACGTGCTAATCCACGCCATCCTGCAAGATATCTGGCTCATGACGAAAGCGGGCCGACTGCCCGTGTCACGACGGAACCGCTTCACTCCATCTTCAATGGCACCCACACCCGAGCTCGTACACGTCGAACAGGCACTAGAACGCTGGTGCCAGTGCTGGGAGCGCAACCAAGAATCCTCCGTTGACCCACTCAGCCCGAACGGCCCGCTATCCTTCACATCAGCAGCGCTGCTTCGACTAGCCTACATCCGACTCAACGCAGACTGCGGCTCAGCCCGCCAACTGCAAACCTGGGATCCCGTGCAGATCGCAACCAGTCTCCACGACAACCTCGCCGTCCGACGCGGCGACCGTCTCACACGCGCTGCACTCCACTGCGCACATGCCCTCAGCACACCTGTCAAGCTCGGTATTGGATTTGTCGCGCACTCGCAGGTGGCTCTGTGGTCGAATCAGCACGCTTTGTGCTCCCTGGAGTGCGCGGTGCTATTGGCTAAGTGGCTGGAGGCGATCACGGTGCCGGATCCGGACCCGGGGCTTACGGAGCAGGAGACCCGGTTGCGAGATTTCGTGCTCGAGATGGTTATGGAGGTGGAGCATGGTGTTTCGAGGGAGTGGCTGCTCGCTACTAATACACGGCTCAGTGCTGCGGTCACCAGGTTGTGGGCGCGGCTGTTTACGGCGGATTATATCTGGGAGATGGTTTCTTTGATTGGGAAGTCTTTGAATAGCTATGCGGACTTGCTAGAGCAGTAGTATGGAGTTTCAGTTGCTGTGCTTGCACTCTCGGCGGTTAGGGCCAATTGAACGGTAATGATCATTATAGCATCGGACAAAGGCGTACTGATCATAGTCATGTCGGTTAGCATCTCGGCACTTTCTCCTTCTTGTCCCCACAAATTCCCCGCCATAGGGCGTACACCGGAATTAACACGGGGCCGGTGATTCCCTTGGATCTCGGAGTTTGAGGGCTTTTTGACGTGCCACCACCCTTCCCCACTTCCGTTTGCTAGGTCTTTAGTCCTTAGTTTCTTCAATCACCTTCCCCAAGCATTCCAAAACGTACTTCAACATAACAACTTCCTAATCTCAAATAACCGATACAATACAAAATGGCACCCTCGCCCGTCACAGCCTCCCCAGAAGTCCTGACCCACCTCAAAGACCTACACACCAAATCCCTAACCCAAGAATCAACCGTGGACTGGCACAACCTACCGCAACAATGCAGTCCCGAATTCGACTCCATCATGGTCGACAAGTTCATCGCACTGGACCAGGACAAGTGCGAACTAGTCTACCACATCCTGCGCAGCATCAACGCAAAGACTGCCGTCGAGGCCGGCACCAGCTTCGGCGTTAGCACCATCTACCTAGCGCTTGCCGTCGCAGAGAATGCGAAGCGCGTCAGCGCCACCACTAAGCCGCGAGTCATCGCCACGGAGAAAGAAGATTCTAAGGCTAAGATAGCTCGTGAGCATTGGGCGAAAGCTGGCAAGGAGATTGAGGATGTGATTGATCTCCGTGTTGGGGATCTGCGTGAGACTCTTACCTCCGATTTGGGGACTGTGGATTTCTTGCTGTTGGATAGTAAGTGGTGTTGATTTCCTTGGGCTGATGCAGTAACATACACACACGCACCTATACGGATATGTCTAGTCGTGATAGTAGCAGCGGGCATATATGCTAACCACTACATACCTAGTCTGGACGCCTCTCGCCCTCCCTGCGCTGAAGCTTGTTCAGCCGCATTTCCGGCCTGGCGCCGTGATCATCGTTGATAATACTGTCAAGGCGAAGGATAGGTATCAGGAGCTCTTTGCGTATGTTGATGCCGAGGGCAGTGGATTCCGACGGGTGACGATGCCGTATGAGGGGGGTCTTGATATGATTGTTTATCAATAGATGTAGTCTCTTGAAGTTATCCATGCGGCACGCTATCGTAGATCAACTCGGGATGCACGCTATGAACTATTCCAAGATATCCAGTTCTTTCTCTTTGATAGGCCCAATGGATCCGCCCTAGTTACTAGCAGACTACAGCCCCTCATTCTATAAAATCCATATCTTTTATATACCCCGCGCACCTTGATTCAATTCCACCAAACTCATTCATACATCCATCCACCATGTCCTCAACAAACCTCCACCTCCAACCCCAAGAAGAAGAGCCAGGCCTCTTCAACGCAGCCCCAAGCCTAAACCCAGCCCCAACACCCGCAACAAAAGACTACAAACTAAACCACCTAGCCCTACGCATCCAAGACCCAACCCGCTCCCTAAACTTCTACATCAAGCTCCTAGGCATGCGCATAATCTTCACCATGAACGCCGGCCCCTTCACAATCTACTACCTCGGACACCCGCCGCCATCAGCCACGACCGAAGACGACATTACCGCGTGGGCGAAGACTACGAGCGAAATCCCCGTTTTGACGAAGACGTGCGGGCTGCTGGAGTTGTTCCATATGCATGGTACGGAGAAAGTTGATGGTGGTGCGGATCGTGCTGGTGCTATTTCTACGGGGAATGTACCCCCGCATCTTGGATTCGCGCATTTGGGGTTCACGGTTCCTGATGTGTCGGCTGCTGTGCGGAGGTTGCGGGATGGTGGGGTTAGGATTCTGAAGGATGTGGGTGTTTCTTCGAGGGAGGCGGTGCCGCTTTCGGAGTGGGAGGAGGAGAGGGGTATTGCGCGCGGCGAGATTCATGCGAATTATGCGTGGTTTTTTGAGAAGTTTGCTATGGTTGCTGATCCGGTGAGTTTCTATGGCCCCCTGAGTTAAGGTATTGTGCTGATGCGGATAGGATGGGTATACGGTTGAGTTGATTCCTCAAAATGTGTGATCTACGATTTTGGCACGGTTTTGGTTAATCAACAGGTCGGAATGGAACGTCCATCCCGTAAAAATAGCTTAATGCAGCCTATACAACCAACATATGATGCTGGTACACGAAAAGTAACGGAATTAAGCGCCCCAGCTGTCATCCTCCGCAACGTCGTAATCCATATCCCGCGCAGGAGCGCTGTTGGCCACCGACGAAGACGACATGACTGTGTCTTCCGGTTCGTCCTGTCCAATACCACCCTTGAATTCCGTGGATGACCCAGCGGTAGGAAGTACAACGGGCGGATTGGGCACCCAGGTGAGTTGAACCTCGCCCACGGAGGGGATGTTCCACGGGGAGAACATTAGCTTCTCGGCCTGGAAGCGCTCTTTGAATGCCACCACGACCGAGTTTGGCTGGTCTGGGTGTGCCTCGATGGATTCGTATTCGCCAACGCCCTAGAACACAACAAATTAGTACACGCTTTGCTTGGTTAGAAAGATACATAACTTACCATCAGGTGCTGACGCAATGCCTCGTCCTTGTCTGAGTTGAGCTCAACGCCCGATACGGCGACTCGTCGAGGCCGGTTATCCAGACGCAGTACACCTCCCCGTCCCCGAGCCGCAAATCCACCGCGTCCACGATATCCTCCGCGGAAGTTGGGATCGTAAGCGCCGCGTCCACGGTACGTGCCTCGGCCGCGGAAGCCACCACGACCCCGGTAGCCACCCCGCGCTGAAGGGTCCGCCGCAGGGTCGAGACCAAGACTCTTTGCCTCCGCCTCGAGAGCAGCCAGTTGAGCTCGCAGCTGTTTCGTCTCAGCACTGATATTCTCGTCAGCTGGAGGCTCGGTGGCCATAGCGTCTCCACCACCGGTGGCACCGTTTGTGTCTGTCGTGCCTCCAAGTCGCTGCATGAGACGGGCCCGCTCCTCCTGCTGTTTCTTGATAAGTTCATCGCGCTGGCGTTCTAGAGCCTGCTTGGCTGCTTCGGTCTCCTGTCGCTTTTTCATTTTCTCCTCGTGCGCCCTCTGTGCTTCTTGTTGTTGCTTCTCGAACTCTTCTTTGTTGAAGGCTGGGGCCTCCGGTTGTGCACTGTCGTGCGTCTCATCGCGATTCGGTTTGTACCAGTAAACCTTCACGAAGCGGTTGTCGAAGATAACCTTGGGACTAGACCACGCAGCCTTGGCTTCCGGGAAAGTCTCGTATTTGACCAAAGCCACCTTTTTGTAGGGTTGCAAAGAAACCTCGGTGATCTTACCGAACTCGGAGAAGAACTCGCGCACAGAATCCTCGTTGAACTTGTCGTCGGGAATCTGCTCAACAACAATAGTCGTAACAGACTGATCTTCATTAGGTCCTGCCGATGAGAAATCGGACCGGCCGCGTCCTCGTCCGCTGAACCCGCCGCGACCACGGCCGCGGCCACGGTCACCGCGCGAAGGAGCACCGCCCCGCTGCGCATGCGTACCCGCGGTCTTGGGGTCATATTCTGCGATTGTTAGCAATGGTATATCTAGGATAAATGAATTGTTCTTACCATCGTCTTTCGAGACTCCCTCGCCGTGCTGGTAAGGGCAAGTGTTTCCTAGGTAACAGATACCTTGGGTATCATAGAATGGACATCGCTGGTTGCTTTTCGGGATCTGATCGGCTCCTGGCTGACCGGGAGGACCGGGCATCCCGGGCATAGGCATCCCCGGCATCGGCGGGAATCCCATACCTTGCATACTCTGCATAGCCATCATTGCTGCCATAGGGTCATTGGGGTCGAACGGTGGGAAACCTGGCATCATAGGGAAGCCACCGGGCTGCTGCGGAGGGAACTGTTGGCCCTGCTGATGCGGGGGGAATTGCTGGCCTTGTTGCTGAGAGGGGAATTGCTGGCCTTGTTGCTGCAGAGGAAACAGTTGACCCGCTTGTTGTGGAGGATATTGTTGACCCGCTTGCATATGTTGTCCGCCCATGAAGTCGCCGCGACTACCTCCGCGCCCACCACGCCGTGCAGTCTTGATAGCGCGATTCTGGAACCCACTATCGTCGTGATCCGGCTCCCCCTGGAATCCCTCATTGAAAGTTCGTTTCCGGTTGGCACTGCCCGGGGTGACGGTAGCTCTCGGGCCGCTGGGGGCATTCTCAGGAGGCTGTGACAAAGGAATCTGGGCAGCAGGTTGGGGCTGGCGCTGAGGCTGGGGTGCAGGCGCGGGCGTAGGAGGTGCGGGTTGTTTGGGACCGAATGTTGTAAAGAGCTCGGTAACGAACGGTTGAGTGTCTAAGAGTTGTTAGTTGTATGAAACAATTCGGGATTGAGATATGGACTCACGTTCGCGCAGGAAATCCTCCAAGTTTTCCACCGAGATCTTCTTGATTTCCTCGGCTGGCGCATCGGACCTAACTAGCGCCAAAACATAGTCTGCGAGCACGTCGGAGTCGGCATCCGAGCTAAAGACAGAATAAAGCCAATTAGTCTCAGTTTGCTTCCCCTAGGGCAATCCACGGGTCTCAGTCCCCGATTCTGGTGCCTGATCAACTCACATGTCCTCCAGTTTTTTTACCACCCATTTCTTTACGTCAGCGGCTTCTGCATCAGTAAACTGCATGACGAAGATTATTTCCGAGCAATTTCAAACTGTGAGGATTGAATTGGATCGAACAAAAGATCGAAGTGAAAGTGGCGATGATTGCAGGGATGCGGTTTAAACAAAGCCGTCACGCGGGAAGATGCCTGCGTGTGCAGTGATAATTGTATATGCGATAAAATCACACCCTTGTATTTCAGATAACAATGCTTGAGAATAGGTTATTTTAAGCTGATAAGCATTCACCCCAACCGTGAGGGAATAGAAGGATATGGCTAGGAGCGCGATTGTGAAGGAAAAACGCGAGGCTCGGTGGATCACGTGATTGAATGACATAGGACAACACAACTCCTCAAGCTACCATTGCGATCGGAGTCATGGTTTCGCTGATTTTTTTTTATGCTTACAATTACTTGTCTACAGATGAACCACTGTGCCTAGCATACCCAAGTTTATTTTCATATCGAAACTGGCTGCTAGACTACAGCAAAAACGCAAAAAGCAAAAAACCCTCGGTAGAAAAACCAAATGTAGAAACGGCAATGAAAGGACAGAATCAATGATACCTAGAGGCTTCAATATTCATGTCCTGATTTCTAAAGGCGGAACGATCGAAGCAAATACCGACGAATGAGGGAATAAAATTTTGTTGAACCGAAGAAATTGTATTGAATTCATCAATCTCATGAAAGATTCCACGAATGACTGGCAGAAGGGAAATTCTGGGTGACCGTGAACATTTTTACAGCTTGTCGTAGTACTATAAGACCAGATTAGTAACTGTGACCAACGAGAGTGAGGATAAAGACTTACGTTTTCGTAACCGGGAACGACCTCCTTGAGACCCTTGCGCTTGCGCATTTCCTGGACGACCTGACCGGGCTTGGTGGTGGGGTCGAGAGGAGAACCGCCGGGGAGGATGCTCCAGTGATCGAAGATGGACTGGGGGAAAGCCTGGCCACCGGTAGCGGAACGCAGATCGGCAGGGAAACCGAAGGACTCGTTGACGGGCAAGTAAGCCTTGACCATGAACAGAGGGGTACCGGGACGCTGCTCCTCAGTGTAGACGTGACCACGGCGGCGGGTGAGGACACCGTAGATACCACCCATAGCCTGCTCGGGAACCTGGATCTCGACGTTGAAGATGGGCTCGAGGAGACCGGGGTCGGCCAACATGGCAGCGGCGTACAGAGCACGACGAGCAGTGGGGATGATCTGACCACCACCACGGTGAATGGCATCAGCGTGCAGGGTAACATCAAGGATGTTGAAGCGGACGGAACGCATGGGCTCCTCAGCAACGGGACCCTCGCGGGTAGCCCACTGGAAACCGGAGACAACGGAATCCTTGATTTCGTTGAGGTACTGCACGGCCTTGGTCTGGTCAACGAGCAAGTTGGCACCGGTGGTGTCGGGACCGAAGCACCAAATCTTACGGGCATCGGTGACATCCCAGCCGTGCTCGTCAGCAAGGACACGGGCACGAGCCTTGAAGTCGTCACGGGGGCTGATACGGCCAGCCTCAATGGCTTGGGAAACTTCCTCGTCAATAGGCTGAGCAGTCATGTACAGACGGTTGTGCTTGTTGGGCGACTTAGACAGGGCAGTCATGCTGGAAACGCCAGCGACGGTCTCACGGTAAGCAACGACGGGGTCGGAGATACGGAGGGGAACACCAGCGTGGTCCTCCTCGAGATCCTTAAGACAAATCTCGAGGTGGAGCTCACCAGCACCGGCAACAATGTGCTGGCCAGACTCGTTGATCATGGTCAGGACACAGGGGTCGGACTTGGAGAGACGCTTAAGACCCTCGACAAGCTTGGGCAGATCCTGGGCGTTCTTGACCTCGACGGAGCGCTGCACAACGGGGGAGACGGAGAACTTCATGACCTTCATGTTGTGGGCAGTCTCATCGGTGGTGAGGGTACCGGACTTGAGCAGGAACTGATCGACACCGACCAGACCGACAATGTTACCGGCGGGGACATCCTCAATGGGCTCAACGAAGCGACCCATCATGAGAATGGTACGCTGGATGGCCTTGATGAAGAGATCCTCCTTGCGGCCGGGGACGTAGTTAGGACCTTGGATGCGGACCTTGACACCGGACTTGACGGTACCGGCGTAAACACGACCGAAGGCGTAGAAACGACCCTTATCGGTGGTGGGCACCATCTTGGAGACGTACAGCATGAGAGGAGCAGTGGGGTCACAGTCGCGGATACCGATGGCGGCGCGGTCATCCATGGGGCCCTCGTAGAGAGTCTCGACACGGTACTTCTGGGCAGTGATGGGGGAAGGAAGGTGGATACAGATCATCTCCAGAAGGGCATCAGCGGCAGGCAAGAACTTGCGCATGATAAGCTTGAGGAGGGCCTTGCCCTCGAGCTCCTTCTCATCGTTGGTGAGGGTGACCTCGAGCTTCTCGAGGAGAGTGAAGATCTCATCACGCTTGTTGTGGTTGACAGCGGCGAAGATCTTGAAGATGGGGTCCAAGATGAACTGGTTGAAGGCACGCTCAAGGGTCTTGCCCTCGTACTCACTCTTGGTGGTCCACTTCTTGGTCTTGGGGTTGAAGTAGTTGTCGCCCCAGAGACGCTCAAGCATCTTCTTGCGGTCAACACCGAACTTCTTGGCGTAACGGACGGCGAACTGGCGGACAGTGAAGCACCAGCCGTGGAGACCGGAACCGAAAGCGATTGTGCCCTGGTCGGGGTAGACCTGGACGTCACCGAGAGCCTTGTCGAAGTAGGTGGAGATGATGACGTTAACGGACTCAATGGTACGGGAGAAGGACTGGTACAGATCCTCCTTGGAGACCTGGAGCTCGAGAAGAGCACGGTCAACCTTGTTGATGCACAGAACGGGCTTGATGCGCTCGGTCAGGGCCTGACGCAGGACAGTCTCGGTCTGGACACAGACACCGGAGACACAGTCGACAACGACAAGGGCACCGTCAGTGACACGGAGAGCAGCAGTGACCTCGGACGAGAAATCAACGTGACCGGGGGAATCGATCAAGTTGATCAGGAACTCGGATCCATCGACAGTCTGGGGAATCTCCTTAAGATCCTCTGGGTCGGGGAACTTGGCGTACAAGGAGATAGCGGTGGACTTGATGGTAATGCAACGATCCTGCTCATCGGGACGGGTGTCCATGAAGCGGGCCTCTCCAGCCTTGGCGGCGGAAATAATACCGGCACGCTGAACCAGGGAGTCGGAGAGGGTGGACTTTCCGTGATCGACTAACGCACAGAGACCGAGTCAGAATCAACCATTTCACCATATCGCTTCCTCTGCCGTCTGAACTTACCGTGAGCAATGACGGACATGTTTCGGATGTTAGCCCGACGGTCCATCAGAGACCGGATCTGATCTAGGTCAGTATCGACATTCATGATGATTTGATGATGTTGTGTTTCAAGGGAAATGGTTGAAAGGTTTTTCAAGTATCACCAGCGGTGGGAGGTAGATGGAGGCATTTGAAGGAGCCATCGAGGGAATATGTCTCCTCTTCTGGTGATAGTGTTTGATATAACCTTGGAACCCTTGAAAGGCAAATACTAACCTCTTCGATAGTGAAGCTGTTCACATCATTGTTAGTACGTTCTAGGACATCGAGGTCTCAAGCAAGGTCAACTTACTTAACCATTTTGGCGGTTGATCCTTAGTTTAACTTGGATAAACAAGAAAAGAAGAAGAGCACACAGATGACTAGGATCGAGACTTCTCGATCGCTGAATCAAAAACTTCTATGTGCAGCTGCTCCTGGTGGACAGAGATAGAGGGGAAAAGAAGAGGAAGAAGAGGGGAAGGAAAAGTGGGAGAGGAAAAAAAGAAAAGCGAAAGTGGGGACTTTTTTTTCTCCTCCCGGTTTTGTGCGTTTTGAGCTGACTGGCCTGTTTGCCTATGAAACCGTTTATATTATTCGGTTTTTTTCCGTTTCTCGTTTTTTAATTGCTTATATTCCTTTCAATTACTTTGGGTCTTTTTTCTTGATTTCAAATCCTTCAGATTGGCATGTCCTGACTCACTATATTGTCTGTTTTTGCCATCCGTGGGTGCTCCGGTGACGTTTTGACAGCCATACCCCAAGCGAGAGATGTCATCCGACTCGTTTTATATCTCTAGCTATGATCCTTGATCGTACTAAATGCTTAAAAAGAGTCATCTCAAAGCCTATGATTCACAGCACGCTTTTATGTTTCCAGGGTTTCTAAGAATGACTTGACTTCCTGCCCAAAACCCCTCTATCAAGGTGGGGCAATGCACATTATTAATATTCTAACTATCGGTCAACCTTGGAATGTATCTTGTACGGTACAGCTATACAACTATGTACTAGTATACATATGTATATTTGGATATAATCCAAAATAGAGATACTTAAAACATTCAATCGCATTGAAATGAAAATCCCACTCCTACATCTTCTTTAAGCAAATTTTCACCTGTTTCCACTAGCTCGTGCAGCACCACCGTGCATTAACTAGTGGGGACAGCTAAGTCACCAAGGCATCCAGGCATCAAATCATCCCACCTGCATACATTACAAGAAATGGGAGTGCAATACATGTATAGAGGAGGTAAAACTAATAAAACCAATGCTCAAGTCTGTCAAAAACTTGACTCTATACCCAAAATAGTGGATGTCAAAACAGTCTATAAGCCAGGACAAGTCTTCCAACCCGAGTATTCCGGCGCCGAGTCCCGGCAGCCACCTCAATATATATGTTGTAAGGAATAGCCAACGCAATAATCTGGTGAGTCAGTCCACCTATCTAATAACTGGTATCAATACTCTGAAGTAGTGCAGAGTGTAACCTGGCCTCTTTTGGCCTCTTGGCTCCTCACTATGCTTGTCTTGCAAAGGCTACCTATTATGCTACGGAAAAGACCATCAAAAGTTAGCTCAGGCCCAAGTGCTAGGTTGCCTTGGTTTAGACTTCTCATATTGGAAATAAAAGACCGTAATTTGATAACATAGAGTTGTATAACCATGTAATGTCTCTTCGTTATAAGCGTCTAAGCTAACCTCTAAATAGACCCCGACATGCCCCTAAACAGACCCCGACACTCGAAGACCCAGCGGGCCACCCGATCGCTCAGAGTCCCTTCGATAAGCGAGTCCTATTGTGACCAAGTCAGATCGGTTTTGTGTCAATTTAGTTAGATAAAATTTTACCCTTCTAGAATTAAAATCCCGGTGATCCGTAGTACAAGAATAAGTTAGAAAATATTCCCACGCTTAACTGCTGATCGACATACGTAGTGGGGCGTGGTTCTTAGCTCTATACTAGGCGCCTCTTTGCATACAATATATGCTTTGTCTCTGAAAAAAAAAAAAAACGCCTATTCCGTTCGTACTGTGTTCAATGGCACTATTACTAAGATCTACCCAAAGAGGGAGAATACGGTTCTTATAATGAACGATTTCTTCTCAAAGAATTATTTTGCACTAACATCTCACTAAGACACCACGCCATAACTAGAGCATCGATGTGGCATTCCGGACGGTCGGCAATGAATCTTAGGTCCGCAAAATGTCACCATGTTTGTGTTATATTTCGAGGCGATAAACGCTGTAGCCGCTCCAGACTGTCTACTATCATGAATGGTCTGCATTACCGTTAGAAAGTCGATTGAATCATCCCTGGCTGTGACCGATACTCTTGTTATTAGAAGCACAACCGTGGAATATATAAAGACCAGTATTGATGCTAAGTCCCAATGAATATTCTAGCATGGGTCGGGATGCAGCAAACCAATGAGTTTGTGATGAAGTTTAAAACCACCTAAGCGCATTGATTTGATGGCTCTATCAAACACAACTATATATGTCGCCCTACCAGATCCCATTTGTTGGGCCTATCATGCTCCAAACTTCCCAGCCTTTCTCTATCATAGATGATATGACTGGCCCCCAATAGGGCACACTAGCTGTAGTATTTCTATTGAATCATATCTTGTGTCATCTCACCGGGTCATTTATAACCATTCGCAGCCATGGACAGCAACTGAAAGAGAGAAATTACGATAAGCTTTCACGATAAGCAATCTATGCTGATCCCCATTAAGGCTGGGAATCATCGAATAGTGCCAAGAGTAATATATCTAATGAAATATAATGCGTTCTAAGGTTCTACACTAGACCTTGCTGATATGATCTGTGAAGTTGGAAGAACCTCAAAATCTAGGCCTAGTGAGCTAGTTTAAAGCCAAAACTTCAATCTCCCTTTAAAATAACACAAAGCGGTCAGCTCCTTAAGATCACGATAAGGATGTATATATCACGTGCCACAGTATCGCCAACAACATCTGGCAGTTGGTCTTCATCTTCTTCTTCTTCAGGATATCCACACATCTCAAGACTTACACTACACCAGTGGGAAGCCGTGTATGAACCTGGCTGTGGGATCTGAAATACCATATCTGCCTTAGTTCATTGTTAAGGCCCATTTGTCCCTACAAAGCATTCCATATTGGAAAGACAAATGGTGAGACTCGGCTTGTCTACTCGATTTTCGGGTTTCCCAGGTGGTGGCTTGTATTTCGATTAAATAAGCGACCAGGACCAGGTAGGTTCCTGAATCATTGATGGCGCGAGATAATCGCTTTCATCCCCTCTACCCTTCTCCCATCATTGAATTGACCTCTGAGCTTGATTGATATACCGTCGATGTAATTATCAAAACAGAATGGCTGACGAGTCTCCTAGTCTCCACGATTTGATCGAGGAGCTCGGATTTCCTCCAAGTGAGCACCAATTCTTGCTTCGTCTCTTCGGCTCATCCGACCCATTTGCTGGGCTTCCTCCGGACCTAGAGGCCAGTCACAGCCAAGATCAATCTCGCCAACTCAGCTCTACTAGTCTTGCTCGTAGACTTGCATCTACTAGGCTCTGGCAAGATACTCCTCCTTCTAGTGGGTGGATCTCGTTGACTAACATACTGTCCCCAGTGAACGTGCGAATCATTTTCGTCTACAATCCTTCCAGCATCGTCCTAGTGACTTTCCCGAGGATTCAGAAGGCAGAGACCTGGTTCACTACGAAGAAGAGTGGACTTCCCTCATCGGTGCCGATTCGGAATCTCTACTATCCGAGTTATTCCAACAGCTTGCAACGGACGACGAGCCTCCCTGTCTCGAGTCCCCGGAGCTTCCCGAACACCATAAGACATCAGAGAACGTTACACGCCCTGGATCTGTTGAACCCCCATGCTCATCAGTCTATGACAGCGAAAAAGGTGAGCCGCCCGATTCTGTTGATAACCTCAACGAAACCCCTGAAACCCAAGGGAATTGCGAAGCATCCCAGGACCCAAGGACTTTAAATCACACCGGGAGCTTTAAGAAGCTACTTGAATCATTCCCAAGACCTCCCGGTCGCGATCAAACCGTTGTGGACCAAGATTTCTCCCACGTCTATTCTGCCACCCAACGATTGTCACCCAAAGACAGTGCCCAGGCTAATACGTCGACACTCACCAGCAGTCATATCAAATCCGCGACCAGCCTACCTCGGATTTCCCGATTCTCTGAAGATTTGGTGGACAGCAACCCGATCGGAGAACAAGAGCCTTCCAGAGTCTGTGCCAAAGCGGATACATCTGCACTCGATAACAGTGGGCTACCAACTAGTTCTTCTGGAATCTCCCGGCCGTGTTCTAACGACACTTCAGCCGTCGTCAACACTCGGAAGATTTCCTCTCAGATCCCTTCACCGTCCCCCAGCTCTTGCGGAGAGTTGCCTCTCCCCGACTATCACGAGGGACAACAAGTGGATCTCGAAACCTCCGACCAGGCTCAGGAGCGCGCAAATCAGGAAAAATACACCATTTTCCCCTCATACTCCTCTCGGGTCCGTCCGATCAGCTACGTGATCAGAAAACAGCACTCTTTTCACAGTATATTCGAAGGTTGCTCTACACCTACGGATTCCCCTCGGTATTACCAAAAGACACCTCTTCGTCTCTCCACTCGTCCGTCGATAATCTCTCTTGCCTCTAGAAATAGGAGCACACCGAAGCGCAAGAGAATCTTGAAACGTTTTGTTAAAAAGCTCAAACATCTGCTTTGTCACACCCCCAAACGCACTCCATCCGCATTCAATCATTAACTCCGCACCGAGTCGCATATCTTTAAAATCCCTTTTAACTCATCTCACCCCGCCCCCATCTCTATCTTTACTGTTTACTCACTTTTATACCTATCTCATTTTTACAGTTATCTTATCTCACACCTAGTTCATTCCAAGCTTATCTTCACTCACAATGGATCGAGCTTCTCATCTCCTAGACCCATCCTCTGCAATGGCGGCCATCACCAAGCACAAGGTGGAGGCAATCAAGCTAGCTCGTGAACAAGGAGTGGCCGTCCGAGAGATGTGTCGTCGTGCGAAAACCGAGGTCCCACCATACGAGTTTGAAGAGTTGATAGGCAAAGGTGCCTATGGTCGTGTTTATAAGGGTCACCAAACATCATCAGGCCAGCTAGTTGCTATCAAAGTCCTAGATATTGACTCGCTAGACTACAAGTCACTTCGAGATTTCAGAGATGAGTCGATAAAGGATTTCATCCATGAAACAAAGGTGATGAAGCAAGTGAAGGATTCCGGTGCCAAAAACATCAACGAAATCATTGAAGCCATCTCAATTCACTCTCAGTTGTGGCTAGTCTGCGAGTACTGTCCCGGTGGCAGTGTCCGTACCCTGATGCGTGCAACAAACGACAAGCTCGATGAGAAATACATCATTCCAATCGCTCGTGAGCTGGCTGTTGGACTTCATGCCATCCATGAAGCTGGAATCATTCATCGCGATGTGAAAGCTGCAAATATCCTTATTCATGAAGAGGGTCGTCTGGAGATCTGTGACTTTGGTGTTGCTGGTGTTCTCCAATCACAGCGAGACAAACGATCCACCTGGATTGGAACACCACACTGGATGCCACCAGAGATGTTTGCAACTCGTGGAGAGGCCCATCAATACGGGCATGAGATTGATGTGTGGGCGTATGGGTGCACACTGTTCGAGTTCGCCAACGGGAATCCGCCAAACGCAGGCCTGCGGGAACGAATGCAAATCGGTCGCCAACTAAATCGCAAGACGCCATCACTGGACAGCGATACATACAGCCAAGGCCTGAAGGACCTTATTGCCTACGCCCTTGACTCCAATCCGTATACTCGTCCCACCATGGCAGATATTCTTGCTCACCCGTACATTGCCGATACGGAGGAGGCATATCCGACCGCCTCCGTGAGTGAGTTGGTGAGAAACTACTACCAATGGTCCCAGCGAGGAGGCCAGCGAATCTCTTTGTTCCATCCAGGCGGTGCCGCGGCAGCTGAACTCCCAGGTACCGAGGAGTCAGAAGATGACTGGAATTTCAGTACAACAGATGGGTTCGAGCGAAGATTCTCCGTTATTGACCTGGATGAAATTGCGGCCTCGCTGGCGGAGATGGAGCAATCCATCAGTCCTACCGATGCTTCTCCTGAGCTGGACATGTACGAACAGTTTTCCGGGGACGATCTTAATTATGAAGATAAGGCCAATTTCGATGAACGTGTGCGCCGAGGCGCAGCGGCACTGGAATGCCTGTTTGATGAGGAGAAGCCCAGCTACAAATACGAAACAAAAAATGACTTTGTCCCCATCGAACCCGAGCCCACTTCAGATCTTCCCCTCCGTGCGGAAACAGATCGCTCTTCTGTCACATCAACTTTTCTCGATATCGACATCGGGTCATTCGAGGCCTCACACTACGCAGCAGGAGCTCCATCTGCGCAACCTTTCCAATTGGTCGATGCGAACACTATCCGCGCGACCCGCTCCAGTCTCCGATTGAACAGGAGCTCCTCTGAGAATAGCTCAAAGTCGTCTGATAGCGGCGCGGATGATGATCAAGCCTTAGAAGATACATTTGTGCCGTCTGGTCCTCGACCTCCCACCATGGACTGGAAATTCCCGTCATTCGTTCAAGACGAAGAGGAAAAGCCGAAAGAAGAGGAAGAGGAAGTTCCTCCACATGAGCCCGCAACAGAGGAGTCTTTCCAGGCTGAAAAGCGAGCTACCATGCAGTGGACATTCCCAGTCATGGGATCTGTGCCCGAGAGCCAAAGCTACGACGATCGACATGACACCCTCCGGGCTCCGCTGCCTGAGGTTCAACCTCCGCCGCAGTCGCAGCCACAGTCAACAGATGAACCAGGTGAACCAGGTGACTCACGTCCTTCGACCGCGGCATCGTATACCTCTGATTCAGATTACGATCCCTTCCGCTTCGATCGTCCCACCACCCCACAGGACGCAAACTCGCTTCGTCGCAGTCAATTCTTTGACACCGAACTCCCCGCGATGATGGATTTAGCCGGTTATAGTGAAGATGAGGCTTCCGGGGTCGAAGATGGCCCCGGTCCCGACGAAGATGGCCCCGGGCCAGACAAAGAATCTCACCCTGCATGGAACATGCACTCCAGGGTTTCCTCATACGAAATTAGTATGACAGCTTTACCCACGGCCGTTCCAATTCCCCCAACGCCCACCTCGGTGACTTCGGGCCCAGTCTCAGAACCGGGATCTCCCGTGTTCGAAACCGTACGAAATGCAAGACACGACACGCCTGAAGTCCTCATGTCACAGCCAGAAGACAAGGGACCAATCCCCTTCCCGGCTCTCAATCCCCCAAGTGCGGCGAGTCTGATGGAGGGTATGGCTGATGGTGTGGTGACGGCAGAACTTGACCGTTTGCTGGGTGATTTCCTGGAGTCGCTTTCGGCTACTGGCGAGGCATTGTCACGGGTGGAGATCAAGCATGAGACGAATGGTGTTCAGGTTGTTGAGCAGGTCTAGATGACCATATTATTTCTAGTAAATATCTTTAGTCGGAAGTCATCCAGGTTATCTACAATTCCTATGTACACTGTGTAGGTCTCTTAAGGATGATAATATGAACAGTATTCCTGGCTACTGGTAAATGATGTACACTTGGAGCTATGCCTAGGCTTGAGTGTCCTGGGAGCTGGCCAAATCTGGTAAACATGACTGAAGGCATAGATATCGTGGGCAAATATGAGAAATGGACTTGTCTGGGAAACTCTGAGTTGGGAGACTCCAGTCTTTGTTTCTTCTACGTTCTCATCCCATCTCGCGTCCCTCTCTTCTTCCTCCATCCCGTCTCGTGTCCCTCTCTTCGTCCTCTTCCTCCATCCCATCTCGTGTTTTATCTTTTCTTCATCCTTCATTCACTTGTTCCTTTCGTTTCCAAAATGGCTTCCACTCCAGAAATGCCACCGGAGACCTCGCTGCCTTTTGGTGTCTTTTCTCCTCCACGAGATGCCTACGAATGGAAGAAAGCCCTCGCCGATGTGAAATGGCTATGTTTCAACCAGCAATACAAACAATGTGCCATGCGTTGCAACCAGCTCATAGAGACTGCATCTAGTCCAGTTTGTGCTTCATTCATCTCATCTCTTCTGATAACTAATGGGCTTGTATAAAGCTCCATCCGATCAGTGCGACCTACCTCCACTATTATGCAGCCACCTCATACGAGTACATGGGACGAACTGCTCACATATTTTCGGCTATCAAGATACCGCTTTTGACTAATGCTATGGAGCGGTTTCAGACTGCCTATGAGTCTTTGCCAGCTACTATCCCAGCCCCAGTTTTGAATCCCAACCAGACCTACTCGCCAGTTACTTTTCTTCATTCTCCCACCTTGTCTGCCCGGTCTTCCTCGAGTGCTATCGAGTGGAGTCCTGCGCATTCACCGGACCATGGCGTCACTCCTGTTATTGGTCCTGGTCCAAATGCTGAAGCTCTGTCAGTTCGAAATCTGTCCGCTTTTAATGCTAGGATGGTTCAAACTCCTCCTGCGCCTGTACCTGCCCCTTCTCCCTCTCGCGCCTCAAGCTCATCTATGACCACTGACTTTTGTATCACTCCACCTCCTGCTCCTGCTCGAGAAGTCTTGCGTTTTGACCATGACGCCCCTCCCCCGGCTTTTCATATCCCTCCTCCGACCCGGCCTCCTCCTCCACCACCATGCGAGGCTCCTGCTCGCCCAGCTACGAGAGATCAATTGCTCTCTTTTAACAGTGCCAGAGATAGACTTCCCAACGGGGCATCTATCGTCCGAAACATTGCCCGGATGATTGATAACTCCATGATTGCAGCAGCCGACGACCCTTTTCTGACTCGTGCGCCGCCAAACTTTGCCGATCCAAAGCGGCCACCATTGCGTCTGTCTCCAATCAAGTTCCCAGTCGAGTTTGACGATCCAGTGAAGCGTCGCGAGCTCATTCCATCCCCGCTTGCAATTCGGAAGAGCTCCGGCGAAGTGCACATGTGTAGGAACTCTGCAATAGTAATCCATGGAGGCAAAGAGCCACAAACGTCTATGAAAGAGGTGATTCGACCCGGCCGAGCTCACCCTCCCCGGCTGCCCTGGGAATAGTCCCAGCCGGACATCTGAATGCTAACACAGAGAAGAAGAGTTATTCAATCCGAGCACCGCGGCCAAAGCGTCCGACTCCGTTCTTCCCTTCGCCCATGACCATGACTCCATCGACACCAACCCCCGTTCCGCGAAAGAAGATGCCCCCCCTCGCCTCCCCATTCGTCAGCCGCCCAGCCTCACCAGGGCAGGAAAGCGTCAGCTCGCCCTCGTTGCAGTCGAGAAAGCCCTCTCCAGCGCCTGTCAGCGCCGAACGCGCCGCGCAGATCAATAACTTCAACAGCGCTGTCAAGTGGCTCCGCGAGCACATTCCCGCCGACATTACCGGGCTCCGCAAGGAGATCAAACATGTTTCGGACATGCAGCATGCGCGTCGCTCTCGCAACACGACTATGGCTCGCTCTGCATCCTTCTGGACGTTTTCTCCCGTGAAGCCTAGCACTTCCGGCGGACCCCAGGAACCTCCTGTGATTGAGGGGCCTAATCTCGATGAGTATGGAAACATTATTCGGGTTGAGACTAAGGCGCAGCGCATCAAGCGGCTCAGGGAGGAGGATTGGAGGATTGGTATTCAGTCGAAGCACAGTCACTGGAAGGGGACTGAGTACTACGATAACCTTTGTGAGGATGCTTTGGCGGAGCTTGGTGAGACAGGTTATGGATCCCGGGACTGGTTGCAGCGGTGAGACTTTGCTGCTTATTCTTTTGTTGGTGTTCTTTGATTGTTTGCTCTTTGATTTTTCGGAGGTTGGGTGTCGTGCAGGTGTGGATGCAGGTTCAGTTCTTGGCCCTGGGGCTATTTGATTCAGGGTGCTCGATAGGTGTTGCGTTGTTGAATCCGTCTAGGCGGATATCAATTCAGATCATGAGTGTCATCATCGTCTATGTTTGATTATCTAGGTTGTGGTTCGGTGGGACAAGGGCAGGAATAGCAAGACATTTGATTATTGGAACTAAAATCATGTTGAAGATTAAGTAACAAATTCATGGATATGTTTTCAGCGACCTTTGTCCAATCTGTAACAGAGAAAACACCATTCATATCGTAATCTTTTGCATCAAACCAATTGGGCGACTGCGCAACAATTCTTCCAGACTTCCTCAACTCCAATGGCCAATTCAAAGACCCTTACTCAACACAGAACCCAATCCCTCTCCCAGACCTCCTTTTCCAAACATGTCACCCAGTTGATTGCCGAGTTGATCTTGTATCTTGCTTAGATTCTGGTCCTCGGTGAGTTTCTTGCCAGTGAGACTTCCTGTAAGTAAACTCAGATTAGTATGAATTCATAATTCATTTGCCTCTTTCTCTATTGGCATGACATACTTTTCAGTCCGTAAGAGACCTTGCTCTCGCCCATATAGTCCAGCAAAAGCTCTTGAAGCTGTTTCTGGTATGGGTCTAGGTAACCAGAGACCCAAGCAGTAAGTAGAATTACATGAAAGGCGAGGAAGAAGAGGAAGGATAGCATGATTGAAAGTTTGGATATATATATTCTGGTTTTTGAGGATATTATGATGGTAAATCTCAAAAATCTCAAGCTCAGCTGAACACGCCAAAAAATATATGGTGGTTATATACCTCTGGCTAGGGTATGACGTCCGGTGACGACGCCGTGCCACACAGATACGGTGGGGTCAGGATATTTATTGCCAATCAGGGAATCATCCATGGTGTTTCAATTACAGTGACATTCTTGTCTGTCTCGGATGGTGTTTCGAATGGTGTGACTCTAAATAGATACCCGGGTCTTGCATTCTATTTAGGGGATTGATATGACCATGGGTTCTCGCGATAGTACGGAGTACGTAAATAGTGACATCTCCAAGAATGTACATCGTACTTTCGTTTCCATGATCATCTTGATCATCTTCAATCTTTCCCCTACTCAGTATTTCCTAATTTCCCATCATGTCGATATTAATTCGTCTCGTCAGCCCTGGAGGCAGTAACATTCCCGTTGTGGCTGTGCTGGCGCTAAACCCTACAGCCCCCAAGCCCGCAAGCCTTATCGCGTCTAGAACTTCCTGATCTTCCCCTCTCCAGCACTTTTTTTGTTTGGAATCTTTTTTTAAATTCATCTCCTTGGGCTCACTGGCAATTGAATCTGCGATCTCGGATCTTTCAGTCTGCCTAGTGTGGTATGTTTACTCTGTTCCTGTTTGGTGTTTCACGCAGCCACCCCCGCGCTCACCCCTCGAATTTATTTCTATATTTTCTATATCACTGACCCTATTCTCTCTTAGATCGGGCCATTCCTTAAAAAGCCTCAATTATTGGATCCTCAGACCTCTTCTTCGTTCCAGTCGTTGCTACCTAACGCGTTCCGTGTCCATTCGAGCCAACTGCACACCGCGTCTGCTACATTAGGCGTCTGCAGCCCTATCCCCACATCATGAGTTGTGAGTCGATATTCCCATATTCGTGGGACTTCTGTTCCCCGTTCTTGCTATGATTCGTCGTCTGGGGTTGGCCAAATATTCTCCCGCTGCAGCCTTGTCTATAATCTGACTGCACTGCGTTGGATACCATGGCGATCTACACGCTTCTTGTGAGCCCCCCGTGGAATATATGGGAACTGGGAGGACTTGGGCTTCTAGCTATCATTTTGTATCAGGGTCTGCTTCGCCATGTCTAAGCCCTCCCCGCTCGGTCGGCTCCTCCAGGGGTCTTTTCTGTCATTTATTTTGTGCAATTCGTCTGAGACGCCCCACAGTTCACTAACGCTCGCTCTCCTAGTCGCAAACATGCTCAATAAGCTGTCCGGGCAGCCGGAGAGCTACGAAAAGAAGTACAGGCTCCTTATACCCCCATTGCCCCACAATCGCTGACCTGTTTCACGCTTGCTATAGGGCTCTCTATAAATTCGGACGGACAATGGGCGCAGGTACATACGGAATTGTTCGCGAGGCAGATGGTCCCGACGGACAGAAGGTTGCGGTCAAGATTATTCTGAAGAAAAATGTCCGTGGCAACGAGGGCATGGTCCACGATGAGCTCGAGATGTTGCAATCGCTCAAACATCCCCACATTGTCTCTTTCGTCGACTGGTTCGAATCTAAGGTGAGCACGTCTCTGTTTAATCCGATCGTTGCGGAGCTCTAATAGTGGGCCTAGGACAAATTCTATATCGTTACACAGCTAGCCACTGGTGGCGAGCTGTTCGACCGAATTTGCGAGTATGGCAAGTTCACTGAGAAGGATGCGTCGCAGACCATCCGCCAGGTGCTTGATGCCGTGGACTATCTACACAAGCGCAACATTGTTCACCGAGGTCAGTCTCTAACCCACGTTAGCGCTTTGTATATACTAACCCTTGCGAAGACTTGAAACCCGAGAACCTCCTCTACCTCACCCGTGCCCCCGACTCTCAATTGGTCTTGGCAGATTTCGGTATCGCGAAGATGCTGCACAGCCCCTCTGAGGTATTGACCAGCATGGCCGGCTCCTTTGGATATGCTGCTCCCGAAGTCATGCTCAAGCAGGGCCACGGCAAGGCTGTCGATATGTGGTCGCTCGGCGTCATCACCTACACCCTCCTGTGTGGCTACTCCCCCTTCCGATCCGAGACCTTGACCGACCTCATCGAAGAATGCCGGACAGGCCGCATCATCTTCCACGAGCGGTACTGGCGCGATGTCTCCCAGGACGCCAAAGATTTCATTCTCTCTCTCCTGAATGTGGACCCCAGCAAGCGGGTCACCTCCGAGGAAGCCCTCAAGCACGTATGGCTGACCGGAGAGACTGCGAGCGACCGCGACTTGCTGCCAGAAATCCGCACCTACATTGCGCGCGCCCGTCTCCGCCGCGGAATCGAGATCGTCAAGCTCGCCAACCGTATCGAGTCGCTCAAGATGCACGAGGACGAAGATGGGGATGGGGAGGACATCCCCAGCCCCATGGACATGGGCAACTCAGTCGAAGAGTCAAGTGTGGTGGAACCATCAGTGCCAAGCGGCGATGCCGCTCCTGCCCCCGGCCACGCCAAGAAGAAGAGTCTGGGAAGTGCTGCCCGTGGTGCTATTTTCCGTGAAGTTGTTCTGGCCAAGGTCCGGGAGCAGAAGGAGGCCGAGGAGCGGGAGAAGATCGAACGCGAAGCTCGCGAGAAGGCTGCTGCTGCGTAAATTGTTTACTATCTTTCTTTGTGTCTCTTTCACATCTTACGTCTTGTCCATACGCTGTTTCTATGCCTATCCTGCCCTGTATCTATCTTTTATCTGCCAGGCGGTTTCTTGGATATAATTCTGTGATTCCCAACCAATCATCGCGCTTGAATTTCTTGTTTTGGTAAACTATACAACCACGAAGGGTAGCAAGCACTTGGATCTTTTTTTCCGACTCAACGTTCAAGGCACTTGTACTGAACCCTCAAGGTGCTCTAAATTGGGTTATCAAAGATTTTCACTCGCTACCATGTTCACTAGTTATGTCGAAACCAAATTGTTACCATTTGTTTACATGTCTTTTTACAGACCGCTCATGTGACCGTTGCCTAGCCTATGCATTTGCTTATTAATTGTGTCCCATCAAATTGTCATCTTCGGGTTGTTTATTTTTTATTGCCATACAATTTGACCATACACTCGCATTCACGATTTTCCGTTACTATGCTGTAAAGAAACATGCTCTCTACGTTACCAGCAGAGCTGCTGCTCTTAATAACAAGCCATCTTGATAGCCACACGGATATTTTACGGCTCGCCTCCTGTTGCCGTGCCTTCTATCCACTTTTGTTACCCAAAGTCTTTACATCGCTCGACCTGATAGAGCACCACTATGGCCGCTTGAGTCATCTGGCGCACACACTCGCATTTAATCCGACATTAGCGCAAGAAGTGCGCACTCTCCGTGTCTCCCATGAGTGGCTGCGGCCTTCCGTCATGCGATATGAACAGGAGGTTATCCTACCAGTTCTGAAATCAATCCTAGGGCCTGACGATAGCCTATCCACATGGGACCAGGAACTACAGACTCAAGGGAGTCATGACGCGTGGACTGTCCTGCTTCTGGCCCTCTTGCCTAATCTGGAGGATCTGGTTGTACAGGTTCATGAATATTCAAACTACACTCTCGAGTGGATGGCTAGAATCGCCGAAAAAGAAGGCTCTGGCTTATCTAAATTAAGACACCTCACTGTCGTATGTTCTGATACAGATGGTGGCCTCAGCTCATCGCACTTTCTCCCAATCCTTCGACTTCCCTCGTTACGAAGCTTTTGTGGGGATATGATATTTGATGGCGAGAAAGATGTCGAAGATCAAGCGTTCAATACGGCTAGCTACGGGTCTGATAATGCTCGGTACTCCAATGTCACTCATATCCACCTCAAGTCCAGTTGTTCTCGAAGAGGCTTTGCAAGTTTCATCGGCGCAGCCAAGAGCCTCGAATCTTTTATCTTTGAGCATGCCGATATCCCGCCTTTCCTAGAAGATGAGGGGATGTACGCGGCGAATTACTACCCACCATTACAAAGACATCGGGAGACCTTGCAAACGTTAACATTGACCGACGCGTACACCAACAATTATTCCAATTATGGGACTTACGGCTATGAATACATCGGATCATTCGCGGGATTCAGCGCGCTGAAGCAACTTCGGCTACAGATATGTCATATAGTAGACTGGGACCGAGGTTGGAGTGGCCGGAACGAGACAGTAAGGAATAGATTCAGTGATCTTTTGCCTCTATCGCTGGAAAGCATTATCCTTGATGCTCTAGAGGCACAGCATATACCTGAACTAGTTGAGGCGGTCAAAGACCTTCTCTCGGGAGGCCGCTGCCCAAACCTGACTTATTTAGAGGTCAAGGGAGACTGGATGCATGTCATGCAGTCAACTGAGGAGTCTAACACCAAACCCCGTCCTATACCTGCCTTGTTGGACCACTTTGCGAACTTCAATGTGGAACTTGGGTTGTTATGTTCGGCTGCGGGAGTTGAGTTTCGTCTACGTGATTTGCATATTGAGGATATTATCAAGCAGAATCGTTTGGAAGGCTTTTAAGATGATGTCCCGTGTTACGGTCTGAGTGGTCGTTAGTTCCTCCCTTGCGAGATGCTCCTTCCCAAGTGTGCAAGCGAGCGCATCGCAAAACCCACGGTCTTGATCCTCGATCTCTCTTTCTTTTCCTATTCCCTCTCTGTACTTAATAATTTAGTTCGAATGCACTCTCTCATGCGGAGACCTTGGTCACTATCTGCCCACTAGAGACAACTATTGTGAGCATTTTTCCCGAACCAAATTGCTCAGCTACGTGAATTTCCAATGTATGATGGTTTTGTAAAGGAACTGAATGCATATCCTATGGCGATACAGATGCTCATTCAAACCCTAATCACATGATCTTCAATGCTATGTAGGTATCCTGATCCAAAATAACCGCTCGACGGTGGTATTTACTTTCTAGATAAAACCACTTTCAGATCCTTAGTATACTAGACATAAAAATTTAGCACCAAATTCAGTCTTCTATACCTAGTATTTCCGTTGCGGCTGAAAAAAGAGGATTTTACCCCTGGAGCCCAAGCTTATCTGCTCAGATCGCCATTTACCTGCACCCTGCAGATCACATCCATCCAACGCATCATGGCGACCAGACTTTCCCGAAGCCTGCCTCAGGTTAATCGCCGTGTTTTCGCTAGGTTATCTTCCCGCACGACACCTCGCGTTGCGAACACCAGTGCCCGTGCTGGCTTGGTGACACGTCGCAATGCTCGGAACCTCGCGCCTTGGGCCTGCCGCGTAACACAGGCCAATATCGCGCGATATTCCCATACAGATTCTGGTGAATCGGCCAGCCCAAACGCTTCCATTTCCAATGCTGCCGATTACAGAGGATCGACCATTACAGAGAAACATTGGATGAGCCAGGACATAGTAGTTGGTATGGTCCCACTTGTTACTGCGTCACTGTCACTTCGCTAACCAAAATCAGTGGACACGTTGATTGAACCGCAAGCCGTCTTGAATTTTATGGAATTCATAACTTATGGTATTCTACCGAACGGGAAGAAGACCGATTTAGCTTTAATCGATTCAGATGAATTCCCACTGTTCATGACCCCGAGTTCAGAGTGGGCGCCTGCGCCGTTCAACAAGGCCGCTCTCCCAACTGTGCAGAAGGCGATGATGCGGATCACGGGCCCGGAGGACTTGAGCGGACTGTGCTATATTGGACAGAATATTCACTTTGTCAAAACCCGCCTCTGGGGAGGCCTTGCGCCTGTGTCCGCATCGCGTTGGCGCGAAAAAGATCTCAACAACCCGGACCATTTCACGATCGCCCATGAATACCTGACCTCCGTCATTGCCGTCTTTGAGTACCTAAATAATCCTCAGATCCGGACTAATATGCGCGATACCTTCAACAAAATATCTGGTGACTTCGGAGAAATTCAGGACGCCTTGAATGCACGGCGCAAGGCCCAAGGCGGCCTTTCTCCCGAGCTCAACCTTACTGCTCTCTGGGAAGAATATATTCGCGCACAGTACGAAGTCATGACCAGCACCGCCCATTCCTGGGTCCTCGCCCGCGTTGCCGAATTACGTGAACGGACGTTGGACAGCTTGATTGCGATCCCAGCTGAAAATACAGAATCCTCGGAAATGAAAATTCTCGCGCAGCGGTGGACCGACCTCATTGCCGTTACCTCAATGGCAGATTTCAATATTTGGATGTCCATGGATGGGTACAACGGTTACACTGCGCCCTCCGAGATCATCGCTGGGCTACACAATCCTGACCTAGAGCACCAAGACAAAAACTACGGGTTTTCCAAGCTCCTGGTAGACCGAGTCACTAAATGTATCGAGGCTCAGAACGAGGCTGCGATTGTTCAAGGTCCAAGTGCGACGCAGAGTGACGCGGCCCGCCGCGAGCGCCTTTCTATTAGTACAGTATTACAGGATGAGCTGCGTGAGAAGATACGCGGACTGGCGCCTTCGCCGCAGCCACCTGTACAGCCCTGGATTCAGCAACTCCTTCGGGCGCAGGAAGCGAGCTTGAGCTTGCAACCATGGGAAAGAGACAACTATGGGTTCGGATTAGCAATCTATCGCACAGCGGACAAGTTCTCCGATGAGCAGTGGGCAACCCTACAGCGAGACTTGGAAGCTCACTTGTCGGCATGGGGTGATGACGTCCAGGGCGCTGACGAGATCAAACCACACCTCAAACTGCATTGGTTTGACTGCAAGGAACTAGGCTTTGACACAGCAAATCCGGTAACAGCAGCAAGAAGGTTAGATGGCCTTATTCTTTCCATCCCAGGATTCAAATGAGCAAGAGACTAATGCTGCTTACAGACACTACCAACAAATCCGGTCCTCGGAAGAGTGGAACAATAAAATAGCACCATCTGTTTTCCTTCTCATCGATTTCATGGGCGTAAACTCATATATCAACGACGATTTCTACGCTTCCATCACAAAGGACAAAGCCCTTCTCAAAGGGGACTTCCAAGGCTTTGTCCTGGCTGTCGATCCAGACTTCGATAAGACTGTCACAAATGAAAGTGCAGACGGCACTGCCAGTGAAGACCCCCAGGATGAAGGCTTGGAATACCCGGGCCAGGTGCGCATCATGGGTAACCTAGTCTGGAGCGAGCTCTATCCTATGCTAAATCGGCAGTCTGTGGGACTTACGAATCTCTGGCTGCAGGCGCGAGAACATCCGATGAAGGTATATACGGGGCTGACAGTGCCGAGTCAAATTCAGCCATGGAAGGAGCTAAATGCTATGAAGACTCATATGATGGATAGCTTTGTGGAGTTCTTAAAGAAGAAGGATCCCACCATGGCAGGAAAAGTGAAGGAGTTAAGGAAGGAAGGCCGTCTTTAATTCATGGAAGCTATCGACCCCCTCGGCTCCCCCCGGCTCTGAGGTGGCGTGGAACAGCTGCGATGATGAGAAGCAACCCCGAGATGCAAAACGGAGACGTTGACCCCCTGCCAGTTTGTACTATTATCTTCCGACATGGAAGTCGATGTCGGGCGCTACTGTATTCTGATATATGTAATTGCGTTGCTGCCCGACTATGTAATAACTATGTGTGATTGAACTGTTAAGATATTTTAGACTAGTCACTCTTCCGATGTTTCAAACTGGCCTGAAGTCAAACTCAATGCTTATGTTGTATAACTATACAACTTGAAATGTCTATGACAAAATGAGAGCTACCAAGTATGAAAGACATCTATGAACCCAATATAGTCAGGTGTCAATATCACGTGGATCAATAGATGATCTCCCCACCTGCCTTTAGACCGTCCCTTTTGATCCCTTAACAGTATCTCTTCTTTTTAGCTCTATCATATCCTTTGCTTCTTCAGTTCATCCTCGTCTCACTTGGGAAGTTCTTCATTTTCTGTCCTAGACGTCATACATCCGCTCTACTCCACCAAATCGAGACACCGCCCCTCCTTCTCCACTGGAGCTCAAACATCTAAACCTTTTCTTTCAGCACCATATCGCAACAATGTTCGCGACAAAGCGTCTGAGCAAGGTGATTATACCCTGAATCTGAATGGTGCTGGAATGCACATCTTGCTGACTCTGTTCATGAACTATAGGAGCTCATTAAGGTACCGTTTCCTCCGTTTTCCTCTTGGTCTTATCGCCTTTGTCTCCCCGCATATTTTGGGAGCATACCATAGCGCCCATGCATATTGACCATCCTATAAACGTGTTCCCCTGACCTTTGACCTTATAGATGCAAGAGCATGTCCCACCAGGAATTACAATCGTCAAGTGCGACAATCTGGAGGAATGGCAGATGGACATCAAGATCCTTGACCAGAACCCACTATACCTGGATCAGACTTATCGGTTGAAATTTGTCTTCAGTAACAAGTATCCTATTGGTAAGCCTTATCTTCTCAGCAGCCTCTGTCTGTACCTTCCTCTCGGGGTCTATTCCATTCCTCTTTTTTGTCTCGTCTTTCAGATGATCAGACCATTCCGAGTTTTGACACATGATCATTTTAGAACCCCCGGAGGTCCAATTCATCCAATGTGCTGCCTCCACTGGTACACCCCGCTCAATCCCAATGCATCCCCATATCTACAGCAATGGCATTATCTGCCTTGACCTCCTGGGCTCCGCCGGTTGGTCCCCAGTACAGACCGTTGAGAGCGTTTGCATGAGCCTTCAGAGCATGCTTACCGCTAACACTCGCAACGAGCGACCCGCCGGTGACCAAGAGTTCATTGCCACCAACCGCCGTCGCATCCGTGACATCAACTTTGTCTATGAAGATGACAATGTATAAATTCCCAGCTTCTGCCAAGTTGGAGCTGGTTGGTGTGTTTGAAATAGGAATGGTTCTGCGTTGGTGGGAGAGACGTTTACATCGGCATTTTCTGCATGAATGCAATTCCGCCCTCGAGATTTGAGCGACGGGCTTTACATGTTGCCTGGTGACATTGTACTTCTTGATTCTTCGCGTCTGCATTCATCCTGGCGCTGGCCCGTTGTGGTCTCAATCGTGGAATGGTGGTTTTCTTGCGGGCGTTCAGGACTTTTTTATTCTTTAGCAATACGATCATTAAGACATTAAGAGAACCATTTCTCTTTGGACAACATTTAGTGCGTGCACATAATAGTAGAAATCAAGCAGTAGAGTCCACAGCACGGAGTATGAGATGTCTATTTTGCCTAGTGATCAATGTAATTGGCCAAATCGGTTATTCCCAAGGCAAGCTTGTCTTTCGGGAAATTCCAACAAATGAACTGTTTTTTCACACAGTTCTAGATACATATATTAGAAAGGCTCTCGCGGTCGTATATATCGTCGTAAAAAACCCAAAGGTCCACCGTATAGCTTCAAACACGAAAGTATGTAGAACGATTCACCCGTAAAACCAATATTCTGCGGCATAAGCAATTTGAATCGTTCTATTTTGACCAGCGCACGTAGATGGTGGATCACCCTGGGATGTCACAACTCGGTAAACTTCCTATATATAAATCGGTCAGATATGTATACTTCAAATCCGATTATGGACAACCCGAGCTTACCTGAATGCCGTTCCCCTTCTTGTATCCTAGCTTAAGCCACGGAACATCACCGGAGGATCCTGACGTTGAGTTCGGCGCTGGAGTAGCTGCTAATTTACCACCAGCAATCCAGGAATTGGAGCCACTCAGTCCCATGTCAAAGACAGGTTCTCCATCAGCGTTGAAGTAATGTTGGCCAATAATGATATTGTTACTTCTCGTGCCCTGGGCTACAAGGGCTGCCATGAACGCGACAGATTCAAGAGGAGTGGCGCTGATGATTGCGGGGACTTCGTGGAGGAGAGCTAAGGACGATGATGCAATGCAGGAGGCATCGAAGAGTGTAGCGGCAGCCCCTGTAGCTTTGGGATTGATGGTGGAAGCATTCGATGGGCAGGTATAGTTCTGTGTTCCTCTGCCCAATGCAATGTATTTGAGAGTCAAGTTCGTGGATGGTGCTGGGAGCGGTGGCTTTGTCGTGTTCAGTGAGAGTGATACGTTTGTGAGAGAGCAATTCCCCAGGTTGATCTTGTCAAGTTGGTGGTAGATTTGGGAGAATGAGGAAGCAAGAGCCAGAGGATGAGGAAGACCAGAATGTCCTTCCACATTTGCCGCTACAAGGAGCAATGACAGCGCTAAGAGGAGTTTCATGGTGGACGAGTAGTTTGGATCTATACGATGTAGAAAGATGGTAGAATTTGCTCGAGCAAATCTAGTTCTGGGGCTGTGAATAGGAACCAGGGTATAAGGGCAAGGATAAACCAACATGCAAGGAGAGATATCCTATTTAATAAAAATTTGGCAGGGCTACTCTGATATATAACAAAGGACATGCTCGGAGTTTAAGATTTGCCGCACAGGTAGCAAGGCAAACCGCATTCAAGGCATAGTGGATTATGGTTCAATAGGCCTTCGAGGGGACCAATGATAGATTCTATATAAATGGATACCGCCATTCACATATGAGTTGTCTTTATAGTGCATACAGCTAAGAAAGTATCCGAGTCTGTTGACTGAGGACACCATCTGAATTCCGGGGTAACGGTGTGCTGTGCTAACATTGGCTTCTTTGTTGTCAACGCCACTTCTCTTGAAAGGTTGCTGGAGAGATGAGAAATGAGATCTTAATTCATGTGTTGGTTAGAATGAAAAGGATGTAACCACGGCGCTCTAAGAGTTACACTAGCACCGTTGTTGTTTACCGGCCGGCAGCAAACAGTCGCTTTGATGTTGGACAACCTTAGAATAGATTAAGTATGATTAGAATTTTCCAATCTACTATATAAGTCAGCCTTGGAAGGCTAATCAAGTGATATTACGGAAGCTTGGAGTGTTGCAGGCGCTTATTTGAAGCAGCTACTATAGCCTAGATCTGTCATTGGCTATCGGGTAGCCTCTTGGTCTTATTCCCATCATGTGAAGCTTTTTCCTAAAATAGACAATTAGTTTCAGGTACAAACGAACAGCAAAGGCCATGCAGACCTTCAATGTCCCTGATACACTGGTTGTAGGACATAAATGAATTGTAAGCGCCCTCGCAGCGCCACAACTTTTGAGTGTCAATCGGGCAGCAACACATTTACAGCTCAGAACATAAAAGTGTTAAAATTGATCAAACACAAGGCATTATAGAGTGAACAGCCCAGAATGGCACTACTAGTAGAAATATCAACGACTTCTAATCAAATATTAGTAGTGGTAGCTCAAAGGAGTTAGTGCTATGGCAATGTGAAATGCTTTAGGGGCTGAAATTTCCCTTAAGCAATATCCCCCCTCTCATTTTGGCCTCTTTGGGCTGCTGCTATACCCTCCTGTTAGGATGTTCGCCATATTCCTTCATATTCCTTTCACATCGATGTCCAACGTCATTGACCGCCTTCAAAGGCATGCTTACGTTACAATTCACGTGATTCCAATAGACAACCTTAGAATCCAAGAAGCAAAGGTGTCGAATCACGTGCAACCCAATCACGACCTTTTTCATCACGAGGCGGCTAGCAACACAGCATCCTCAATCACCATTATTGTGACCGTTACAGCGGTTTTCAATCCGGATGTAGCTGCGGTGTTCCCTTCTGCGGTAAAACAGGCTCACTCATATCCTCGCGACTTTTACATCTTATCACCATGTCTGACGGTAAGTTTTCGCAAGCTCCCCAGCCTGGCCCCATACTGATCCCATTGTAGCCGATATCGAGGCCGTTCGACGGCTTCAAGCCGAGCGCAATGCTGCTGCTGCTAGTAAAAAGGGCTCCAAGACCTTTGACCAGTCTGCTCAGCGCACCGATAACTCAACCAAAGCCTCCCTGACGGAATCGTTCGACACCTTTTTGTACGAACGGGATGGAGCGGAGAAGTTTTCGGGCTACGATACCTCGATCGCCGTTGATGTCGATGAAGAAATGGAAGATGCGGATGGAGGACACAGACTGGTTGGCCAATACACTGCTACCAGAGGCCAGATTGATGAGATGGCGCAAGGAACTGGCGTTGAGGAGGAGGACATTCTGCTAGGCCGCGAAAAGGCGGCGCGGATCGCAGACCGCGAGACAGACTACCAAAAGCGCCGATTCAACCGTGGCGCCCTAACCCCGACGCGCGCCGATCCCTTTGCTGCCAATGCCCATGCGAATGTTGAAGGAGAAAGTCAAACATACCGGGAGGTCATGGCCATCCGTGAGGTAGAGAGGGAAGAGGAGCGCGTGAAACAGCTGATCGCAGAGAAGCTCGAGAAGGGTGAAGACGTCACAGAACACCAGGCTACCTTGAAACTTGTGGAACAGGACAAAGAGAACGCCGAGGCGGGTTCGACCGTCGCGGTGGCTACCGAAAAAAAGCGAAAGAACCGATGGGGCGATTCTTCTACCGAACCAGAGAAAAGATCGCGTTTCGATGCTCCCAAAGAGGAACCCGAATCCATGCCTTCGAGATGGGATCTAGCGCCATCTCTCACAGCTGCTACCCCCGTTGGCAACCAAGGGCTCGCTACTCCCATGCATCCATCTCAAGCAGGTGCCGCTACACCTGCAGTCGGTTTTGGGGTTGGTATGCCCGGTCAAGTTGTTGGCTGGTCTGACGAAGAGCTCGATATCATGCTTCCCGGTGAGGCCCAAGGTTACAAGGTCCTTGACCCTCCTCCCGGATATGAACCCATTCGAACCCAGTCTCGCAGGATCTTAGCCACTCCAGCACCAATTTCTAACGCTGGTGTCGGAGGGTTCATGATGCAAGAGCCAGAAACTGTTCAGTCTGTAGGAAAGGATCTTCCAACTGATATCCCCGGTGTGGGTGAACTTCAATTCTTCAAGGCGGAGGACATGGCCTACTTCGGTAAGCTGATGGAGGGTGGGGATGAGACCAGCATGACTGTCGAAGAAATGAAGGAGCGGAAGATCATGAGATTGCTGCTCAAGATCAAGAACGGTACCCCACCCATGCGAAAGACTGCTCTGCGTCAGATCACAGACAATGCACGCGACTTTGGTCCCGGTGCTCTTTTCAATCAAATTCTCCCCCTGCTCATGGAAAGGACTCTGGAAGACCAGGAGCGTCATTTGCTGGTGAAGGTCATTGACCGAATCCTCTACAAGCTTGATGATCTGGTTCGTCCCTATGTTCATAAGATCTTGGTCGTCATCGAACCATTGCTCATTGATCAAGACTACTATGCCCGTGTTGAAGGCCGAGAGATTATCTCAAACCTTGCCAAGGCCGCCGGTCTGGCTACAATGATCAGTACTATGCGTCCTGATATTGACCACGCCGATGAATATGTGCGAAACACGACAGCACGCGCTTTTGCCGTTGTGGCCTCTGCCCTCGGTATTCCCGCCCTCCTTCCTTTCCTCCGCGCTGTCTGTCGCAGTAAGAAGTCCTGGCAGGCTCGACACACCGGTGTCAAGATTGTCCAGCACATCCCTATTCTCATGGGTTGCGCCATTCTCCCTCATCTCAAGGAGCTGGTTGGATGCGTTTCAGGTAACCTCAGTGATGAACAAGCTAAGGTTCGGACCGTCACCGCTCTATCTCTGGCCTCTTTGGCGGAGGCTGCGAACCCATATGGTATTGAAAGTTTCGATGACATCTTAAGCCCTCTTTGGACGGGTGCCCGCAAGCAGCGTGGCAAGGGTCTCTCTGCCTTCCTCAAGGCTGTCGGCTACATCATTCCTCTTATGGATGAAGAGTATGCCAACTACTACACCACTCAAATCATGGAGATCCTTATTCGAGAATTCGCCTCGCCAGATGAGGAAATGAAGAAGGTCGTATTGAAGGTGGTTTCTCAATGTGCAAACACTCCAGGTGTGACTGCCGGCTACTTGAAGGAGCACGTCTTGACAGAGTTCTTCAAGGGCTTCTGGATGCGACGTATGGCACTCGATCGACGAAACTACCGCCAGGTGGTCGATACCACAGTGGATCTGGGCCAGAAAGTGGGTGTTGGCGAGATTCTCGAGCGCGTCGTCAACAACCTGAAGGATGAAAGCGAGCCATATCGCAAGATGACTGTGGAAACGGTCGAAAAATTGATTGCATCGCTTGGAGCCGCTGACATCTCTGAGAGGCTGGAAGAACGCCTCATTGATGGTGTCCTCTTCGCCTTCCAGGAACAAAGCATCGAAGACCTTGTTATTCTCAATGGATTTGGCACGGTGGTAAATGCACTTGGCACGCGATGCAAGGCATATATCCCTCAGATTGTCAGTACTATTCTCTGGCGCCTGAACAACAAGTCCCCCACTGTTCGACAACAGGCAGCCGATCTGATCTCGCGCGTTGCGCTGGTGATGAAGCAGTGTGACGAGGAAGCACTCATGGGCAAGCTTGGTATCGTGCTCTACGAATACCTGGGTGAAGAATACCCCGAGGTTCTGGGCTCCATCTTGGGTGCTTTGCGTGCCATTGTCACCGTGGTCGGTATCACCCAGATGCAGCCACCCATTCGCGACCTCCTTCCCCGACTTACCCCCATTCTGCGCAACCGTCACGAAAAGGTGCAGGAAAACACAATTGATCTCGTTGGTCGTATTGCCGACCGTGGTCCCGAGTCCGTGAATGCCCGCGAATGGATGCGCATCTGCTTTGAGCTGATGGATATGCTCAAGGCTCACAAGAAGGGAATCCGCCGGGCGGCCAACAACACATTCGGTTTCATTGCCAAGGCCATTGGTCCTCAGGATGTCCTGGCCGCTCTTCTCGGCAACTTGCGAGTCCAAGAGCGTCAGTCGCGTGTCTGCACAGCTGTCGCCATCGGTATCGTGGCCGAAACTTGTGCCCCGTTCACTGTGCTCCCGGCGCTGATGAACGAGTACCGGGTGCCGGATCTCAACGTGCAAAACGGTGTGCTCAAGTCCTTGTCCTTCTTGTTCGAGTACATCGGCGAGATGGGCAAGGATTATGTCTACGCTGTCACGCCGCTGCTAGAAGATGCCCTTGTCGATCGTGATCAAGTCCACCGACAGACCGCTGCCAGCGCGGTTAAGCACGTCGCACTCGGCGTGATCGGTCTTGGTTGCGAGGACGCCATGGTCCATCTGCTGAACCTGCTTTTCCCCAACATCTTCGAGACCAGTCCCCACGTCATCGACCGGGTCATCGAAGCCATCGAAGCCGTCCGGATGGCGGTCGGCACTGGTATCGTTATGAACTAC